CAAACTCGCCATTGTTTTAAGCCCCAAATGCTACAATGAGAAAAAAACGCCCGCAGTCAATCAGCAACATAGTCAGTCCCATGCGGCTACGTTGGGGGTTCTGGGCCCAATCATGGTGGAGCGAGTCGTGTCCCTTTGTCCCGTTTTGGTGAGCAAGTTTGCGCCCATTGGCGGTGGAATGGCGAGGGCACTGTGGGGGGTTGCTGAGTCGTGAGCTTGTTTGCGGGACTCCAGCGCGTGACTGGATTGACTCCATGCTCGACCCCATTGTCAGGAGTTTTGACTCGAGTGTCACGGGGTCAGGTTATTCATTGATTCTGAGGCGGCTAGAGAGGGATATTCAGCGCGCGCAAGTTGCTGTCCGGAATTGGAAGATCCAGAGTGACTGCATTTAGTGGGGCCCTGCGTTTATACTTGTGTCTTGGTTGTGTCAATACAGATTAACATAGGCTCACAACCTCCTGCTGCATATCAACATGGGTCATTGCCGTATAGAGAACCAGCTGATCGTAATAAAGCGTGAGGGATGCTATAAGAAAGGTCTTTGTCAATAAACGATAAATTAGAATCCCAGGATTGGCAGATGCTCAAATCCGAACGCCTATAGCTATGGAAACATCAACCAGTAAACGCCACGCGATGCATCATAATCATAAGTCACGTAATATCGAGCTCTCCCACGCCCCATTTCAGCCTCTCGACTCATCCCAGTCAGACCAGCGCTTGACAATCTCGTCAATCATGGTGATGCCCTTCCGACTAGCCTCCACCTCGAACCACTCACGATGAGCCTTGCCGCAGGAATCGCAGTTTCCCCTATCACTTAGTCGAAGTCCGGCGCCAGCAAGCTCGATATGGATCAGCCGCTCGACCTTGTGGCTGTGCGGCATCTTTCTCGGCGTGGAAGGCTGAGCGGTCGATATGTAGGGATAGTAGCGGATAAGCGAGAGGTTGTATCCACACTGCCGCGACCACTCGTTCAAACGTCGTTGAACGTTCGAGGCCCGGCCGATCTTCAGCAAGACCGTCTTCTTGGACGAGTTGGCCGTCTGGGTAGCGAATGACTGTAGCACATCGCTTGTCCGGCGCTGTCGGCCGTTGGAACGCGAGGGTGGTGCGAGCAGGTCTCGTGCTGCTTCCGCTGCAGGGGTCGACGGTTTAGACTCGGGCGTCAGCCAGAAAATGTAGATGTAGCCAGGCTCGTCTTGTTGGGATATCGGCTTCGCGAGTTCGGCCATAAGTTGAGAGGCAGTCTGTGGTGAGGCCGTCGGCGGTATGAGCTGCAGATACGTGGATGTCTGTGATGTCGTAGACTGCGCAGAAGTACGTCGGGAAGAATGGGCCATGCTTGGTCGCGGGCCTGCTGATGACGGTGCCAGATACTGGTTCGAGGGCAGCTTGGCAGACGGGCCCATAGCTGCGGGTGCAGACTGCAGCGGCCTCGGCTTTGGTCGTGCAGGGCGTTCCTCTTCGTACACGGGTATCTTGAAGCAGCAACAGAATGAAGTCTGCTGCTTTGCCTTCGGCTTCCGCTTGGGCGGCTGTGACACGTTTCCTTGGCCCGCCTGCGTGACCTTCTCGCCCAAGTTACTGTTACGGCGGGGTCCTGGGGCAGAGCCGCGTCCATCTTTCCGTGATTTCTTCTGCTGCGCTTCCACGATCCCGAGACGGTCTATCAGGGTATCCAAGCTTTCGCGGGTTTCGAGGATTGGGGTCGTCGTCGTCCTCGGGCCAGGACTGGATCTAGCAGACAAGCTGGCCTGGTCTTTGTGTTGCCAACAATACAGCTCAGGGTCGGAAGGGTCGTCGGCGCGCAGTCGGCTCACTCTCGTGCGCGAGGCCGCTGGAGAGGCTGAGGGAGAGGCTGCCAGCGGACGGCGACACGGCCGCCCACTCCCGGTAATGCCTCGACATGTAGTGTCTGGGTTCTTGGAGTCGGAGCGGCCTATCAGAGACTCGGGCGTGTTCGGTATAAACGGCATCGTCGTCGGGGGGGTTGTTCCTGGATTCCTGGACTGTTGCCTAACGAATGTGGAGTTTGGAAGTTTTCCAACGAAGGAAGAAAATATGAAGATGAAGGGACCTGCGTGGCTTTCGAAGCCTAAGGGCAGGAATCCAGGAACAATCTAATATGTGATGCACCGACTACGCATCCATGTTGAAGAAGACCCGCGCAGTGGATTGCACGCGCCCACAGGCAGCGTGACTCCCTGACACTCCTCTGCCTGCAGTGATGTATCGTGGGTGCGGCTCGACGTCACAACGATTGGGTCGCGTTAATTGGAGGGGCTGGGGGCTTCAGGCCTCGAGGATGGAGACAAACAGACAATGAGGCCTCGCTTCCTCGGCGTGAGTTTGCCGGACCTGTCTCTCTGACAGGCTCTCGGACAGGCCTTGGCCTGGCTTGCTGGCTTGACTTGGCAGGGCAGAGCTGGGCTGTGAGGCGGGGCTGTGGGTGGCTTATACATTGGAGTACGCTGCCAGAGCCACGAATTGCCCCAGGCTGGATTGGATTGCCCCTGAGGCCCTGTGAGTAGTCGCCCCTTACGATGGGTCTGGCAGGGCATATATAAAATTGAATCGAATTGATTGAGACTTTTGTAACGATTCTGCGAACCCGTGACTGACCCACCATCTACAACTTTGGAGGTAAAGTTGCCAACTTTCGTTGCGCTTGGCGACGGGTCGTGCCGACGACATGGCCCCCACTATTGAAGTACCTTTCGCGATACGACACCCCCATCCAACCATGGGATAACATGGGACATGGGACATGGGACATGTTATATATTGATACTCGGCTCTCATGTTCTTGCCGGCCACAGGCCTTAAGAGTTAATTATAGTTTCATCACATCATAATGTTGTTGATGTTGGGCGAGGAATGTGTGCAGAGCCCAGCGGACATCAAATCAAATTTCATTATAACACAGAGTCACTATCAGACAGCTCAGCAACAATAATTGCGGAATAACGTCTTCAATTTATATCAGTTTTTTTTCTGAATTATGATTATCTTCTAAATGTCTATAAGAACCACACGACCCAACTTCTCAGACACGCGATCGCGTCTTGGTCAGTTTGAGTGGCTTGACCGCGAACTGCGAGTCTGTAGTGTTGACTCGGTCGATATCGTAAGGGTTCTCCTCATAACCAGTCGGCACGCGACGGAGCGCATTGCTGGTAGTGCGGGCCAAGGAGCCTCTCCTCGACGAGCGTGCGGCATGCGAGACTGTGGGAGTCAAGGTGTCGTCAGACTCGTTGGTCTCTGTCTGTTCCACCTCGTCGCCATCCTCAGGAGATGTGTCCTGCTCCATGGCGGCCTCGTCTTGTTCTTGCTGCCTCAGCTTCCTCATGAACTGCTCTGACTCGGCGGCGAAGTGGCAGCGCGTTCTGATGGCAGGCCCATACTTGTAGAACAGGAACGGGAATGGCACACACGCCAGGGCCAGGAACGCGGGAATGCTGGATGCCCAGTGAATACCGAGGTCCTTGTACATATATGTGGTGAAAAGCGGGAAAGCGGCACCAAATAGAGATCGCAGGACCGAGTTGGCTGCCAGCACCGAGGCGGCGAAGATGGTGTACGCATCGATGAGGTAGTTCATGATGCTGAGGAACACGAGAACCATACCGAATCCAAACGGCACACCGGCTGCAATACTCGCCAGCCAGTGTATATCCGGGTAGTTGGTCCAGGCAAACCAGAAAAGACCGATCGGGAGAGCGATAGATCCGACCATCGCCGGTGGCAGGCGGGACTCAGGGGGTGCAAAGCCGTTATTTTTCTCCTCGGTCTTGATATAACGCTTGTTGTCAGGAATATTGTAAGCGATGGCAAAGAGCATTCCCACGAGGATACCGAGGAAGGCAAGACCACCAACACCTTGACTCCATCCACGGTTTTGCTGGTAGACGATAGGGAATGCGGCGAAAAGCACTAAGATCACGAATTAATATTTGCGTTGATACACGTGGAGGGGCGGGAAATACTCACTGTAAAGTGTACCATAGATGATGGCCATGTAAATGGACAGCAACAGCACAATAGGCTCTCTGAAGAGCAGAATCCACGGCCGCGACAGGGCGGTCTTCATGGACTGACCCAGGGTAATCTTGCCTCGGTCGGCATCGATCTTGCTAACGTATTGCTTTCCGGTCATCTTGGTCATCTTGGCGGCGCGTCTGCGCAACAGAACTGGGGCGTAGGTCTCCGGGACGAGCAAAGTGCCGACGATCCAGAAAAATCCCGAGAAAGCAGCGAGGAAGCCCATCACCCATCTCCAACCAGCTGATTCTCCGAGGAATCCTCCAATGATGGGTCCAAGAACTGGTCCCAGAAACGGCGCAGCGGCAAACAGACTGGTCGCCAGGCCTCTCTGGGCAGCAGGGAACATGTCGGCAATGACGCCTCCAGCATTGGTGAGCGGCGAAGAACCGAAAGCGCCTGCGAAGAATCGCAGGATGATCAAGCTCCACGAGTTCTGGACGCCAGCGGTGCCAGCGTTGAATGCGGTCAAGGCCGCGTATGTGAAGAAGAACAGGACCTGTCGACCGAACAGCTCGCTAAGCGGCGCCCACAGCAGCGGGCCGACGGCGAATCCAACGACGAAGAGGGAGACGCCCAGCGTCGCCAGCTCCTGGCTTATGCCAAACTCCATGATGATCTGCTTCATGCCGCCGGTGTAGGCAGATGACACGAGGGCCACCGCCAGGGTCGCGAATGCGACAATCATGGTAATGAACCATTTCGTGAAGGTACTGAACCCCATCGGGTTCCTGGGGTCGTGCGGTATCCATTGTACTAGGTACGGGTCTGATTCTGTGCCGGAGCCGGCATATGGGTGTTTGAGAACGGCGTCTGTCACGCCCGCCTGGTCGTAAACGATGCGCCAGAAAGGAATCTTTGCGGGTCTTGTAGGCTCAAGATCGTCCTTCTCGTTAGGCTTGTGGTCCGCCATTTCGAGAGTGCGGAAGCCTTTTCTGGCTCGCTAATGGCTGGTATCGAGCGCGGTACTCGCTGCGTTTTGCGCAGAAACCCAAATTATCTGAGTATAGTTGTCTAGTGGCGCGTAAAGTTTAAAAGTAAACAGTCGTAACTCGTGAGGCATATGGAATTCAGACACAAAAACTCAAAACACAGACGGGCTGGGGTCTAGTCATATACGACCGAAAGGATGGCGGACAGTACACGACGCTTCGGACATTAGCACAGGAGCTGAATCAGCGACCGCGGCGCGACCCTCCGACATTCTCAAAATAAGATAGAATCCATGGCTTCGACCGCTCTAAGAGTCATGGCGTCGGCGTCGGGCAACGGAGTTCAAGCCAGCTTGGCCTGCCAAAATGCCGGCGCCGACGTCATTGCAGCGGCTGTTTGGTCTCCCGGGTGAGAATTTTGTGCAATTGTACACGAATAGCGGGCCGCTTATCAATCTAGGGGGGCCGCTCCCAGAGCGCTAGGCCGTACTCAGACACATGCCTCGGCTCGGGCGCGGCTGAGATTTACCAACGATCTGGTTGAAAGGTCTAGAAGAAATCATGGAGAAAATTGTCTATTGCTAACTTTTGGAATCTCTTCGGGTGACTTGAGATCGCCCACGCGATCCCTGTCCGCACAAGGGATCGCATCGTTTGTTGGTCCCGTTGCCGGTTGGTGCAGACAAGCACTCGGGACCGGCAATGGGTACCGATAACCTGGGCGCACTAGATCTGCACTAGAAGCGACCTGGAAAAAAAAGCGTGACTGCATAATTCAGTCGGGCACGGCGTTGCAAGCCACACCCGAAATCCGTAGCCTCTGGAAAGCTTACCTTAGTACAAGTACGCCGCTCACGAACAAATCCGAGACGGCAGGACCAGGTTATTGCTAAGCCGCGAAGGAATGTCATCAATGTTATCTCCGTCAAAGTCCATTAGATTCCACAGTACATTTTTGAAACGGGGTTGACTCATGTGAACCCCACGCTTACGAAAATTCCTGGCACCCACGAGTCGGACTAAGTTGCTAGGGATCTTTGTTCTGGACCTCGACTATCCCCGCGAACCATCTCATTGTTGGGCATTCGACAGCGAACTGTGACGTTTGAGCTGAACATCTTGCTTAGTCGGAGGACTGTCTTGCTATCTTGCGTCACCCATATTGCAGAACTGGAGGTGGTAGCACCAGTTACGAAAACATTACACGCTGGCCAGAGGACACATCGGTCGAAGAGGTCTTTTCATTGCGGGGAAAAGTTGACGTCTGCACCACGTCTTTTGGCTGGCTGAATCCTGCCGCACCGCTTTGAAATTGAAGTCGTACCTGAGGATGGAGAAAGCGGATCTTGTGGCTGCTAGTAAGTCAATAGTGCTTATTTCTAGCTGGATGGCGGCCGGCCGGAAACGATCCTCTGTCAAATCCGTTGTATCTTGAGTTATGAAGAAAACTTCTCTTCGAAAGAACAACGATAACCTGAGATTTGGGTAATGCAACTTGGAAACCGTACTGTGATACTCCTCAAAAAGTGCAGTGGTGGAACAGGTGCCAGTAGTAGTAGATCTGAAAGAAGCCAAGGTCGAGCTAAGATAACAACTTATATTGTTTGCTAGGGTGGTGCAGTTGCTGTTTAGCCATGACCAACCGAGTTCGGACACATAGCAAGCAGGACCGCAAAGCTGCCACAGGGTATTCGTACTCCGCATGAGATGCAACGATGAGGCAGTGTTAAACTTGCAGGCAAAGCTTCTTTGGGGCTGGGCGAGCAATTGAAACTTGAAAATGCCTCAGTCCACTCCTATAAGGGAAGCAATACTGATCGCCTGCAAGTATCGATATACTTTTTACCAAGCACGGGCAGCGTGAAATAGAAGCGGCGCAACCACGCTGATGGATCTTGTCTCCTAGCGGAACGATTTCTTTTTGGGCCTGGCATAGGCGACTCCTCTTTGGCACCTAGAACCTCAAATTTTGGAAGAGTCTACGCCTGGTAGGCAGTTTCCTCTTCTGCGCGTGATGGTAAGAAAGTCAATGGCGAAATCAGTGCTGCTCGTTTTGACATTGCGGCTCTCAGCAAAAGCAACGGTGAAAATGGGTCTCCTAAGTCTCCTGAGCAGCTCTTCAGGTTATTGATCTCAGATGATGGTAACTGACTGACGAATTTTTGGCGTCGATAGTTCCCCATTAATAGTCGGCCCTCGTGTCTTCTCTCATGGTATGCCGGACCTTCCAGTAATACTCTTTTTGTACAGGCTTAATTAGACCTGCGTAGTACGAGATACCAGCTCAACTCCTCATCAGTCAACGGAAGGGCTTATATCCTGTGACTTTGATTTATAATCCTTCCGCCCCTATAACGGGGCGTGTTGTATATCCTTCAAATATATATATATAACTCTTTGACAGCAACCTCATACGCATGCTTTACGGGATCGGTCTTGGCGTACCTTGATAGATATAATACAATAACTCACAATAGTCGCGCATCACACGTCTTCCCTTTGATCTACCGGTATATTAATTGGTGTACAGATGATTCATCTCCTGGTGGACAGATTTGTCTCCTGAAGTGGGGTCTCGTTGCTCTGCTGCCAAGGGTATCTTGGTATCTTATCAATGCAACATGATTACGGCATTATTAAATCAAATATAATTTCATAATACACTAGGCCGTGCCGAGGCGCACGTAGAAAAACCTGAGTGATCCTGTGAAAACAGAACTGAAAAATCGAAGTGTGCCCAAAGGAGAATTCCGGCGCTATCAGTCTTCATGCCGTATGATTCAGTCTGGATCAACAGAACCGGATGTTGGCTGGTATTCTCTCAGTGGCCACATCCTCCTTTTCTTCATCATGTCTTAAATCTAGACATGGTTAGGGCTATAATCGCAGATGACATTCACTCGCCGAAGATGTCTCTTACCGTGGTACATATGAACCAAACCAGGCGGGCAGATCCTGTTGCATAGGTCGACAAGAATAGGCGCCCAGGCCACCAGTGCTAGAATCTGTTCAAAACTCCACTCTTTCGAGCCGCCATTTCAGGAGCCAGCCTTGTCATGGGATCTGTCGCGGTGGATGTGGAATAGAACGAGGAAGGTCCACATAACCATGACCGTTGATCCATCGGGCCCGGACAGCTAAAGAGAGTGCTTGGTGATATAACCATCAGCGACGGTGTAGTTCAATATGATTTTCGTCAGCAGCATTGAGTCTTCCACGCCAAGACAATTTTCTGGATTCTCTCGGACGGCCCAACAGAAATGTTCACGGTCTGTCGGCTAAGACGAGTCCGTGGTCGGACACAGCTGTATGGGAAGATGATCGACTGCCCAGACGTGATCCAGAAGGAGCCTAGCCTCAATTGTCGCACTTCGAGAAGAGCAGCGAATGGCCGCGATTCATTGTTTATATCATCGGGTTGCATTCACGCCAAGTTTGATAAGTATCACGATATGAGGCCTAGAAGATGCGTCCGGTGGCCGTCTTAAAAGCTCACCATGAGCAAACGCAGTGGGGATCGCGGGCTTTTGACCCGTCAACGTGGTATTACAGATATTCCTGTACATAAGGGTTTTCGGCTGCCAACCGTACAGAGGAAAGAGGGTTTCTTGATTTAGAGGAGAAGACAAAAAATCTAGACGCGGTAAACACAATTATGTAGGGAATCAAACGCAGAGCCACACAAGCCGAGCTCATAACCCACCCCCCTTCCCCTACGTCTGATCAGTGGACTAAGTTTAGTATGGCAAGTACGAGGAACACTGCACCACCAAGTCTATACGTTTGATAATTCAAGATGTATCAGAGAGACATTGCATGAAATTGGTCACATTGTTGAATCTTTCGACTTTGCGAAGTGAAATGCTGGTCCCAATCATAGGATTTTCCTTGTCGTCTTTCTAGCACCATGGGTCAGGCGACTCACCCCAGAAAATATATTTGGCGTACTCAAAGTCACGGGAGACATTCCCACTCCCATTCTTCTTCACCTCGTCATGGACCAGTTTCTGGATACTGGCCATGCTCATCATTCTCCCGGTTTGATGATAGTGATACGGGTCCTGTTGCTGCGTGTTCGGCTGTTGATGTCGTTCTTCATAGTACAGTTGCATGTTCTCTCGCTGTCAGCGACGTTGGGCTTTCCATCATATCTCTCTGAGATGTTGTTGAAACCGTTCGTCTCGCATTCTTGCCTCCTCGGCCTGTTGGCGCCCCCGTCCCTTTTGCTCCTGCTGTATCATCTGTTCGCTCTGTGCTGCTTGCTGGAGTTGCAGAGCCCTTCGCTCAAGTGTGCGCATTTCCGTCCAGCGATGACGCGCTGCCTCCCATATTGAAAGTGTCTCGCTATTTTGCAATGGGCGGGCGGCCGGCTCCATGCCCCCAATTCCATGCCTCCTCGCCCGCTAAGGAGACGTCACCCAAGCCATGGTGCTCGGGTCGCGGGTTCTGCTGATACTGGTGCCGAGATGTCGTCGGCGACCGCGGTCTTGATGCTTCCTTCGCACAGCTTCCAGCATTTCTTCATCCTCTTTCTGTCGCATTTCCATGAGGCGGCTCCATGTTGCGGCTGATTGCCCCCCGGTAGACTGTTCACCTGGCTCGGAACGACTGCGCCGCGATCCACCATCTATCTTAGCCTGGACGACACAGCATGCGGCTCTGGTTCAGACTATCAGCACTTTCCGGCCTGTATCTCTCGATCTTGCTCTATATCGTATCATACGCAGTAGACAAATCAAATTATTAGCAATGTTCATAATCGTTCTTTCACTTTCACGTGTCTAGCTTAATACACCCGCCGCCTCCCCGTCTGGATTAGGTCATCATGGCCATGACATGCTTTGACAAACTAGGTGATTTCTACTGATCAAGTGGCAGATAGGGCGATCTGATATATGAATAATTGCCTTTTTGTTCGATGCGGTCCTCAGAGACCACAGCATCAAATCGGTATCCTCATCGCATGAAAACCTTGATACACTATCAGGTCCACAGAGTGAAAAGCAGTTCTTCGTTTTTGGAGAAAATACAATCGAGCCTACCACTATATAGTCAAGCTATTGTCACCATATGACTGCTGTTACACTCCACGTTTGGTCGCCAGAGACGAATATAGGCAGGTTGACAAGCCAGCTGTCTCGCATATATGACAACTGCCAAGTTTTCCCAAGCTTCCTTATGCGGGCCGCTCGCTGGTCCGATCCCATGTAGAAGATAAATGTACTACTCATTGGTATGGGGGTAAGTTACTCGTGCATTAACTAATCGACGGGCCCCACTTATTTCGTTGGTTGGTCAGTCAGTTGCTAACGTTGAACTGGTAACTCAATAGGATTCGGCACAGGAAAATTGTTTTTGCCATGCCGTTTCTTTATTTCCACACAATCAGCCAATACCGAGAGCCTTGATATTATGTCATACTCACGACCGCCATGCATTCCCCCAGGCATAGTACCTGCATGACTGCAATTGCGTGAGATATGTATACTTCTCAAAGAAGTCTAACTTCAGTTGAATCTGACAGGAATTCTTGACTTTTGTGTAATGCCATACTGGAGCGACTGCATGGTTCCAGCAAAGCCCATGCGATTGGCAGAACACCAGGAACCATGTCACAGCCAACATTGAACAGCCACCCCGGCAAGAAAAGCCTGTTTAAGAGAGCTTTTCACAACAAAGTCCGGACGGGATGCAGAACATGCAAGTAAGTCCAGTAACTCGTTATTACATCATTTCTGTTTGTTTGTGGATCGCTGGCCGCCCTTTCAAGCAAACACATCCACGGTTACCTTGGGGCTGACTGCCGGTTTCACCAGGATCCGCAGAGTTCGATGCGACGAAGAAAAACCATTTTGCAAGCGATGCACCACGACGGGCAGAGCTTGCGACGGATATGGCACCTCTCTAGCGGGCCCGCTGCCAACGACTACGGGTCCGGCCGGGAATATCTTGAAATCAAATGCAACTGCTGACCTGCCCCTCGTCGGTACCGGTAAGCCGCTTCCTGAATCACGCAGCTTTGCATATTTCCTGGACGTTACGGCACCGTCTCTCGCCGGTGCCCTGGATACTAGATTCTGGATCAAAGAGATCCCGATGATGTGCCAACAAGATCATTCTATCTGGCATGCCATCGTCGGCCTTGGCTGCGCTCACGAGCTATACATCTCCGGTATACCTCCCAGCAAACCAAATATATTCACCTTACAGCAATGCAACTTGGCAATCCGGTCTCTGACAGCGTCATACTCCAGGCACTCCTGGTGGAAAGCACTTACTGTCAGTACCATTTTAACCTGTATCTGTGTCCTTGAAGGGGATTATGATCAAGCACAAATGCATTTCGGGGCAGGATACAACCTTCTTCGTGAAGTCGACGTGGAACAGGGCACAGGCCCGGAGAGCACTCAGGGTCGTAATGGTGGCCACCAAAAGCCTCTGTCGTCTCCCATATCTCTCGTGTCTCTACGATCAATCTTGATTGGTTTCGAGATGCGGGTGGTAAAACTTAGCGGACGCAGAGTCTCGAAACTCCCGAGCCTCCTGAGTCGAGACAACAGCTTAAACCTGTGGAGACGATATACAGCGAAGGAGCCCACAGAAACCTCAAGTCACTCTCTTACACACGATGCCCTGAGCAAAGCCATAACTGCTGCCGAGTCGCTTTTCATGGAGATGGCGGTGTCGCGACGCCGACATCTTCAGCATGTAAAGAAACTGTATGATGAAGATCGACGCCATATTCTGCGGGTATGGGGGCAGCCCGAGTACGACGAGATCGAGGCATACTGCCGGTCTTTTAGAGAAGTCCACACGATGCTCGCACTTCTTGGTGCCAAAGTGGAACTAGCTTCAACCCAGGGGAGCCGAAAGTCAAAACTAGGAGAGTTTAAGAAGGCTATTCTGTCTCTCCGCCTGATCCATTCAGCGAACCAAAAAAACCTGCAGCAAGCACTACAAGGATCTACTCGGTCAACTTGCGATCGGACCCAATCAGATCTTGACACCGCTATTTGCGATCTCGCAGAGGAAGCAATGAGCCTCGAGAGAACGTATGGGTGTAAACGGAGCACCAACTCGACCATAATGAATCCCCTATTCACGGTTGCACAAGGGGGAACCACCCTGGCCGCCCGTCGCCGCGCGACTGCGCTGCTGAGAATACCGCGCACAGAGGGTCTGTGGGACACGATTCTGTCCGCTAGTATGGCCGAGGCTATCCTGTTGAGGGAGACCACAGCAACACAAAAGTATTCAGATAACGAAGAAATACGAGACCTTCTTGCACGAATACGCCTGTCAGAGGATTTGGGGGGAGGTGGAGGACTTTTCTTCGATGGTGAAATCCATCCTCTGGCGCGGATATGTCAACTTGATGTGTCACTTGGCCAAGGCAGAAGTGGGACAATCAGATTGGCGACATGGTGGGAGTACCTCGAGGAGAGGCCCGCCCAAGACTTCGTCCTCCAGTGGTAGCTCATCCTATGGGGATAAACCCCTGTGTGAATAGCCCAGTCCTATCAACTTATTGATTCTGTCGCCCAATCAGACGCACACGTTATGTACCAAGCCCGTGCCAGCTAGACCTATACGATATGTGTCAATGGACCGGCATTACCCCATTGGCAGGGCAGAATTATCATATTATTACAAACTCAGGCTATCCACCTAGGTACGTAAGCGCGCAGCAGCGTGGCTTGTCCGATCGCCCGTGCTTGTCGCTTCATGCGTGACCGTTAATCTAAAGCCTCATATCTCGAAGAGCTCTCGTATATACCACTATAATCCGTGCATCTAAAGTAGCTATGAGTGTATCTAAACACGTATAATGCTTATCCTAAATTGACCGGATCGGCATTGAGTTCTTGTATGACCTCGTCCCAGCCTGTCTTACCCGAGAATAACTTCACCTTGAGGTCGTCACACACGGTACCGTTCTTTGGCAGCTCTCCATTGGTGAAGTACGCCCGGATAGCCTTGGCGGTGCACAAGGAGCCCTGCTGCATCGAATCATGCTGCAAGACGAATTAGCAGAAAAACTCGCTAGATGACGCTGGGAGGCTACTCACGCCGTAGCTGACCTGTTCCAGAAGAACGCTCCCTTGAAACGTATCGCTCACGTTCTTGGCCGAGACAAGAGGCGTCACGGGATCATAACGGTTGTTGACGATCAAGATAGGATTCTTGGTCTTCACATTCCAGTCGCCCGAGTAACGCTCCTTGGCGGGCATTTTCCATTGGGCACACCGAAAGAGCAGGTTGTCGGTGGCATCACCCTCAAATCGGCTGAGGCTACGACGGGCCTGTATGACAGGCAGGAGATCAATCGCGCTGCCAGCGTGTGTGAGCACATCACTGCACTTGATGCCCCACAGAGCCTCCGCGTCAGCAGTCCTGGCCGGCGGGGGATTCGACGCAGGACTGGACAGGCCGGCAAGTGTCTGCGCCATTTCTGGCCATAATTGTGGGAAGTCTAGCATTGAAACGATATAGCTCTTAAAGGTGCTGTAGTCAATGAGGGTGCCTCCTCCGAGAGTAGCGATGTCGGGCAACGGTATAGGGGACTGTTTGAGTTGTTCGAGCGAGATGTATAGGGACTCCTCTAGCTGCGTGGAAGTCATGTTCTGTGCCAAAGGACACGCGGTGGGCGCCGCGACGCACCCGCTGGCAAAGCCGCGAATAACATCGTCCACAGAGGCCATTCGCTCACTTTCACTGGCAACGCGGGATAGGTCAGTAGGTGGGGCTGGATGAGGCTTGCGGGCCTATACTTACGTGTTCTGATAATACTCAAAGGGATTCACTACGCCATCCAAGACAATCTTGTCAATCTTGTCAGGGAACATGGCCACCAACGTCGCTCCCAGGAGGGTGCCATAGGAAAAACCTGGAATTATATATGTCAGTCGCCGTCCTGACGCTCGATTCCGGGTTCTGAGGCGAACTCACCCCAGTAGCGTAGCATCTTGTCTTCTTCCAGGGCCTCAACGACTTGCATCGTGTCTCGGGCTGTAAACGCCGTGCCTATGAGTCGACCTGTATCGTTTTGCAGCGTCTCGCAAGCTGATACGAATATGCTCGACTGAGCCCAGACTTCAGCGAGAGCAACGTCTGACGCGTTGGTGGCGAGAGGCTTCTCCCCAACGTAGCGAGAAGCCTGACTAGTGTAGCAGGAAAAGGGCATTGTATTGTTGGTTCCCCTATTTTCCATGTCTCTGATTAGCCCAAATTCCCAGCATTTATGTTGCGGATGACCGGAATAGTCTGTACCTCGGAATAACATTGACGAGATCGTGGTAGCCACCGGTGGCGCTACAGAACCAAGATGATCAGCATTTGGCCTGTTGAGCCGTAATCTCCTGTGAACCTACGCCTTGATCTCTTCGATAAATGTTGCAAAATCTTCGATGCCACTGGCACCCGGCCCGCCAAAGTTGAGGAAGATGCTGCCTTTCTTTGGTTGCTTGGTTGCCGGAATTCGCAAGATCTCAATTTCTAGTCGCTGGGTAGAATTCGGGTTGGTGTAGTCAAGCGGCACCAACATCTTCCCACACTCTCCGGGCACACTACCAATAGGGCCAGTGATGTTGCATGAGTTCCAGAGAATGCAGTTCGTTGAATTGGCGGTGGCGAGGCTAGCCAACGCCACCAGGAGTGTGGCAAGCGGTTTTGAGAAGCCCATAATGATCCCAGGATGTCGATTATGAAGTAAACGGTGATGATGTGAGCAAAAGTCGCTGGGTAGGTCTCACCTGCATCACTCCTTTTATATGATTATATTCTGACTTTATTATCGTGTCTTTGCTCACAAATAGTGCGGGCGACATTATGTCATAGGACCAAGATAATTTCGCAGGCTGTGTTGTTCTGAGAGTTGAGCCCATTCCAATTCTAGCCAAGAAATGAGATTTTCTGCAGGCTTCTAAGCAATAGCTCACTGCATGAGAATCCTTCGTCCTCCCTAGAATTATGGGATCTAGAAGGAGTATCTGAGCAGCCAATGAGAGGGGTTCTGGTACGAGCTACCTTGGTGCGCAAGCGGAAATAGCACCGCTACTAAGATGAATCGTGTCGAACCCACTCGTGATGAGTGGCCGTAAACGTTGGGCAGAATTATTAATCATATTGAATGACGTGACCTCATATTACTCTTCGTGCCAAGGATTTAATCCCAACGCATCATCCTTGAACTATCAGTTGAATGGGTGGCTGCAACTGTGAGGTTGGCAGTGCTAGCTACTACTTAGTAGCTATGCGGAGATGTACGAAAAAAGAAAGATGAGACAATGAACGTACTTGGGCTGTGTTCTGATGGTGGATTGCACCTGGAGCCCAAACACCGGGATGGAACAGAGCGGCAACTCATATGAACGCCGTGAGTATATGCTTCCCATGAGCCTAGGAACTTTGCGCGAAAGAGTGCTTCTCGTAAATTAGTCGCAGTGGCAGCGAGCCAACCTCTCTCTACCTCGCAATATCAGTATTTACACCCAACTCACCATCAGTCATCGAAAACACCAGCAGCGTGCAGATACGAATGACGGCATGGGGGAATGCATGGTCCTCGGGCAATGGTGGGCCTCCTGAAGTCATTGGTGGGCTCGTACCCCGAGGACGCTGATTGGGCAGCCCTGTTGATAGTTAGTGTAGTGGACCTGCATGCCACTCCAAATTGGGGAGGTTTGCAGATACGCCTCAAAGGTCAAGGCACACAACAAGTGGTGGAACTGGGTACAATTATTAATGAGAAATCAAGAGTGTAATCTCAGTTGAAATACCAGAGCAGCACTCTTACCAGCCACGATTGAATTAGATTAAAAATTCCGCTGTGATCTACTCCAGGGAACAGAAGGTCAAGGCGCGCAGAACCAGAAAATACTTTCTCGGCAAGGCCAAGATCTTAGGAGAAAAGGCAGACGTCTTCACCATGGCCACGCATTGGGACCCCGTCCACAAGATGATTTTCCTGGCGAGGATGAGGATACCATCATTGCGCGGGACTAATTATATTTATTTATTATTTTAAATTACTCGGTGACGGTGTTCGACCGGTTTGGTGTATATTAATTCCTTAGTAATGTTAAAGTATTGGCCCCGAAAAACCTACTCTATTTGAGAAGCCGCTCGGCCGGCCGTGGATACGCTTTAACGACCCCGTAAGCCGTTTTCTCTAAGGTTCTGTCCGACCAGGTACAAAAATCAGTTTACTAGGTATAAGTACTAGTGTTTTAGTAGCGGCCGACCAGGTGTAAAAGCTCCTACCAAACCAATAGTGCGTATATACCCGATATATACGATTACGGCGATTTACGCTATATATATACGTTAAAATTGATAAAAAGCTTTATAATAGATATTACGTATATATTTAATATATATTTAATATATATTTAATATATGTTTAATATATATTACGTTTATACCTCACCTATTTTTTTACCCGATATCGGGGAATTATGTATATGTTTAATATATACGCACTATTGGTTTGGTAGGAGCTTTTACACCTGGTCGGCCGCTACCAATACACTAATGTTTGTACCTGGTAAACTGATTTTTGTACCTGGTCGGTTGGGGCTCTTTTCTCTTTCGGAGACCTTCCCCCAAGAGCATCCCAAGCCCCGGGCAAGGGCCGAGACAGTACCGCCCCGTGTCCGGCACGGACCCTACGGTTGCGTGATCCGAATTTGCACCTTAAGCCAGCCACAACGGCAAACCCGTTTTTAAGCTGACCGACATGCGCATCCGTCCTCTACAGCCACTAAATCATCTCCGCGAGTCTCGATGCAGAGGCTCATACGCCGGTGACACCACGCTGCCTCCAGCGGCGGCCCAGACAAGCTCACTCCAGTTACAAGCAGCAACCCAGGTACGAATTGGGAGAGAAGCTTCTCTGCTGCCTTCTGGTCATAACTGTAGTGCCGCGGCCCACCGGCTACCCTGCGCGACCCCAGGACCAGCTTCCCGTTATCGGCACGGATCTCCCCGATACCAGCCGACCATGTCTTGTAAGGAACTCGGTGCCAATCAATCTCACCGGCATCGACCAGCTCGAGATCCAACGCTGTTCGTGTGGTCTGTATGGAGGTTCGAATGCGCCACGGTGAATAAGCCCCTCACGGCAACACCCAACCTGAATATTGGGACCGCACACCACCGACGCAATAGACACGCATCGATTCTACTTACACCGGACACCGTGAGAAAGTCAGGTAATTTTTCCTACTGCTCTTTCAAGCAGCATCCAGTGCGCTCACCGGAGGTTGTCGCGCCATCTTACACCCATGTTTGTGCCACAAACAAGAACCGGGACACTATGGGGCAACACGAGAGAGCATGCGAGATCTATTGGATATGGTCTCGAATTGTCGAGCCGGACGTATACCCAGATTGAGACAATGCCTAATTGAACTTGCAGGCTCTCTTTCAGTCCTGGCCTGTGTCCATGACAACACGAGGGTCCAAGACGGTCCAAGAGGGAGGGTCCAAATGGTTCAAAGGTTCAAATGGCCTCAAGGGTTCATGCAGCTGACGAGGGGCGTTTGGTTGCCTTTTGACGGTCTGTATCCGCCGTTACATCCAGACTCGGTATCGCAGCAATCGACGCGGCCGATGCAGCTGCTCCGCTTCAGGTTCTATAGACCTCGTACAGGGCGTCTCCTGAGTGGTGGACATGAGACCTAGGTCTCTTGGCGTGCTACCAGCTGTGCCGCAAGCTACAACAGAATGTGGCGCAGAACATCGCCTCTGCCAAACTTCGACACTGGTAAGACAGCGCTTCATTGGGACCTTCATTGGGACCATCGCGGCTGTCGAGAATCATAGCAATGCGCAGTGCACTGCTGAGAGCTACACCAGGCCGACACGGCGCTTGTAGAAACCGCGCCTCTTGGACAGGATAGAAGATGTAAATACTATACGGCAGTAATAGATAGGTTTGTGATACCCCACCAGGCCCATTATGCAGGCTCATCCTGTCAGCCGCCATGCGGCCGCACAACCCTGGCTAAACGCTTGAGAGTCTTCATGATTGGGCTGGACTATACGTCCCTGCTGCACGTTGTGATTTTGCAACACGAGACGAGAAATACAGGGTCCGTAGTGTGTATCTTCTGGAGACGTGAGCGAGCACTATCAGAGTTGTATAGGTCTCTCCCAAACCAATAAATCACTGTTGAGTCCTTACAGCGGTAACTCTGGCACAGGGATGGTTCTCAATTTGGGCTTAGAGAAATTTCTTACAAATATAGACTACCTCGGTCTACTTTATCTCTTATAAGTATAAGGCTGCGAAATTTCTCCTCAAAACTGAATCTGTCTCCTTCTCCCTACTCAGCAATTCATCACTCTCCCAACTCTTTTCCCTACCTAAAACAAACAACAATCACCAAAATGAAGTTCAACCTCGCTTGCCTCGCGGCCATTTTAGCTGTTCCTACGGCCACGGCCTGCAACTTAGATCTGAAGTGGGTCTCCAACTGGGCTGAGGCCGGCTATCACAGATACCGCGTTCAACTCATCACCACCCCTCGTAATGACGACGACCTCGGAGTGTTCTGCGAAGCCCTCGGTAGAGAGCTGGGTCAAGTCGCATGGGTTCCAAATGTTCAATGCCATTGGAATGACGACGGTAGTTTCGTTGCCGATGCTTCCTTCTATGAAGGTTCGGGTGGCTATGGGTAAGTCTTAAGAAACCCCCCACCCCCTGCCTCCGCTCCTTCTCCTCCTCTCGACAAAAATACTGATGCAAGCGCGTCTGCTTTTCCTTTATCACAGAGACTATCGCCATACATTCTACGCAGCCGCGGATGACTATCGAGCCGCGAGGGGATGCACTACTGGAATTGATATTTGACCATGGATTAGAAACGTGGCACGCAACGTACTAGCCATGATGACCGGGCGGATCTTCTATGGTGGAACCACAAATTGTCACTCGCGGCGTAGCCAGACCGGTAGGGTCAGGTCAACACGGTGGAGCAGCACGCCTATGACTTATAGCCGAGCCTGGTGGCCCCTATTGTAAGAGGCGCGGTTAATATACTCTTCAATTGACTATCCTGATTGACAAGCATCTTAAACTTGAAGAGGAGGTATAATACTTGGTCTCCTCTCTACGTGGCGAATCCATTAAATTTCGTGCACTCCTCTCAAGAGTCCGTGAAATTTGGTTTTGAGTGAACGACGCTGTGCCCATAATTCAGGTTGAAGGCTTTAGTAGACGGACGACCTTATAGGGGCCATAGCCCGTGACACTTCTGACCCACCCGCGTCCTTTGGGGGTTCAGGGCCATTGACTGGCACAAAATGACCCATACATCCAGACACACCTAATGTAACTCGTAAACCAATGTAGCTCTGTATAATCCAATGATCTCGTTGTCAAATAAACAACAACTCAGATAGCCACCCAATTGACTTATACGCCAAAATTCACTCTACACCTGAATTCTATCACGTACTATGACCCCTATAAGATTATCTACTCAAGCCTTCAACCTGAATTATACAAATACCGGGACAGCTATAAATTGAGAACTCTATACCCAACCTTCCATCCTTTTCCAACCGATCCTTCGGAATCCTTGTGTTGGATTTGTAACCATTTTGAGTCATGGCGTGCCGTGTTTTTCCCTCACTGGCTATGAGTCTCCCCAGATGCATCCCAGTCAAGGACTACATGTATGGTAAAAAGACCTCCAGCGCATCAAAGAAGTCGACCAAATATTCCCGATCATCCCATTTCAACTCCTTGATAAGGACCTCGGAATTTAAATCAAGCCGGTTGCCATAATAGGTCTTGAGAGTGCTGAGTCTATAGATCAATAGCATAATTACCCCATTTCTTTGCTTCAAGATTAAACCCTCTTAGTATGGGTGGGGGGGAAGCATCTCCACGGTGCATCGCTTTGTCTTATTGTATTTGAGGCAGGCGGTCGTATGCATCAGTACTCCCAGGTATAACGAAAGGAATACCTCCAGGATTGGTGGACTTGTTGCTGGCAGATTCGGTATGCAGGACCATCCTCCGATCTTGATCTTTGTGTCAATGCAGTTTATCTTGGTGACCACGCATGCCTGGCTATTACCTGCTTGGCGAACCAGGACGATCTCGTTGGGCCTAAACAGCTTTAAGGCATGATAATGAGTGACCAGCCCCCGACGATATAAATTCTCTGCTGCATCGTATTCGTTGCCATAGTGCTGTGATAGGAACGAAATGAGGGGCTTGAATACGGGGCTATACTTTCCATCTTGCTCTGCCATATCTGCAAGGGCTGCTCGAATGTGAAACACACCACATATGGCGCCTCTATTTCCTTGTTGCTGCCCTAATAGGGATCGTGTTCTGCAACATGTTGTAGGGTTCTGTCCAAAACAGGCGAACAGACTCTGATCCTCTCTTTCCGCGGGCTACTTTTCCTGCCTCCACCCGGTCGTGGGAGATTGAGGTTGTCTAAACCTACTTGCTCCGTCACACAGTCATGTTCTTTGATAACAACAAAACACACATGTGATCGTTTCTCGACCATACATCGAGGTCTTTGATTGGAACATCTGCAGTGACGTGACTACGGTTTTCGAGGGCTCTTTGCGCAAGGTTGGCTCGTCTTTGAAGTAATGCTTTGAGTGACTGTGCCGATCGCTGTTGCAAAAGACGTGGTGGAACACCTCCAGCTTCAGATCTGATCGACAAAAAGTCTCCGCTCTGGCGTTTTCGCCTTCTTCGGATTCCCAGCCGCTCTCATCAGAGGTCGCAGCAAAGTGTAGCTTAGTTTCTGACAGATTAATCGTGTCAAGAAGATGCTTGACAAACGCAGAAATTTTATTCGTGCGATTCAACAGATCTATACCAAGATACTTCTCTGATGCATGATTCATCGCTGTGGCCAGATCCTGTCCCAAGATCTGTCTACCCTGTAATGTAATCGTTTTTGACTGGCTCATGGTGAGATCAGATCGGTCCTCCTGGTATTCAATTTGCGTGCTGATGCCAGCCTCTGCAACACCCTACTCAAGGTAACCTTTGCCGGGATTGTTTTGCTGATCAGCGTATGAAGAGGTAAATTCCTCCATAGTCAAGCCTGCCATTGATGATTCAGGTCCATGGAGCGTTGACGACGATATATGTTGCAAAGTCTCCCCGCGTCCAGTGTCGGGATCGCATTCGAACCAGCTTGTTTTCTCGCTGCCAAGTCGTTGCTTTCCTTCCCGTCTACGATACCCGGAAAATATGCGTCTGACTCGCGTCCTCAGGTGTCGCCTCTTGTAATTGTCGAGTCAGAGAATAGAGGTCCTCTTTCATCGTTACCTGGACCATGACTGCTGCCAGGAGGCTGGTGACCACTCGCACGGCTCTGAAAACCACCGGGGGCGAGTGGATACATGACTTCTGACTATCGCGTCTCGAAGCAGAACCGCCCACTGCAAAGCATGAGAAGTTGACTTGATTTTAGCAGTGAGGAGGCAGAACTTGAGATTTTTTTTTTTTTTTACAGATATCAACCCAGACTGTCTAAACATCAGGCACTTATGCAGCAAAAGGTCTTACCTGCAGTGAAAATCTCCCCGACAGGAGGGGGCGGCTCTGAAAACCACCGTGGCCGACCCTAGGCAGGCATTGTATCGGTTTGCTTATCAGAACGCTCGTGATTTAGTTATACGTGAGATCTTTGATGTTTCATGCTTGATGGTGACACAGATGTGGCTGGTGCTAGATCCGTGCTAGATTTACTGAGCCAAGGTCCTGAAGGCTCTGCCGAAGCCTATACTTGTGAGATGTACAACTAGCAACGTGGTTCAGTTTCTACGAGCAAAGTAGACTTTGATTCTAAGCGCACGGAGGGACCGACTCTACAAGTCGAGATACACGAACGAAAAGCAAATCATACAGCTTTGAAGAATCAATTTCACTGATAGTTTCAACGATATGCAGCTCACTTGAAAAGCTACACAGTGACAAATTTTCCCAGCTCATCAGCACCGTATCAAAATTGGCATCTATCCATAGTCACAGATCAACGTACGCGATTTGTATTCGCGATAGCTGTCGTACGGATTCTGTCTCGGAGGGCTTTGTAAACGCTAATAGACAATACCTGGCTAGCCGATATAACTATGTTGTGCAACTTAAACGGCAGGTTTACAGTCAGTCAGTCAACGTTGCGCTAAGGCATCCCTGGACTGCGGGGTTGCAGCCGGACTCGCGCACCTGCAAGCAGGGCACGGTGATCTGCTTGACGCTCGCGCTCAACTACCCTGTTAAGCCTGTCTTCTTTTGCGAAGATCACCTCATCGAGTTACCTTCCGTCTTGACCTTAGCTCCACCAGCGCGCCCGCTATGGATGACCTCAAGACCCCCATCTGGGCAAGTGCCGCGCCCCAATCTTGCAGCGGAGTGCCTATCACGGCCCATGGCCCCTGATGAACCCGTCCGGCTTGCGGCCTTCCAAAGCTTGGCGCGGAAGCTGTGCAGATGGCGCGGGCATCGCGTGAACCCTGCATGGGTACCGTTCATAAAGTTGCTCCTCTTCCCCTCGACCAAGTCGTCTGCAGCTTCGGACCTTGGCCGACTGCTTTATAGCTAGAGTCTATACATCGCTACTATCTGTCCATATCCCACCATGGTTCGCTGCGGCTCGGTGGCGAGCTTGCTCTCGCTTCCGCTCTTGACCGAGGCCTTCCAAGGACTGCCGGTGCCGGTCAGCGTGCTCCGCAAGCAGGTAAACAATGCCTCTCATCTCGGCCTCATTGCTTCCTAATACTGACCTGGCAAAGGTGAAGTCTCCCAGCGGCCTATCCGTGCAGGAGACCGACGAAGTTGCTGCGACATACCCTGCCTATACCATTTCCACGCCCATCGATCACTTCCACAATGACTCGATCTACGAGCCGCATTCCGACGGATATTACGACATGAGGTACTGGTTCGATGCGCAATACTACGAAGAGGGTGGTCCAGTCATTGTCCTGGCAGCTGGAGAGACCTCTGGCGCAAACCGTTTGCCGTTCTTGCAGAAGGGCATCGTAGCACAGCTCGCCAGTGCGACCAAGGGCATTGGAGTGATCTTGGAGCACCGGTATTATGGAGAGAGCTGGCCTGTGCCAGATCTCTCCACGCCCAACTTGCGCTTCCTCACCACTGACCAGGCATTGGCCGACACGGCCTACTTCGCCCAGAACGTCAAGTTTGAAGGCCTGGAAGATTACGACCTCAGCCCCAATAACACGGCGTATATTGCGTACGGTGGTTCTTACGCCGGTGCCTTCGTAGCCATACTGCGGAAGCTGTACCCCGACATCTACTACGGGGCAATTTCCTCCTCCGGGGTGACCGAGGCCATCTATGACTACTGGCAGTACTTTGAGGCTGCGCGCATCTTTGGTCCTCCAGCCTGCATTGAGGCGACTCAGAAGGTAACCAATGTGGTCGATAACATCTTGATTGGCCACAATGGCAGCGACTATGTGACCGAACTGAAGAAGGCATTCGGCCTTGGGGGTGTCAAATCCAACCCCGACTTCGCCAATGCATTGACCGGCGGTATCAGTGGTCTCCAAAGCTATAACTGGGACCCCACGCAGAGCAGTGATGAGTTCTTCGTCTACTGCGATATCGTTGGCAATGATACGGTCTACTATCCCGATACAGAGTCGCTTAGGCCGACTGTCGAGAAACTCATCTCTGTCGGTGGATGGGAGAACGAAACGAGCACACTGACAAACCACTTTTTGAACTACATTGGCTATGTTCGAGACACCAGAGTTGCCAGCTGTGACGGTGATCAAGAGGAATGCTTCAGCACAAGCGACCCCGACTTCTATGCCCAGACTGCCATAACGCAAACTTGGAAGTCTTGGCCTTACCAGTACTGTACGCAGTAAGTGCCTATGAGCGAGTGCCGGCCGTGCCATCCAGCTGGCAACCTGCTCATAGAAGCTGACGTGGAATCTAGATGGGGATATCTTGCGACTGGCAGCGGAGTCCCGGCCGGCCAGCTACCGCTGATCTCGCGCACGATTGACATCCCCTACAATGCCGCCATCTGCGCCCAAGCCTTCAATATAACTACTCCCTCTGATGTGGAGGCTATCAACAAATACGGCGGCTTCAACTTGAGCTATCCTCGGCTGGCTTTCATCGATGGTGAATGGGACCCTTGGCGTGCAGCAACTCCCCATGCTCTTGAGGTCCCTGAGCGGCCTGACACCATCGACGAGCCTTTCAGGTTGATCGCAAAAGCTGTCCATCACTGGGATGAGAATGGCCTGTTCCCCAACGAAACAACGGCAGACCTACCGCCCACGGCGGTAAAGGAGGTCCAGCAGTACGAGGCCGTCTTCGTACAGGAGTGGCTGAAGGAGTGGAATGCAAAGAGTGCGAAAGGTGGACTGCCATAACCCCCCTTAAGTCCGATACGACGAAGTTTCTTCTCGACGAAATCACTAACAGGTGTTATAGATGCAGTCGGTGATAAGCCAAAGTCCATTCATGCCCTATACAAGCAATACTAGAGATCATTACATTGAATGACTTAAGTCTGGAATGCTTTTGCATGCGATGAAACACTCTAGCAAGTCATGAAGCCCATTCAACGCTGCATTAGACTTTTGCTTTCGGCCCTGCCACTTGAGTCAAGCCAGGTGTCCCACATTAGAACGAGTCCCTATCATTTGTTTGTCATTCAGAATTCTCCCCAAGTGTGACCCGCCAGCTCTCTCAAACCTGCCGTTCAGTGCCAAAATATTCGAGAATCTGGATACCATGATATGCGTCAAGAATGTGGATCCGCCTCAATGTTACGAAGTGACTTTTCGTCGTTATATTAGGTCGAATCGAATCGAAGTTGTGACAGGTGACTTTGCACAAAATGCTTTAGAGCTGCCTCAGACCAGTCCCCCGTTCTTTGAGAACTGAAGAAATCCAGACAAATACCCACCCTCTTCTCCAGTTATGGGGAACCGCACCAGAGTCTCTGTTCCAGTGGCTGCGCAAGAGGAGCATGCCGAATGATGTCAGAAGGGTTGGCAAAATGACGGAGATTTTAAGCTTCCAGAAACCCGCGGTCGGGCTCTCGACTCGCCCTAGACTCAGCTGATGGCTGACTAGCGACACCACCAATCGCTTTAGTTCCTGGATTTCTAAGCCTCGCCCTTTGCCAACTAGAGCGCAGTTATGCAGGTCTACCGCCGGCCCGTATGGTTAGGCCCCACCATCAGCATTAGTAGCAGTTCTCGGGCTTGCGTTGGTTCCCGAACCCGCCTGTGAGCCATACTGACTAACAGGACGACGTTTAACTCCGTCCCCCGTGCCAAATACCAGTGGTATGAATTGACTATAATAATCTGGACCAGGCACCGTGATGTTTTCCAGGTCGGACATTCAACTGCGTTTTCCTTCGTATCTTTGCCCATATTATTCGTTCCTGCCAAGCCGGCGAAATTCGGCTCAAACCGTTATCGTTTATACATCTAACTTCGTCAATTTCTCTTCATGATGTCGTCAGTGGAGCTTACCGAGTTCCGCGAATTCGACAGCGAAACTTCGAGTTCGACAGAATATGAGGAATATGATGGCCTCCAACGGGCTTCATCGATAATTGGAGAGAACGACAGGCGAGAACTACAAAGGTTAGCGACTACTTTATCGCGGCACCCGTCTCTTGCCACACGACCTCGAGATCCCAGAGCATCAACAGGCCTCGAACGGATAGAAACTATAGGCGATGATGACCCTAGGCTTCGACCGGACTGTAAAGAGTTTGATGTTGCAAGATGGCTCAAACGGTTCATCGACGATATGCGAGCCGAGGGGTTGACCCTCAAGCAGAGTGGTATTTCCTATGAGAACCTCAACGTTTCTGGTACAGCCGCGGCTCTTCAGCTGCAAGATACGGTGGGCAGCATGCTCACAGCTCCTCTTCGACTGGGCGAGATGTTCAGTTTCGGACGCAAGGAGCACAAAAAGATCTTGCAAAATTTTGACGGGTTGGTCAGAAGTGGAGAACTCCTAATAGTGCTAGGCCGACCAGGCTCAGGATGCAGCACATTATTGAAGACCATGTGTGGAGAGCTGCATGGATTGACTGTGGATGACCAGTCGACCATCAGCTACAATGGAGTCCCCCAGAAGATTATGATGAAGGAGTTCCGAGGAGAAACTCCATATAACCAAGAGGTTAGTCATTATCGAATCCTTGCTCTATTCCATGCATACTTACCCTTGAATACATAGGTGGACAAGCATTTCCCCCACTTGACCGTTGGTCAAACTATGGAATTTGCGGCGGCTGTGAGGACACCCTCAAACCGCATTAGAGGCATGTCTCGTGAGGAGATAGCCAAGGTTGGAGCCAAGGTTGCCATGGCGGTCTGCGGCTTAAGTCATACATACAACACCAAGGTTGGTAACGATTTCGTACGTGGCGTATCGGGTGGTGAGAGAAAGCGTGTCAGTATCGCGGAAATGATCCTGGCTGGATCGCCACTGGCAGCGTGGGATAACAGGTTCGTTACCCCTAAAAGTCCGATTTAAGAGTTCCAGGCTGATCAACGCCAATCTAGTACGCGCGGCCTTGACTCTGCGACTGCACTCAAGTTTGTGCAGACACTCAGACTCGGCGCAGACTTGTGCGGCAGCACCGGAGCAGTCGCCATATACCAGGCCAGCCAGTCTATATACGATCTTTTCGACAAGGCTACTGTCCTGTACGAGGGACGCCAGATATACTTTGGTCCTGCCAACGCCGCCAAAGACTTTTTTGAGCGACAAGGGTGGTTCTGCCCGCCACGGCAGACGACCGGTGACTTCTTGACTTCGGTCACAAACCCGCAGGAAAGACAGCCACGCCCTGGAATGGCAAACGAGGTACCACGTACTCCTGAGGAGTTTGAACGATACTGGCGCCAGTCGCCGGAATTCCAGGCACTCCAGAGCCAGATAGCTCAGTATCGTGAGGAGTACCCCTTAACCGAGGGCGGTGGCCAAAGCCTCTCGGTGCTTCGCCAGCAGAAGATCGACAGCCAAGCTAAGCATGTCCGTCCTGGATCATCTTACCTCATCAGTGTCCCAATGCAAATTCGGCTCAACACGAAACGAGCTTACCAACGGCTCTGGGGAGATAGATCAGCAATCATGACCACGGCCATCTCCCAGCTCATCATAGCCCTCATCATCGGTTCCGTCTTCTACGGCACCCCTGATGCATCCGCGGGCTTCCAATCGAAGGGATCCGCTATCTTCGTGGCCATATTGGTGAACGGATTGATGTCGATCTCTGAGATTAGCAGTCTTTACGCCCAACGACCAATCGTGGAGAAGCACGCCTCATACGCCTTCTACCATCCGGCGACCGAGGCTATAGCGGGCATCGTGGCCGATTTGCCGATCAAATTCCTCCTGTCGACTATATTCAACATCATCTTCTACTTTATGGTTGGACTCCGGAGGGAACCCGCTCAATTCTTCCTCTTCTTCCTGATTACATACGTGTGCACTTTCGCCATGAGCGCTATCTTCAGGACAATGGCTGCCGTTACGAAGACAGCGTCACAAGCCTTATCCTTAGCAGGAGTAATGATCCTTGCTCTTGTGATCTATACCGGTTTCGTCATCTCCGTCCCTTTGATGCATCCGTGGTTTTCTTGGATTCGGTTCCTCAACCCGCTGTTCTACGGTTTCGAGATCTTAGTTGCCAACGAGTTCCATGGAAGAGAGTTCGTTTGCTCCAGTATCATTCCCGGATACTCGCCGCCGATAGGCGAATCTTGGATTTGTTCTGTGGTTGGCGCGGTAGCTGGGCAATCAACTGTCAGCGGCGACGCATTCATTGCTGCCAACTACCAGTATTACTACTCTCACGTTTGGCGGAACTTTGGTATCATACTCGCGTTCTTGATATTCTTCATGGGTGTTTACTTCACGGCTGCAGAATTGAACTCAACTACGACTAGTACCGCCGAGGCATTGGTCTACCAACGTGGACGAGTTCCAGCACATCTGAAGAAGGGGGCACGTCTCAGCCCAGTTGATGAGGAGATGGCAGCAGCTTCTCAGCCCAAAGAAGACGAAGGGACGTCCGACATGCGAGCCATTGAGCCTCAGAGGGATATCTTCACTTGGCAAGATGTCGTCTATGATATCGAGATCAAGGGCGAGCCTCGGCGCCTGCTGGATAATGTCTCTGGCTGGGTCAAACCAGGCACGCTCACTGCGCTTATGGGCGTCTCTGGGGCAGGGAAAACCACTTTGCTGGATGTCTTGGCTCAGAGAACCACGATGGGTGTCATCACTGGTGGCATGTTTGTGAACGGCAAGCCCCTAGATGCGGGATTCCAGAGAAGTACGGGCTACGTGCAGCAGCAAGGTATGCCAGATGAATCCACCGATGATCTTTCACTCAATACTGACTGGTACAGATCTACACCTTGAAACCGCCACGGTGCGAGAGAGCTTACGCTTTAGCGCGATGCTGCGCCAGCCCAAATCAGTGAGCAAGAAGGACAAGGACGACTATGTTGAGGAGGTGATCAAGTTGCTGAGTATGGAGACCTTCGCAGATGCCGTGGTCGGTGTCCCGGGAGAAGGCTTGAATGTTGAGCAGCGGAAGCTTCTGACGATCGGAGTAGAGCTCGCAGCGAAACCCAAGCTGCTGCTCTTCCTGGACGAGCCCACAAGTGGCCTCGATTCCCAGAGCTCTTGGGCCATTTGCTCCTTCCTGCGCAAGCTTGCCGATGCCGGCCAGGCTGTTTTGTGTACAGTTCACCAACCGAGCGCCCTGCTATTCCAGCAATTTGACCGACTGCTGTTCCTTGCTAAAGGCGGTAAGACGGTCTACTTCGGAGAGATTGGCGAGAACTCGCACACACTGCTCGAATATTTCGAGTCGAATGGCGCACGCAAGTGCGATAGCCAGGAGAATCCGGCAGAGTATATGCTGGAGATCGTCAATCAAACGCAGGATGGTCAAGGCCGAGATTGGCACTCGGCTTGGAAGGCAAGCCACGAGGCTCAAGCTGTCCAAGCCGAGATTCAACGAATTCACTCCGAAAAGCAAAGCCAAGTAACAGCAGGAGACAGTAGAGGAGATGCACACAACGAGTTTGCGATGCCGTTCCTTGCACAGCTCCAAGAGGTTACAGTCCGAGTGTTTCAGCAGTATTGGAGGACGCCAAGCTACATCATCGCCAAGTGCTTCCTCGCGATCGCAGCCGGCCTTTTCATCGGCTTCTCCTTCTACCAGGCCAATACGAGCTTGGCAGGCATGCAGACTATCGTCTTCTCCGTTTTCATGATCATCACCATCTTTACGACCGTGGTACAGCAAATTCAGCCCGTGTTCGTCACCCAGCGATCACTGTACGAAGTTCGCGAGCGACCTAGCAAGGCCTACTCGTGGCAGGTCTTCTTGATTGCCAACGTCATTGTGGAGGTTCCATGGCAGGTCCTGATGGGTATACTGACGTATGCGTGCTTCTACTACCCTGTGACCGGCATCCAGAGCTCGGAGAGGCAGGTTCTGGTTCTCCTGTTCTCCATCCAGCTCTTCGTCTACGCAGCCTCCTTCGCGCAGATGACCGTTGCCGCTCTGCGAGATGCCGAAACTGCCGGTGGGATCGTCACCCTTCTCTCGATGATGAGTTTGACATTTTGCGGTGTCTTGCAGGCCCCCAGTGCTCTTCCTGGGTTTTGGGTGTTTATGTATCGCGTGTCGCCGTTCACATACTGGGCCGCGGGCATGGTAGCAACACAGCTGCACGGCCGAGAGGTCATCTGCTCATCTAGCGAAACCTCCATCTTCGACCCGCCAGCGAACCAGACTTGTGGAGATTACATGTCCAACTACCTCCAACTAGCTCCAGGACAGCTGCAGAACCCAGCCGATACCTCACAATGCCGGTACTGCTCCATCTCGGTCGCAGACGAGTTCTTGGCAGGGAGCCAGATATACTGGGACGAACGGTGGCGTAATTTCGGAATCGTTTGGGCCTATTTCTTCTTCAATATTGCCATCTCTGTTTTGACCTACTACCTCTTCCGGGTCCATCGGTGGAATGCCGGCTCTTCGAGCCTAAAGAAGAGCAAGAAGCAACAGAAGTAAGGAATACTGTAGACTAGACTAGAGTTAGACTTAGACTTAGACTTGTGGGTTCAAATTATACATTATTAGTTGTACTCAAAGCGCAGGTAAAAGGTGATCAAAATGAGAAAGATGAGACACAAAACTTAAGTATCCATGATAATCATTCGCAACGGGATCACACCAGCATGACCACCGACTTCATCTAAACTTCCATTAGGGATACGCTCGGCCTAGTCTCAACTACAACCAATACCTCTTAACACCTACGAACACGTTGATCGGTATCAACGCCAGAACTTTGCCTGGGAGTGTCTTCAACGGCGAGATCTCATTGGATAGCAGCGCCATATCTAAGCCTCAGACATTTTGCGGGGGCTATTGAGCTCGGGCTGGTGGGACGTGGTATAGAATTGTGGCTGAGAAATAGTGGCTGTGCTTTTTCGCGTTTCATTTATTTAATTTCCTTCTTTTCCGTAGAATTTAATACACCATCGCACTTTTTGCCTTCATTTTACGACTATCCGGTTTGGCGACCGTCGATTTACACGTCTATTTTGACCACACGAACAATGTACGTTCAATTCGTCGACACTGACGAGGAGGACTGCGTTGGCTGAGGTTGTGTTACTTGGGGAATATGGCCCAGGAGCACCACTCCAGTTCACTATCTCCCAGCTACTGAAGTCGAGTACGCGCAGGGTCACTAAATGCTGCCACCTATGGCGCCGGACAAGTACGGTCATGGTCTGTTGGCGACAATTTTCTGAGATGAGAGAGGCTTTTGACTGAAGCGGAATGGCATAAGTTAGATTCTCAAGAGCCCGGTTCGAAAATGCATTTGTCCCTTTCATGAATTCTCTGTTACTATATCTTAGACACAATGAAGCATTATGGCTGCCGTTGGAGCCGGGGCTGCCGTGTTACCAGTCGGTCTCTACGATCGCATAACTATTGATGATGGCCATTCACGTCTCTCAATGTGCTTGATGTCGACAGTATACCGGACTGGCGAGCAACAGGTCAAAAGATGCTCATGTCGTACGTGTGCTGCCATGTCGATAAGCTCGGAGTGTGGCACGAGTGCACATCTGGTTGACCCCACCTCCAGGCAACCAACTCTATCCAGGCTCTGCCTCGAAGTCCAAATTCAATGAACATACAACTACACGGCAATACAGAAGACTAAGTTTTGCAGGTGCTGTCAATCAAGTAGATCAATCGCCATGGATCCCACAATCCTCAACCGACGCCTCGTGCGTCCGAGGCGCGTTGAAGCCATACCCGTTTCCAAGTCCCGCCCCGCCACCATCGACATGGCCAACATGGCCGCGCAAGACAACTGCGCGCTGTTCGCCAAGCTCCCCGGTGAAATACGGAGACTGATATTTGCAGATGCCCTGGCGCCTCAAGACGACGTGGACAAGCCTTATCGTCCCGACCGCGGCTATTACCGGCCGGGGCAGCACTTTCATCCCAAGACCAGCGTCGCACTGCTGCAGACCTGCAAAAGGATATTCGAGGAAGCGAGACTCTTGCCTGTTCGGCAGGCAACTTTCAGGTTCTGGTGGATGAGAGGTCCCTGGATGTTCATGCGATCGCACAGAAATGGCGAGTTTAGGGTGGATCTATGGCAAGAATCCCTCAGCGAGGAGCAGAAAGCTCATGTACAGTCGGTACAAGTATTTGCGCAGCAGTACATCCTCGAGCAGGCTCATACGATTGCTGTTGATCGTATGCCGGAGACTGGACCTCTTGGATTTGCCACAAAACACTTCCATTTAACGCTGAGGAATTCCGACTGGTGGTCGTGGGAATCACCCATTGAATCTTCTGATAGACTCGGTATCTGTCCCTGGCTTCGCGGAAGGGTGTCTCAGCAGGAAATGCTTGCCCAACCGTTGAGAATTCCTCTCGAAAAACTCAGAGAGCACCTGCATAAAGGGACTTGGGGTTGGCATATCTGCCAGCTCAAGGGTCTGCAGCGTCTCGAGATTGAGTTTGAGACGGACCTTCTCAAAAGAGGTCAGGTGGAAAAGGTCCTGGAGAGGGCCAAACACTGGATTTTTCCTTTAGCCGACAGGAGCGGAATCATGGTAAAGACCGGAGATGTGGTCGAGAGTGAATGGGAGGGCGTAGCGCACACTACGTATGACCATATTCTGCAAGCCACAGAGAGTCAGATTCCGCAAGGAGCTCCAACGCGGACGCATTACGTGGCGCTCATGACATGGACGGCGGCATCAGAAACAAGCGAGCAGTATATTTCCATGGTAGCTGACGAATTATCAACATAGAAACTCCTTATATTCGAAATACGCTTGGCTTGCTAAATGTCAGGCTCTGTTCTTCCTGGAGACAGCTGATACTCTGAATACCCAATGTCGTCTGCAATCCAGCTGACATAGACACCCCTCGTGAAGCTCAACACCTTGTCACGTGCAAGTGAAAGCGAACCTCTGTTGGATCGTAGCCTTGAAAGTGTAGAATGCATTGTGCCTGGACACCAGATGCTCCCAGATGTTCCTTGTGAAATCACCTCTAGATTAGCAATGAGTCCAGTCATGTGATCTATTCCACTGATTTCTACGTATCCTAGATAGCCAGTATCATAAGTATATACTAGTTATTAGTGCGATAGTTGTTTCTACGTGAGTGGCGTTGGGCAAATCTCTGCCCAGATGCCATAGTTATAACAGGAGCAATGTGATGCGCACACGCAGTGCAACCTCTCATTGAGATGCAGCCAGCCTTCTCGCCCAGTCCATCAACAGGTAGCCGTGTATGATACAAAAAAAAGGAGCAGAGAGACTCCAATGCCATAGACAAGCACACTATATTGAATTACATAGAGATGTCGTTGCCGATGTAGATGTAGGTCAGCCCATCAGCCCGTAGAAGCCGTAACCTACCACATGAACGCCTCAGACTTGCCATAGCGACTCGCTATCGTTCGACTCGAAATCCCAAGTGGAATGTAGTCAAGCTGCGCATAGCTGCAACATGAACGACAGACACACTGCATTATAATAGTCACACGAATTGAGAACAAGGAACGCCGGTTGAATCATCAGCCTTCATTGACACACCACAACCCACTTCATCTTCATTGGCTCAGGAAGCGGCCTCTGCACTGGTTAGTGCCGGTGGCAACTTCTCCCCAGGGTCGTATGAATAAAGTGGAGACCCCCACCATTCGTCTAGAGCTTCGACTTCGGTTTCCTTTCGCACGTCAATTGAGAGGCCGCATGAAGTTTTTTTTGAGCTGCCCATTGCCCGACTACCACATCTGCGGCCCAGAGATACCACATCGTCGCCATGTCGAAATCCAAGAAGGCAGCCAAGCGCAAGCGGCAGAATGAGCCACAGGGCGGTCCGGTCAACAAGAAGCGAGCCGATGCGCCTCCGACTCCAGACTCTTCCGACCCCAGCCCCGGATCCGAGCCCAAGACCCTCCACGCCGTGGTTTCCGAAGAAGAGGTCGAGATTGCCGTCGACACGCTGCGCACCTTGGCTGAATACCCAGTTGTCATCAAGTCCAAGGCCTGCAGGGAGCTGCGCACTGCTGTTTACGACTTCAAGCAGGCCTGCACCACAGGCTTGAACACTAGCGGTAGGTTACTCGCGCCTCCACGTTGCGGCTTGCCGTGTGCTAAGAACCCGCTCCCCAACAGCCGATGCGAACCTCACGTCCAGAATATCTGCGGCATTGGTGGATGGGAAATACACAGATGCTTTGATTCTGCTTGCCGAGATGCGCATCCGCGGCGAGAGCCCCAAGCTGGGCGCTCTATGCCGCTGGGTACGAGAAATCGATGTCACGAGCGGCTTTTCGATGGGAGACACCAAGAATGTGGTCAGGTCAAAGGACCAGCTTGAGCTCCTGCGCGTTCTGGATGCAATTTCACGAGTCACGGGCACTGCCGACCTGAACCCTTCGATTTCCTCGTTTACGCCGTCCGGCCCATTCATGCTGCACGAACCATGGGTGTTGCGTGATGCAGCAGCCTCACCGACATGCCATATTGATGAGACCATTTCTCAATACAGCCCTGCAGGCGTCAAGGAGAACTTCAAGATACTAGAAACGACTCGTGGCCCTGAGCGTAATCCGCCAAATCTCCACGATGCTGTCCTCTACCTCAGCAATGACAATGCGGTCCCTCTCTCTCCAACGCCACCGCCAACCTCACACCACAAGCACCCCTCAGTGCCGAATTTGTCACTTATGAAAGATGTTCTGTCTGTGGAAGAATGCAAGTCAATCATTGCGGCGACAGAAACTGTGGGGTACTTGCCTGATGCCCCCATCAGAGATGATGGGGCTGAGGCCAGTATCCTTGCACACAACGTTTACTGGATAGTGGACGAGGCCTTCCACGACACATTGTGGCAGAGGGTTCGACCCTTCATCCCATCAGAGATCGATGGTAAGAAGGCCCGTGGTATAAACCGCCGATTCCGAGTATACCGCTACGTACCCGGAGCCGAGTACCGAGTTCATTTTGACGGTGCTTGGCCCCCGTCGGGAGTTCACCCAACAACGGGCAAATACCTATGGGACGCTTCGCCGGCCAATGCAAAGCAGTCTAGCCTTTTCACCTTCCTGGTCTACCTGAACGATGACTTTGAAGGCGGGGAAACCACCTTCTTCACACCTAGCCTCGTCGATGGGGTTATGAACGCCCATCCAGTGCGGCCGATCATGGGCTCGATCGCTTTGTTTCCACATGGCGAGAGTAAGGGGGCCTTACTACACGAGGGCACCGGCGTTAGAAGGGGCGCCAAGTACATTATCCGGACAGATGTTGAATATGACATAGAACCGGGCCAATCCGACTAGATGAGCGGCGCGGTCGAGACCCCATCTACCTCCTTGTTCTTGCGTGTTGCGATCGCTTGATTACTACAGTCCCCTCTCTTTCGCTCAACCCCTTTCGCTTGCAGTGGGCGAGGCTGGGAGTGCTGGGAGTGCTGTATTACACCGAAACATCAGAAAACCTTGTAGTGGGGCTCTGCTCAACTTGAGTAGGGTGCACACTCTCGCAGCGTCAGGGCCAAAATATGGGATACTGATTGGCTGAGCCTTGACGCGTCACCACACTCTGTCATAGCTGGTATCGCAGCTTGTGCCGGCGGGATCTCCAAGTCATCAAGATTGCCTCCGCGACCTTGACATGTCATTGACCGAGTGCGCTTGCTGATAATCCGGTACGGCGTGGCATTCCGAGACAAGGTCTAGAGCGACCTACGAAGCTCTGGAAACGAGTCAGGAAGCTCGAGACTTACAGCCTGCAAAGGCTGGCAAATACACCGACGATGGTCAGACGACTGTTCTAAGCTGCATTCTCTGCATTAGTTCCTTGGTTGAACTGGACCACATCTGTCTGACTGGGGACCTCTGCGGAGCCCCAGATAGCTGTTGGCAGCAGCCTGGCCTTTGACGTACGCCACTGGAAGAAGCAAATATTCTAAGCGTGCCACGTGTAGGGGTCGCTGTAACAGGAAATCCCGAAGTTTGTAGATTCTGAGAGAGGCTAGACAAAAGTTTTTGCAAGACAGTCTCAGCTCGAAACTTCAGTGATGCATGTGACCGTCGATGGGTGCGGCCTGATCTTCGTAGTAGCGAGTAATGTGCAAGTAGATATCATTTCCTACAAGGCCACGCCTAACTTATCGGTACGTCATCAGAAGTGCCGTGATGCGCCGCGCCTCAATCCTCCTGGGCCGTTAAGACCACCTAAGTGGATTAATGGACCCTTGGTCCTTAACTCGTATGTAGCTCTGATCTAAAGAAGTTATAGAGTCGGCATTAAGCTCCAGGTACAGGGGAGACAAGCGTAGATCAGTCGAGGCGGTCCGGGGATTAGGTCCACTCGGGTGTACCTATTGGACTGATTAACTGACCAATGGGAAAATTGGCCACGGCCTGGGCATTTTCATTCAATGCAAAAGCCAGCGAATAGCCGCTGTTACACAGGGGTGGCGCTCTACTAGACGCGCATCTGTGGGGTCCCAGGGCTCTGGCTACCCGCCACTGTGAATGCGACCCCCTGTCATAGCTGCACTGCCGCCTCTGGTTGGATGCCTCTTGGTGAATTAGTCACACGGCTCTGGGACCAACATATATCGTGGGTATTGTAGATAGTCAAGACGAAATCCGGCTTGCTGGCCGGATTGTGCCAACTCTTTTCCTGATCTTGGACACCTAAAGTTGGACGTCTTCTCCACAGCTTTCCTCACGAATGCTACGATCATGACTTTCTTCTAAGTCGGGATGGGGACTGCAGGTTTCATCGACTGAGAATACCGGATGGGAGCAGCTTAAGCGCCAGTTACTTGACTTGGCGGACGGGAATATTCAGCCATGATTGGCCCTACGACGCTCGATGATCGCGGTCCACAGCTGGCGGCTGTGACCGTGGTTCTCCTGGCCCTTTGCTGGGTGTCAGTGAGCCTGCGGTGTTACACGATGGGGTTTCTACTCAGGCGGTTCTACACTGAAGATTGGCTGGCTATATTTGCCCTGGTAAGCCAAACGGCGCATACGAAACGAAAGTCACAGTTGCTAACCCGCGCCGCAGATAATATATACGGCGTACTCGGTATTCTGTTTACTAGGCGTCCGCTACGGCCTCGGCGCGCACGTCTCCGATGTTCCTCTCGAAGACCACCCAAAAGCGCTATTCTATAAATGGGCTGGCCAGGTTGTCTACGTTATCATGGCGGCGCTGGTTAAGTTTATCGCGGGTCTTCTGCTGCTGCGCCTCTGTGTCGGAAAGCGTTGGCAGTGTATCACGCTGTGGACCCTGATGATAGTCTCAGCAGTCTACACCCTGTTCTACGTTTTTATCGTCATATTCCAGTGCCAGCCGGTTGAGTTCTACTGGTATCGATACGACCCGAGCCAACCGGTGACTGGAAAATGCAATGGCAAGCTTCTGGCCACCATTCCGACATACATCTCCTTCGTTATCAGCGTGGTGTCGGACTGGATACTAGCTCTGCTTCCTATCTCCATTGTGTGGAATGCGAAGATGGACAAGCGATCAAAGATCTCGGTATCTTGTGTTTTGGCTCTTGGATCTATGTGAGTCGAGCACTTCCAATCCCTTTTGTGTCCAACATGAGCTAATGGTCTGTTAGCGCATCAATGGCGACCATAGCCAGAATACCCTACGCCAAGCAACTTTTGTCGAATCCTGACTACTTATACAACTTTACCGATCTCGCCATCTGGAGCACCGTCGAGATTGGCCTTGGCCTCACGGCCTCTTCCCTAGCCACATTAAAGCCGCTCTTCCGCAAGCTCAAAATAATCGTGGTCACAAAGAGCGGGAGTCACTACACCGGCACCCTGCCACAATACCGCAGCCGTGCCTCACACTCCCGTGGCGTCAGTGGCAGCTCGCACTTCCAGTCGCCCAAGAACGCCAGGAAGCTACAGAAGTCGCCGCCACTCCGCAACGAGAAGCTGGATGCATGGCGGTCGTCCCATCCCATGAGGACGTTTTCGCAAGATACCAACCCCTACGAGGTCTCGCTGGCGACGGAGACGGGCAGCGTCAGCACGACCATCACAGCGCGTGCGTCGACAGATGAGAACCATGGGGCGCCGCCTCTCAGCCCGCCGCCGCCCCTCCACCACCGCCAGTATTCGTATCGGAGCACGTCTGTTTCCTACCAAGTTTCGCATGTTGGTGTTACCGGCATGGAGTCTTCCAACATGATTTGATACCCACTTGAAATAATCCACACCCAGTGGTCATGAGCATCGCATTTGCATCTGCATTCTAGCCAGCGCTGTCATTAGACTTAGTCATGAATATTTTTCGTTAGAGCACTCCGTTCTTTCATCTTGTGGACTATCGGGTTTTGTCTTCCCCTCTGTCATGATTCCTACTATGAAATTTGCCGTAACAAGACTATAAAATTGCCTTACTTGTATTACCAGCCCCATTTCAAGAGCCCATGATCCATATACGAGACGGTCAGTGCCACAGCGGCCAAGAGAACCATGAGTGACAGCAAGTTCTCCCGTTTCCTGCCCAACGCAACGTATGGGCTACCTTGAGCGGTCGAGTATTCCTCCAGGAGCACGATGGTCGTCAGTGCCGTCCAGTATAGTAGCGGCGTAGAGATGAGTCTATATATCGAACCCCTGCGGTACACCGCTGTACCCAGCAGGGAAAGGGCCGTATATAGCAGTACGCGCGGCTTCCATGCGTAGGATAGCATGCTTCTTTCGCGCAAGTTTGCCCGCGCTTGCTTGGGGGTGGGGCTGAGGAACCAGTTGTCCAGTGTGCAAACAATGCAGCTATAAAGTGTCTTGCGCGTCGCTGCGCGAGCCGCTTTTCTCCGTTTTCGTATACGGGGGCGAACGAGAGGTGAGCGGATGCCTCGATCGATAATTTTGTGCCTTTTGAGTTCTGCGTGCGCGATGGAGTAACAGCTGGGGCGCGGAGTGGTGTACTGGTCTCGTATCCTGTGGTGAGGCTTTTGCTTCGGAGGAGCACGGCGTGAGTCGTATTTGTTGGACATTTTGAGAAGGCCTTTCGAAAAATCCGAATCTCGTGGGTCTCTAGCACAACCTGAGTCGTACTTTTCAAGGGGTCATTCAGGATTGCACCACGCTCCGTGCAAGGAGGCTTGCATAGATGGTTCTTGAAATATATTGCGGTCGGATAATGGAGTTCCAAGACTCGTAGGACATTGCTGGTAGGCCTTGATAACAGAGTTGCGCATGCATTTAGAGTTCTGCAAAAATTCAAATGGCAGACGATAAGATTTGCAATGTAGTCAACATGGCCAAATATCTTCTCTCTGATCCACAACATGGAATTTTGCTGCCCTAATACGCAATATCGCAGAGTGATCTGCTTCAGCAAGTGGTGTATAAGGGCTAGGACGAACTGCGGGTGCGCTGAATCACAACATCCAAATGGAAGACTATATCGCTCAGTAACTCGTCTGACGTGACCTCTGCATTGACCAGATATGCACCATCCACGACGGTGCCCGAAATATCATGCTGATCTGGCGCATCTAGGTCCAGGATCCTTTTGTAGAGAGGGTTTCTCCCGCCAAAGACCTGCTTCAGGTACTCTGATAGGGGTGGTAAGCCATGCTCTGGACTTTGCAACATTGAAAGTATTCTCTGTTCTCTCAGAGAACGGATAAAGCACCAATGTTTGCGCACTGGCTGGCCTGTACTTGAGTCGAATATCTTGGTGGATGCCCAATCGAGAAAGAAGCAGACTCCTGAACCCCCAACAAACGCAGCCAAACCACCAAAGGTGCCACTGAATGGTGTATCGCGCTCGAGATGCAATAGGTGGGTGTCGCTCTGTGAGTCGACAGAGTGGCTTAAACAGAAGTCCAAGCCCTCGTCTTGGGTCAATGTCCTTAAGTTCAAATTCCTCGAAAACGGCACTTCAAGATGCGTTTGCGGCTGCGCTATCACCACTTCTTGTCTTTTGGCCAACTCCAAATGGGGCATATCTGGTATATAGTAAGCAGGCATTGGCAACGTAATACATATAGTTGAACCTACAATGTGTCGGTCTGCTGTTATCACCTAGCCTGAGGAATGGTTCATGTGGAACCAGTCTAGTCAACCCAGAAGACCGCCTTCGAAATCTCGATGACCCTGGAATCCTTTCGAGGATGAGTGCCGGCATACTGAGAGCGTCCGCAAAGCGGCAGTCCAGTCTGAGCATATAGAGGTCGGTGCGATTTGAATCCTTGAGTCTCAAGGGGCATATGACACCCTCCAGGTGCAATTCATCGCCGTCGATACGAATCCGGGACTGGGAAATTGACGATTGAGTGAGTGGAAGATCCCAATGGAATGACTCTGCCCCTGATGCAAGGATGCCCCATCCCGAAGAATTATCTCGAGCGGTTGAATGGAAAGCAAGAATTGAGTTATCTTTGGTGTTTCTCAAGACCTCTTCCTGGAGTCTCTGAAATGCCTTGTGGCCTTCTCCATAAAGCAACGGCATGTGCACGTCAAACAAGCCCATCAAGCAGTATGCTCTGTCCTCTTCTTTCGTGGTCGACCTTCTGGATGCCCAATACATCTTCGTCGCAATGCTAAAAGAGCTCAGAGCATCCCGAATATTCGTTGTTCGACACAAAAGCCTGGTGTCAATTCCAGTAATCTTCGAGATGAGCAGCGCGTCGCTGTGTCGCGTTCCAACCAACTTCCAGTCCTTGTTGTAGAAGTTTAGTATCGGAGGAGCAATGAGCTCCTGGAGTGTCCAGCCCCGTGAATACCACCTGCATTTCCCATGGTTATCGGTGGCATCACTCAGATAGGCGTAACAAATAGCAGCTTCTTGATACCATCGGAACATGGAATTAATGGCCTCAGACAACTCTGCACTGCTACTCTTCTCAATGCAGCAAGTATCTATCCAAATGTAGGCAGAATCGTCTCTCAAAGCCTGGCGGCAACTTGCTATGACCTTTGACGCGCCTTTCTTCTGCATCCACACCGAATGTGGCTGGTTAGTCACATCCTCAAACAAGACCTCCTCCTCCTCCCACGTGTGCGACAAGATGGCATATCGAGGAATAATGGTAGAGTCGTGGAAAGTCTCTAGTATGAATGTTCTTGTGTTCAAGAGACGCATAGCGTGTCATTCGCTTCGTAAGCTATATTTAATGCCTTATGCAGAGATTCCTTGCGACAAACAAGACACGGGTACGGTTGGGCGTGGAGAGTGCGTGGTACTAGCGGAAAGCCCCGCACCAGAAGGCCAACCAATGTCGACTAGTCTTGATCCAAAGGCTATCAAGTTGGCCCAGACGTACACGTTACGGCGCTGCAAACGAGATGATTTGCGATGTTCTCAAAGTGACAATGATTGGCGTGATTTGAGTCGACCCTCAAGCATGAGGCGACACGGGTGCTCTGTCCAAAAATGTTGCAGCAGCCGCATCATGCAGGCCAAGCCACAATCTCAGCCACATAGGCAGACAAGGCTGGTCAGGCTCAACGTCCGTCCATTACAAGTTGGCCACGTGGTGGTGGCAGAAGCGACGTCTGCTCAACCGATATCTGGCCGTAACATGCAACGGAGAGTGTAGGGAAAGGACATAGTCCAGTATTATCGACATATACCGACTTACGAATGGCCCAGCTTCCAAGCCAGCGTCCCCCAGCCATGAGTGATGACACGCAGAGCTTGAAATTGTTGTCGCTCGGTATGTAGAGGGCCAGCCATATAAATGAGGCCTGGATCACTGACGCTGCTAACAGATGGAGGCGGAATTCGGGGACTGTCGTCGCTCATTATTCTCCGTCACCTGATGAAAAGAATCAATGAGAAGGACCCTCCCAAGCCGTGCGAGTACTTCGACTTGATTGGGGGAACCAGCACTGGTGGGTACGTCATACTCCGTCTTTTCAAGGTGTTCACGGAACGGCACGGCTAAATTCAACTAAAAAGCTTGATTGCTATCATGCTAGGGCGTCTCCAGATGAGTGTTGATGAATGTATCGACAAGTATCTGAGCCTTTCGGCAGAGGCATTCCAAAGAAAACGGCTCAAATCAAATATTGCTGGCCGAGCAAAAAGTCTTTGGAAGGCTGAGGGGGCCTATCAGAGCGATGCTTTGGCTGATGCTTTCAAGGAAGCAGCACGCCTGTTTGAAGGAGATGAAGATGCATTGCTTCTCTCCGCGGAGCCGCAATGCCGGGTGTAAGACTCTGACAGCTCGGACTCAAGACAGCTCACGTAACAATGAGATAGATTTGTGTGCTCATTCGCGAAGATGATGAACACCAGAACGCTATTCCGATCTTATCCATTGGAAGCGGGTCGTGGTTCGACCACAACCACTGGTTGCACCATCTGGGAGGCCGCCCGTGCTACCTCAGCCGCAGCAACATTCTTCGATCCGCTCATCATTGGCTCACAGGCGTACGTAGACGGTGCTACAGGACTGAATAATCCGGTAGAGGTAGTCCTAGATGAAGCAAAGGCTATCTGGCCCAACGCTCTATCAAGAATTCATACTATTGTTAGTATTGGGACTGGGGTACCTCCGCCAAATGACTTTGGCGACAACCTGAAGGGCATAGCTCAAACGCTTAAAGCTATTGCAACAGACACCGAACAGACCCATCGCAGATTTTTCAACATTCATGGTGACTTGGGGCTTCAAGATCGCTACTTTCGTTTCAATGTTATTCACGGTCTCTCAGGTGTCCGACTGGATGACCACGGCAAAATCCCTATCATCGAAGCATCAACCGAGGCATATATCAGCTCACCAGAAACACAGGCCCAAGTGGTGCAGCTCATCTCGACCCCTTGCACAATCACAGGTTTGCATACACTCAGCCTGATCACTCAGCATCTTGCTTACCACATGCAGAATACGTTCCACTGGATCAAAGGGATGACTATCTCGGATGGCTACCATGGATCGATCAGCAGCATTATCTCAACGAAGCCGTGGATAAAAGCAGGACAGATGAGTCTGGACTCTGGTTTGTAGAAAGGTATTTGAACGAATGGCAGCAGAGTCCTGGTACCATGTTTTGGATAAGTGCACCGGGTAAGTCCCATGTTGAACTCTTGTTCTTGATTCTAACGTGGTTCATTTGCAGCTGGTTCGGGTAAGACAGTCCTCGCCTCCATCGTCACTCAAAAGATTCAGGGCCTCAACATAGGCGTGGGAGCATACTACTTTTGCTCTTTTCAGAATAGGGACACTCAGACCCTCCGACAATTCAAGCATGCTCTGCTGGTCCAGCTTCTTAAGGGGCTCTCACATTATCACCCGCACAAGAAAGAAGTGTTCATACCGAGAGCATTCCAAGACCTTCGGACGAAGGTCTTCCCTTCGAATAGTCCCAGTATGGATGATCTCGATAAAACAATAATTATTCTGAGTAACCAAGCAGCGTGTTCCTTCATCATTCTCGATGCCCTGGACGAATGCGAAAGCCAACGAGCCCGTCAAGAGATCTTGGACTTCCTCTCACAGCTCTTGGAAAACGTTGTCTCTGACTTGCATATCATGGTTTTCAGCCGACCTGAACCTGATATAGAAGGGCATATTGCACAGCTCCCTGTAAAAACGCGACTTATTCCTCTTGATGCCCGTGCCATCAATTTTGACATTGAGAGGCACCTGAAAACATTGATGGACCATCATCCCTACAAGGCATGGACAGAAGACCTCAAAATGGAGGTTTGTGACCATATCATGAAGCTGGCTCACGGAAACTTTCGTTGGGCCGACCTCCAAATCCAGTCAGTCCATGGTAAGTCCAGGGCTGTCGACATAAGGAGAGCCTTGAAGCGTCTCCCACGCACCCTAAATGAGACATACGAACGGATGCTCCAGACAATAGACATGAACGACTATGGAATGGAGGCTCTAGCTATTCTAAGATGGCTGTGTGTTGCGGCTCGTCCCATGCGTGTCAAAGAAATCGCCGAACTTGCCGCTTTCGAGGTCTGCAACGAGGCCGCCGACATAGGTCCAACGTCAGATAAGTACGAAGTATCATTCGTGGCCTTGAATAGATTTCCCACGTCATCGGGGATCACCAGCATTCTCTCTGGACTGATCACCATGACCAAACCTTCAAGGAGAGTGCAACGCTTAAGCCACTTTTCGTCAGATTCGTCGGATTCGTGGTCTTCGTTGACTTCGTCGGAACAAGAACTTGAACAATCCTTTCATGAAGACATGTTCATTTCGTTTTCTCACTTCTCTGTTCTCGAATATCTACAATCGGACAATATCTCACCACTGAATTACAAGATTCGGCTGCCTGACTGCCACTGGTATGTTGCAAAAGCCTGTCTGGCTTACATTGATCACTATGATACAGAAAGCACCGATGAGATCCGCGTCGCATATTATCCGCTCTTGAGCTATGCGTGTTTCAACCTTTGCGAGCATATCAATGATGCGGCGAGTGGAAGTTCGAAGATGGATGTACACGCGTTGGAGTTGCTTCTCCGCACACAAACATCTAAAGGAGGATATGCAGCGAAACTGACCGCAGCGTTGAACCGCATAGACCTCGGAAGTCAATCGATGACAGTTCCACAGGAAGTCCACAAAATACGGGGACATGATACGAAACTTTTGGACGGCATTCAGGTGCTACTTGGCGATTCGTTACTTTTGAGATTTGCGATCGAAGCTGGATTTGATATGCCTGAAGACAGCATGCTAGACGCGGTCATGGATTGCAGAAGTTCCGAAACAATCTGTTTTGGTCCGACTTCCGACGTCCTCAGGAGCGACCACTCTCACCCGTCGGTCGTGCTAAAATCTTCCAACGACAGAGACATACCAATTGACAAACTGAGTATCTCACATGGCTCGAACCAAACGATAGGGAACAGTAGACGCGCGGCAGCATGGGAGATACTCTTCCGTCACACGGCAGTCCATATCAACGCGAAAAATTATTTTGACCAAACGGCGCTTCTTTCGGCTGCTCTGCACGGAGATTTCGACCTGGTGGCTTATCTCCTCGCAAAGGACTCCGTAGAGACTAACTGCCGTGATTGCCATGGCTGGTCTCCTTTGATATGTGCCATCATAGGGGGCAACAGCAAGATTATAGACTTCATGCGAATATATGTTGATAACGATTTGACGGCGGAAGACTTCCAAGGTTGGAATGCAATGAATTGGGCTTCATACCGAGGCTACGACAACATATTTTCCCCGAATCTAAGGCATGTAAGCGAACAAGGACCACCGGCCATGGTTCGTGCTAGTGTTGTTCAATCTTGGAAATTCAGTAAGCCAGCAAGCAAGATCGAGTTTTCTCCTGATTCTACCAAGCTAGCGGTCTGGTGTTGGAGAACCAGAAATATCTTGATATTGTCCCTCGAATCCGATGAGAATCAACACATAGCCTTTGACGATGACCATATTCTACACCTAGCGTGGAGTCCCGACAGTTCGATGATAGTAATGGTGTCAGATTGGCAGATAGTACTCTGCGATATAAAGGTAACTCGAAAATCTTTTGTTCACTAGTTCATTCCACAGAAGAGAATTGCTAATATGCACTTGGCCAGACCGGAAATGCGAGGTTTACATTACACGGAATCGAGAATAAAATCCCCAACTGTATATGGGCTCCCGATTCTAAGTCATTTTGGGTTTCAAAACTAGATAGGCCCGCCGAGACTCTCTTCCGTGTCGTCCTTGGTCAACACCCTGATCAGAGTGATGACACACCAACGAGATTGAACATTAATTCCGATGTTTCTTCTCGCATTGCATCCATTGAACGACTCAGACTGCCCGGCCCTGGATTCAGGGACATGGCTGTGTCCCCGGACGGGCAGTTTCTCTGCGCTGTCTCTGCGCAATCCCTACAGGTGTTCTCAACAGAAACTTGGGAGCCTCTATGGGAGGAGGAGGCAGTCCATAACGATCCCATCGTGACAATAGGTCGGTGCTCGAAGGTCTTGCTCGTCGATTCACTCAGGAGAGGCTGCCAGATGCGAGATATCAGTAATGGTGCCTTGTTGTTTACTGTATCAAAACACAGTCCATGGCTTCATCGCCGAGGCTATTTTGGAGGTGTAAATGACGAGTTCATCTTGACCACAGACGAAGGTAAGGAGATGCTAACTACTGGATCAAACCTGCGCTGACGTGGCCTGTCGCCCAAGATGGCTGTATCATCATACGGGATGGCAGATCTGGAAACCGTCTTGGCCATTTGACAGGCATTCATAAACAGTCGATCAATGATATATCCTGGCAGCCAGGAAGTTCGACGCGGTTCGCTTCCTGTGATGACGATGGTATAGTGAATTTGTAAGAATGAGAGCATGCGCATCAAGTATATTTTATGGTTCTAATTCATTCACAGATGGTCCTGCGAGAAGATTTCGATGAACCATAATGTCGGATGATACGTCACAGCGGAGTGATTGACACTTGTCAATGTCTGACATACTGCTTTTACGTCTATGGCATGGGTTCTGGGGGATAGAAAATGTTTCATCACGGTTATAGTACGCTAGGCCACTTCATGTGCTGTAAATGCAAAGGTGCTCATCCCGCTGTTGGTGCCTTCTAAACCCTGGTTCATGAGCCATGATGGAAACATACTTGATAGTACAGGTATTCCAGTGCATAGGGCTGTGTTGCAAAGTATGAGCTGTTCCAAATTCGGATTCCTTTATGTGTTTTGGCGGACCTGAATATGTCCCAACAGGTAGCCAGTTTGGCGCTGCATCTCTATTCCAGTTCGAGATATCGATAGCGGGACCTCCCGGCTAGATGTTGATGCCGCTTGAACTTGTCATGATGCGACACTGGTTGCATAACATCTGGGCCAGCATGTTGGCAGCAAAGAAATCTGGTTGCATGCGCTTCCAATTTTGCCATGTGACCTTAGCAATCGGCTCTACCTATGTTTCATGCCATGCTGATCTTGTCTAATCGTCTTCTTCAGAGTCATAAGAACCTTCTGATCCCTCAGACCCATCCTCATCCTCGTCGTCCTCATCCTCATCCTCGCCCTCGTCCTCATCCGCCTCGAGGCCGTACGCCTCATGGAAGTCTGCCAATTGCTTGACCTGGGTCTTGTAGCCCATTCCCTGAAGTTCCTTCTCGAGATTCTGCGTGGCGTGTCAGTAAACGTGTGTTGTATCAAAGATTCAGAAGCGCTACTTACCTCGACCATGAGAGGTCCACAGCACACGACGACATTGCTCTTGCCGGGCTCAAAGACAGGTAGCAGATACTCCGTCATGGCGTGCCTGATTTGGTCTTCAGTGACGTCGCGGACCTTGGTCAGGAGCTTCGCATTGAAGTCGGGGTCTAATCCTCTAACGGCGCCTAGGATGTAGTTCTGCATGGCGGCGGCAGACATTGTGGCCTGCTCGTCAGCCATGGTCATGACGATTTGGCTAATAGCACCCTCGATCATAAGCTTATCCAAGGGAACTGCGCCGGTGGCAAGGCCGTTGATAGCATCCCTTGCTGCGGCAATCGCCTTGGAAGCCATGGGTGAGCGGTACACCTTGAAGTGGACATATCCGCCGTCGACCTCCTTGGCGAAGTACACGCCGTACGCGAGGCCGTTGCCTCGGACCGCATTCCACAGAGGGCCCTCTACGGTTTCGAGATACGCAGCTGCAACAAGGAGGGAGGGCACCATGGGGTCGGAAAATGAAGTAATACCCTTGCTTGAGCTCACGGAGTATGATGAGTCAATGGTGGTCATTGGGATGATAATGGCGCCCACGTTTCCAGGGTTTTGGCCTTCCGAGTTGAGTAACGTGTGCGGCTTGACAATGGGGTTGATGGTTTCGGACTTGCCGCCCAACGCATCTGCAAGGCTGTCCCAGGTCTTGATGGGGTCCGGCAGTTTGGCGTTTTCCACATCCGCGGTAACGAGAACACGGACGTTGGGGAAGGTGAAGATGGACTTCCGGAGCTCCTCGAACCAGGAAACAACAGTATCAGGGTCCTTCTGGAGCAGCTTCTTCAAGCGTCGGAGATAGACAGCCTTGACAAGAGTTCTCTTGGCCACAAGCATTGCCGAAGGTTCATTGTGAATCGCCATTTCGACTTCGTTCGCCATGACTCGGCCGTCACGTTTTGCTTCGGGGATATCGGCAATCTGCTTGCTGACAGAGGCCTTGAGGCGCGTAATATCGAAGATACTGTCGAACATCATGGTGCGGATCCATTCGACAGCAGTCGCGTACTTCTCGGGTTCGACTTGCATCTTGATGGTTATGCTCTCAGTGTCACCCAGTCGGTTTCCAGAGTCCATGCTGTACACAATCGTATCCCGCTCCAACTCCATCACCACTTGCTCAAAGTCGACACGCTTGCCATCCCGAGTGATGTGTGTGTTGAAGAAGTTGTCAATGAACAAGGGGATAAGAGGCTTGTACTTCACAGGAATAGCTGAAGTTCCAATGTGAAGTGTCAAGTGCACAAAGTTGGTCGGGACGCTTTCAAACTGCACAAACAGAGGCGTGCCGGGTTTCGCTGCGTCAATAGCAGCCTGAGCCGGATTGGCAGCGATACCGAGCTTGCGAGCAAGACCAGATCGAGCTGTCAAAGACTCAATGAAATGGATTGAGTCGGTTCCAGGTACAGGCCATTGCTGCAGGACCGAGCCAGGAATCTCAACCTCATTCTGCTTCTTGGCATCATCAAGCATCTTCTTGCGCTTCTCGATTCCTTCTGGTCCAAGATCTTGCTTTCTCTTCTCTATCCTTGCAGTCTCGTCTGTCTTGAGCTTCTCAGCCAGCTTGAGCGATGGCTTACCAAGTACAGATATATGATGAGCGTCAGAAATCCACTTCTTGAGGAAGGCTCTCCACTGTTCCTCTGTCCACTTCTCAAGGTCGTCATACTCGCTGAGGTCTTTCAGGTCTGTCAAGGTCGAGCCATCGCGCTTGCCAAACAGATAATCGGTGATGATGTTGGTGGAGTAGAATGACTCGGACCCTTCAGCTGAGGCCTTGACTTGGCGCCTCTCTCGCTGTATACACTCGTTGATGTACTTCATGTCCAGTGGCTTAGAGGCTACCTCCTTGAGCAGTGAGATTAACCTTTGTTCCACGAATTCTAGCTTCTCTGTCGCAACACCCGTAGGCTGGAGCCAAATGACGCTGTTGGGCCTCGCATCCCACCAGTACGAGACGGAGCTTGCAAGTTCTTCCTTCTCGACCATTGTGTTTTCCAGCACAGACACCGAGGACCCGCAGAGGTAAGTGAGCAGTACGTTCAAGGCCGTTGTTGCTACAGTGTCTGAGCAGTCAGGTCCAAAGAACGCGACGATCATATCGCCAGTAGACTCATCCTCTTCCGGGAATTCGACCGTCTCCACAGTCGTCTTCTTGAGCGCCGGTGGTTGAGCGGACTCAATCCATGGACGTCTGAAGGGCGATGTAATAGGTGGAATGTCATCCTTGACGCTCTCTTCAAACTCGTCGAGGATGCGCAGGAGGTCCTGGTGGTCAACCTCGCCGACAATGACGATACACATGTTGCGCGGCTGATACATCTCTCTGTGGAACTCACGTATCCTCTTGGGAGTCAAGACCCGGAGGTTGTCGAGCATGCCACCAGTCTCGTACCGGAAGCCGACATCCTCGGGGTACAACAATCGCCGTGCCTTCAAGTCTATAATCTCGCTGCTCATGTGCTGGACGCCTTGCATCTCCGAGTACACGACGCCGGCATCATTGCCCTCACCGTCGATGTGGTGAACCTCGGTAAGACACGCAGCATCTGTCATTGTCGGCACGACAAGATGTTCCAGATAGACAGGCAGTGTCTGGGCGAATCCCTCCCATCCTGCTGTCTCCAAGGTATAGGCGGTGTGATCGGTAGCCGTCCATGCGTTAGTATTTCCATAGGCCCTGGAAGCCAGCTTGTCAAGAAGCCCCTTGTACTGATAGCTCCTGGAGCCCATGAAAACCAAGTGCTCGAGCGTATGGGGCGACCCAGAGTCATCAAAGATCTCGGTCGCCAGCGTGAAGTACCCGTTTACCTTGGGGCCCTTGCGATCAGCCACGACAACCTGCATGCCACTTCTCTCGGACTCATATTGCGTGATGACAGCAGGGGCGTAGTCTGTCGTGAAGCTCTGCAGCTTCCGAAATCTGTGGGACGGCGCCTGTGAACCCATGGTGGACTGATGAAGCGTGCGCGCAGTGTGACGAAGGTTACTAATGTATGTATGGTCAGAATGTGAACGACAACAGCCAAGCAAGATATGAGCGTTGTCTATTCTCGCATGGAAGAAGGGACAGCTCGTCAAGCTAAAGTAGAAGGGGAGGGAATGGTCGCTTGGAGTTGAGTCACAGTCACTTAGGGTGAATGTATCGATATGGTGGGAGGATGAGACGTTTTGCAGCGGCTACGTGCAGAAGTGTGACACCACCAATTGTAGCTAGTCATGAGTCTTGTGGACTGACAAAGAGCTCGACTGTGAGCAACTAGACCTGGAGGACATACCCAATCTCACCCAGCAAGCGGTAGTAGAGAACGGCTACGAGGACAGCCAGGATAGCTGTCACTACCTTCTGAGATATCCCCTCACGCATGACAGCGGGCAGGGCGCTCTTCTGGAGTGCATGCGAGGGCGCAGATTCATGGACAGGTTGACATGGTCCCAATTTTGGCGGCCCACGGTGATTGGAGAGCCAATACAGCAAGCCGAGAGTAGGGTATTAGGGGGGTTGCAGATGGACGGTATTGAGGCAGGTTTTGGGCTCCGAAATCTGACATACATACCTGATCGGATGTGGGCACACTGCAGATGGCCAATGAAACGGTGCTCTCGCGAGTCTCAGAAGAGGTGGAGGCTGACGCAGAAGTCTTGCTAGTCTGCGATTAAGCGGGCAGGGCAGCCGGCGGAACGACAGCTTGCTTGTAGATGACGGATCGCTGGATGGCCAGCGACGTCAGCAGACCGGGTGCTGGATGCGGGATGCGGGATGCGGGATGCGATTTTGGTGGAGGAGGGGCACACTGGAAGCTTGTTCAAGCCTCAGCCGCGAATGTATGTAGGACTAGCAGAGGAACGCAAGGGATCAAGCGGACAGGCCAGGCCTCCAAAACAAACAGAGAAGGCAGACGATCAGATGCCACGTCGAAGGGTCTTGTTCATCTAAACATTGACCATTGACTCGCAGATGCCAGACGGCCATCAAAGTCCAGCCGGGTGCCGTTTCGATGACCCCTCCACGTGGATCGGCATCCCCCATTCGAGATTTCAGATTTCGGATTTCAGGGGTCCACAGCGCCCGGCGGTCGTGGCTGCGTGGTTGGGGACGGTCGCCCGGGGGCCAATCAAGTGAATCCATTGCCCGGCGCCCATGTCATGCTAGCGGCGAGGCTGTCGCTGGGCTTCCTGGACGCTGGGCTGGCTCGCCGGGAGAGCTTCGTGGCAGCTTCCATGCCCTGTCGCGCCGGTGACGCCCGTGAAGCTCCCTTGAGCTCAACTTGGCAGCACATGACAATCAACCAATCCCACCTTGACCCAACACAACCGTAGTAGCCAGGTATCCTGGAGGAATCGCTTACGGCCTGCTCTTGCTCTTCGATTGCCTCTTGGCGCTCCAATTCCACGACCCGAAACCCTGCCGAACTACTAGAATGGGCCCTCTGCATCTGTAGAGCGTACCATACAGCCGTACACTATCTACGTCACGGCTACTGGGTTGCCAGCCATCCATATTCTGTCGCGTGTATACGAGCACCCGAGGCTGCCTCATGCGGCCATTCACTCGAGCTTAAGCCTATCGATATTCTAATGCGACACGACTAAAGAAGCTATGGCGACCACGGACGTTGCAGCTGTGGGCAATGCGTTGGTAGAGTTCGCACTCCAGGGCCAGTTCCCGGAGGAGGATGTGTCCACCCGTCGGGTCGGCGCCCGAGACTTCGGTCCTGCTCTCCAGCTCTTGGCCGCAGCCAAGACGAAACTAGAAGTAGGTCTACACATCTGCCGCGGGCAGGTGCACTCTCACACAGCAAGCTGATCTCTGGCCGCAGTCCGAGATCCACAAAATCAACGAGGAAACAGCCCCCGACGTCCAGTCATGGGTTACGAACGCGAAGACCGTCGAAGACGACATAAACCGATCGCGCAGCTTGGCGAATGAGATCGTGCGCAGGGCGGAAGCCCCCGAGGTGTCAGGGCAAACGATCCACGAAGCCGAAGAGAAGGTCAACTTCCTGCAGCGCGAAACCGTCTACAATCGCCAGGTCCGCGAGGCCCTCACGAGTGTCAAGCACGTCAACGAGCTGCTGGATCAGGTCGAGAAGGCCAAGGATGAGCGCAGGGTGCTCGACTCTCTCCACCTGCTCGAGCAGACATGGGCTGCGCTCGACCAAATACCCGCCAGCAAATCGTGTCGCATCATGAGGATATTAGATATGCGAGCTTTCGAGCTCAAGTCAGCAGTTCACGATGTGTTCGACCACGTTTGGAAGTCACTTGTGCAAGTCGACGCGGAGAAGGGACAGGTGGGCATTTACTCTAGCCGGCCAGGTATGCATGCGCGCGCAAAACCCTAACCTCCGTTGTAAATTATTAATCCGATCTAGAGGAGCAAATGAGCCTGTCTGAGGCACTCGTCGGTCTGAAAGCTTGTAAGGAAGTGGACCAGAGGATGGCGCTTCTGTGGCATAGCGTGGACGAGACCATTGTTGCCCCCCGAACCAATCTCGAAGGCAACTCATTGCCAGGGATTGCTATCGATGAGGTAGGTCTCCTGCTCCGCGCTCGTACCCTCAGAACTAATCATCTACAGGCTACACTCAGCCTTGATGGCCACGCAGATCGTAGCATCTCCTCTCTGTTCATCGACCTAGAGAAGATAATGTCCTACTTTTCAAAACGACTTCCAGACGAACTTGTTCGCTCTCTATCTATAGTTATGATGCCGGAGCTTGTGCCTCGTATCAAGGCCGTCTGGTTGGACTCCGTAGTCCCGGCATCCCTCAAAGAGATCGACCAGTTCCAAGAGGTTCTTGGTTCGGTAAGGCAGTTTTGTAACACACTAAAGGAGCTAAACTACTCTGGCTTTGATGACTTGCAAGACTGGGTCAACAACGCCCCTCGGGTCTGGTTGACCAAGTGCAGAGAGACTGCACTTGATACTGTCCGTGTCAAGCTCGCCCAAGGTCTAGGCAACACGAAGGAGGTAGAACGCGTAGAAACACAGACTGTTTCTCGAACCGAGGGGGCAGAGCTTGCCGCAAATGGAGCGCCAGCCACCGTGGATGACGATGATTGGGCGGCTTGGGATGAGGGAGGTGATGACGCCGCCGGTGCTACCGACCATGCTCCTGCCAATGCAGTAGAGACTGCGACCGGTGATGAGGAAGACGGTGCTGACGCTTGGGGTTGGGGCGAGGATGCACCAGCTGAGGAGCAGCCACCTGCAACTTCTGCAGCTTCCGCTCAACAGCCACCAGCAGAGGACGATGGAGGAGATGCTTGGGGCTGGGGCGATGAAGATACTGCAGAGCATCCGACGGAGAAGAAGGCACCCCGGGCTCCGACTGCATCTTCAAATACCCGAGAGATGACGTTGAGAGAGACTTACAAGATCTCATCCATGCCAGAACCTGTACTTGCACTCATTGCGGCGATCCTGGAAGATGGGGCATTTTTGGTTGGGTAAGTCGCCCCCTGACATGACTGGTCCCCTGCTAATCTAAGCAGATCTGAAGGCAACCCCGTCGCCGCCGCGGCAGCCGGTCTCTTCGGCCTGCCTACCTTTGTCCTGGCCATGTTCAGGGCTGTGTCGCCCTACTACTATGCTCTTGACGCTTCCGGGGGTGGTAACATGTTTCTATACAACGACGTCACTTACCTGTCCGAGCGCCTCGACGACCTAGTTGCTTCATGGAAAGCACGAGATGATTTAGTGCCCCGTGCCATAAACATGCTACGACTGGATAACGACATCAAAACCCTGAGGTCATTCGCCGCCCGCGCTTACGCGTCGGAGATGACCACCCAACGCACCATCGTGCGTGACCTGCTGGGCGGGCTCCAGAACATACTGCAGCAGAACAGCGACCCCGCCGACCTAATAATGCAGGTTGAGGCGGCAACTGCGCGGGTCCGAGTCATGGCCTCTACCTGGTCTAACATCCTGTCAAGGTCAGCCTGGTGCCAGGCTGTGGGCTCGTTAGTCGACACCTTGGCGTCCAAACTCGTAACGGATGTTATGGACCTGGCCGGCATCGGCCAAGACGAGGCGTACAACATTGCCAACCTCATCGCCAAGATCACGGAGCTGGACAGCCTGTTCCTGGCCCCGGGCGCCGCCGAGGACGAGGTCCCGGCCACCAGCCAGTACGCCGACAACTGGCTGCGCCTCAAGTTCCTGTCCGAGGTGCTGCAGAGCAACCTCAACGAGGTCAAGTACCTGTGGATGGAGAGTGACCTCAGCCTCTACTTCACCGTAGACGAGGTCGTGGATCTGATCGGGCTGAGCTTCGTGGATAATGCCCGTACGAGGGATATTGTCCGGGAGATTAGGAGCACCCCGCAACCTAGGTCGTAGGTCTGAAGGAAGGCATAGTCCAATTAGTAATATATCTTCCAGCAAGGACATTCTACCCCTCTGCAAGCGTTGGTATTATATAGTGGCTAGAGCTATACATTATGGAGTGAAATGTTCACATATCATTTTCTAGACATCACAGAGCTTCATAAAAATCTTTTCGTGATGTGCTCTGGGTCAAACCGAAACCAGCGAGGTACTTGAATGTTACTTCAATTCAGTTGAGCCGCAATCAAGTCAACTCTATGTCTAGTCGAACTCGAGCTCTGACTCTATGCTTCCTGCGAAGCGTGGCTCGTACCACCAGTGTCTGGCTACGCTGTGTCGTCGGTCTGCCATCTAAATCGCCACAGAGCGTGACGTTTCTCTGGATCTAAGCCCTTAATTAACGGCGACCATTCGGCTGAGGCCTCATGCATCCAAGAACAACCAGGCCAGCTGGTATTGCGGGGGGAAGATGCTCTGGCAATCTATCTGCGTCCAGGGACATCGGGGGACCGAGCCCCGACCGAGATCCCCCATGGCGTACGGTAACGTTGATTCATCGACGCTTTCTTCGCCATCTGTACTCTCCTCGTCTTCGCTTGAAACCAAGTGAATTATCAAAGCTTGTAGCAACGGCCAGCTTCTTCGATGCTAGACCGAATTCAGAGGTGGTCACGACTGTCGGATCGCACTCCCAAGCCGGTAGATCTGTAGGTCTAATACGTCACGCGGGTGGATATAATAGGCTCTCGATCTGAAGTACCCTCGTCTTCATTCAACATCGAGCAGCTTCTTGAGCGAGGCAAACCGCACAGGCTACGTACACTAGTCAGCTCATGAGACACGACAGCACACCTCGAGTAGGCTTACCTTGGCCAGAAAAACATCGACGCCGGCGGTTTTAGCATCGCGCTGGGTATCACTGCTCGCCAGACCTGTCAGGGCAACAATATTGGCCCGCTGCAATTCGTTCTCGGATTCGAAATCTCGGATCCGTCTAGTGGCCTCAAGACCGTCCATTATGGGCATGCTGATATCCATCAGAACCAAGTCGAATCTTCGGCCACTGCCTGCCGCCTTGTACTTGTCGAGAGCCTCCTGCCCGTTTTCGGCTTCTTCGAAGGTGAAGCCCTGTTTCTTCACAAACATCACAAGAAGCTGAAGATTGATTTTGTTGTCGTCAACTAATAGGACATGAAGCTTACTGCTCGGGACATCTTTCTTCGGCTGGCTGAGACATTTCTGCATGGTGTCCGTTCGGATAACGAGGGTTTCTGTTTCAGGAGGCGTAGGTGGGGCTTGCGCAGCATTCCCTTCAGCAGTCCCGTTCTGTAGTGCTGGCTTTGCCTGCTCGTTTGCAATGTTGTCCAACCTCGTTTCCCATGCGGCCCCTGATGTCCCAGTGCTCTTGTCTCCCAGAGTCTGTTGCAGCGTCTCGTCACTCTTCAATGTGCCCGCGTCATCGAGATCACCGTTGGTTGCTTCTTCCGCCCTTTTCAGGCAGTGGTTAAACACCTTGGCTAACTTTCTCGGGCCGCATCTAGTTTGGTGTCAGCACAAATGAAGGTGAGTTTTTATGATACAAAACCGACTTACGGTTGTGGTATTACTTCCACAATCTCACCCAAATCCATCAGAGCCCGGCTCTGATTCTGTGATATCTGGATCGCCTCTTTGGCGTTTAAACTAACGATGACGATAGGTATTTTTCTCTTCCTAGGCGAGCTTCGATCTCTCCCTCTGAAGCGTTTCTGTAACATTTCCAAAGAGGGTGGCTCGCAGTACAGGTAGAGATCTGGTTGCGATGCGTCTTCCGGTTCTTCGACCGCAACCTTCATCCGGAACCAATTCGTACAAGTGTCGCGAATGGTCTCATTCAAGCCACGCACCTGGTGTCTGATGGGCTTTGGCTGCGAAGGCTCATGCGCATCGAGTATGACGAGTTTTAAACCCTTGGTCTGGTTTTTGATGGCATACATCTCCTCATCAGGCTGGTGGACTGCAGAGTCAATCACTCGTGGAAGACTCAAGCGCACATCAACCTCGGTGCCCTTGTGCTGCTGCGATTTGAACTCAATCTTCCCACCGAGAGAGTCCACAATTTGTTTCACGATGCTCAAGCCTAAACCGGTACCAGGTTGGAAGGAATCCTCTTGACTAAAGGGAACGAATAATCGATCTCGCTGGAAGTCTTCAGACATTCCTTTCCCGCTATCCACGACGCGGATGACGGCTTCAATCTTAGATCCATCCGCACTTCCCTGGGCGCGCACTGACACCAGGACATATCCGGCTGATGTGTATTTGAGAGAATTGCCTAGCAAATTCATCACAATTCTCCGAATGGCACCAGGCTGAGTCTTGACCATCCAGGACGCCTCAGGGTTGATGTCGAGTAACACAGAGACAGGGTGCTGAACCTCTGGTACTCGTCGGAAGGCCCCAGCAGACATGGAATTCAGCGACGCGCTAGTGTTGGACTTTGATTGCTTGGAGAACACGGTGCCAGGTATCATCTTAAAAGTATGGCCGGCCGTGACAGCATCGACAACCTCCTCCACTAGGATACTGAGGTCGACCACAGCCGTCAGGTTGAGACTCTCCAGGGACGGATCCGACGCGAGGTTGAGAAGATTCTGCGGCCGCCTAGCATTTCGCCTCATGTGCGGACGGCCAAGCTTGTTGATCTTGCTATAATCAAGTACGTGGTTGAGAGTGTCGAGCAGAGTCTTACCGCATGTAGATATTGAGCTTATCAGCCCCGATTGATAGGAGCTGGTCGCAGTATCAACTAGGAACTCTGCCGCTCCGAGGATGCCATGAAGGGGGCTGCGCAACTCGTGGCTCATGCTGGCAATGAAAGTGGTCTTGGCAGCTTCGTTCTTCTGTGTGTTTATGCGCCCTACTTCACTCATGATGCTGTTACCGAAAGCTTTAAGATAAGAGAGATCCTCGTCCAGTGTCATCAGACGGCCGGTGACTGATGTCCATATGAAACAACCGCCTGCCAACCTATCCTCTCCGTAATCGTAGAGTGGCAGGAATGCCACCGCCTTGGCGCCCGGTATTTTCTTGAGCAACTCCTTGTGATCCATCCGCGATCTCCGACGTCCACCAGCTCCGTGCGGCTCGTTGGTGCCATTCGTCGGATTATTGTTTGCATTGAGCTGGGTATCTCTATCGCTGGCACTCTCGTCCTCAGATGAGATCCCGGAGCCTTCCTCTGTGAAAGAAAACGACTTGCCTCTGGGGAACAATGCGTGATATCTCTCCAATGTGCCGATGGTCAAGGGTTTATCTTGTTCTATATCCGCGCGCGCCTGTTCATCTGCAAGTGAATATCCAAGTAGCTTGCAAGGTCTGCCTGACGGCGAAGCATCAGAGTCTGAGCTGTCAAGCCCGAACCCTTCGTGTCCAGAGGATGTGTCTACGGCGGCCTGGGAATCGTCGTGTGGTGGCCTGAATTGCCTGGTGTTGGCAGCAGTTGCACCGAAGAAGACGACACCGTCGGCGAGGGCGGACTGGCGCAGAATTGTAGCTGCCCTGTCGAATAAACGGGCCAGACTGTCAGGTTTTGGCATATCAGACCGTCTCTGAGCTGTGAGCGTCGAAGGCGAAGAAGACCTAGAGGCTTCGGACAACCTCGGGGATCCACAGTGGGACAAACGACTATGAGTGCTCGTTTGCGATGGCGAGCGCTTCATTGTGGGCGTCACAGAACGGCTGCTGGGGGGTGCTGTGGCGGGCAGAGGGGTTCCGTTAGCTGTGGGTGGCTCGTCGTCCGCAGAGGGATCGTTCAACGTAGAGTTGCCCTCGATGAACGATGCCAAACCCCTGACGATACGCGCGCCTTTGAACCGATCAACTCTGTCGCGTGCCCATTCCAAATGTTGCATGACGGCCTGGGCGACACCCTGCATGAATTGGAGCTCATCAACTGTCAGGCCATGTCGGGGCTCGCCATCTGACACAGCGTATGCGCCTATCTTGTGACCACTGGGTGATATGATTGGCACGCCGGCGTAGAAGCGTACGCCTGGCTCAGACTGTACATAGGACCGTGCTTGGAAGCGCGGGTCGAGCCGGCAATCGGGAACCACGAGGGCGGGAGCCGTGTGGGTTGAGCCGTCCTCGTCATGAGCAGTGTAGGTATTCGTCAAGCAGTGCTCACAGACTGCGTTGGGGCGGGATAAGACGGTGGTTCCCACTGGCAGGCGGGCCTCATCGTTAGCTGCGTCCCGAAGTCCTCGATACCATGTTACAGGATATGTACGTACACCACAGGTCACCGCTGGCGCCGCCCCTCGTGTTCTTCAGGTGCGCCTCTCCGAGAAAGGTGTTGCGGGTGGCCTCGGCCAGAATAGTCTGTGTAGAGGTGTCGATCAGCGAGACCATGGCCCTCTTGACATTCAGGCGCAGAACAGCCAGCTGCGCAAACGCCGTGAGAGCCTTGTCCTGGGACTGCTTCGGCGTGTAGCCCTCGCCGTTCAAGTCGGCGGCGGCAATGCTGTCGAGGTGCGAGAGCACATTGAGCGAGGAACCCTGGGCGGCCAGCCAGGGCTGGTGATAGCGCTGCACCTCTCGCTCGCGCTGCCGCTCGCGCTGCCGCTCGTAGGTCTCGCGACGGCTCATGGCTGGTGCTGCTGCTGCTGCTGCTGCTCGATGGGTGGGCAACTGAAGAGTCTGTCACGACGCGGCTGTCCCATCTTGGTTGCCCAGGGGTTAGCGCACGACAGATGGCCCGGCAAACAGGCCTCACACAAGATTTCTCCGGACGAGGCTCCCGCGCCGCCAGGCACGGCCTGATAATCCTGGTCCTGGGGCAGCTATTCAAGGTTCCGCGACACATGCGATCCACGTTGCCGCGGGGCCGCGTTTGCTCTCTTTCGGCTGCGTCATGACTGCACTAATCGGCCTGGCCTAGCCGGATCGTCGATTTGGCTCCCTGCCAGCGCCATCCCAGCTGCTGTCCTGCTGATGTTCTAGACGGGATCGGCACAACCGGCAACCTTGTTGGGCTTGGTGGGATGGGTTTCCAACGGTGCCCTGGCTTGCTTTTGCCTGAAAAAGCTCCGGGCCTCCCTCCAGGGCTGCCAGGTTTCTTGCGGCTCTTCCCAGGTGGGAGCTGATTACCACAAGGTACCCTAGCCTGCCAACCTGCTTACCGGAAGTCTGCAACTCCAGGGCCAAACTACCACTCGATAAGGAACACGTGCAAGCCGCATCCAATAAACCCGGGTCCATCACCGATTGCGGATGACAAGGGAGGTATGCGTATAGATCTACCGCAGATCGTCTTTCACGCGATTGGCAACTACTAAGTGGTCATTAAGTATACGGAAGTTGGAAATCTTGTAACCAAGTATTCGCTTGTGCCTCGCACCCCCGACCCTTGTACAATTGTACATCCACGTTCCCACTTTCGGCAGAAACCGCGTGGCATGTGTCGCATCCACTGATTTCCAAAGGAGAGTACTAGATTTGGCAGCACCATCTGCCAGATAATAAACACCTGAGCGGGATGACAGACGCATTCTCTACTTTGCCATCCCCAGTTTCAGTACTTCCAGAGCAATCTCTGCCTGCAGCTTCTAGGCTTAGCTTCAATTGGCGGCACATGCCAAAGTAGCATTTCAAGAAGTAATGAAGGGGGCTATATCGGCAGACAGTCACCAATGACGTGAAAGATGAAGAAGCCGTGGGGAGCGCTTGGTGGTATCGTACATGCCCATAAGTCGACACTATTATACCGCACTCAGGTCAATTCGAAACGCACCATATGACTATAAGAACACATGTGTATATTACGATTTTCACAGACATGGCCTCCTCCAGTATCGATGCGCTTCATCATTTTCGTAGGCTTTGCTTGAAAACTATAGCCTTGGTTGCTTGGTGGGTTTTCTTTAGCTGCTTGCCTTGTCAGATCGCGAATGGGCCAACGGTTCATCGTCCGACGAGGTATCTCCGACAAACTCGTCGCTTTTGAATGCCGTGGACCCTGCCTTTGCTGCCCTGGATGCTTTGGCGGTGTCCTTCTTCCCTTTGGCTTTAGGACCCTTCTTCGCAGGTGTTTTCTTCCTGGTCTCCTTCTTCGGTTTGACCTGCTTGGACATAGCCTTCTTGGACTTGGTCTGTTTCGCATCCGTCTTCCTTACCCTACTCTTGACGCTTGTTCCGATGTCCAAATCATCGTCATGGAGAGCCCTCTTTCTCTTTTCTTGAACAACTCCCGCGTTAAGAACGGGGGGCGGGTATTTCCCATCCGGGCCGCGGACCGATGGTGCGATCCTACTTTTCTTGATGAATACCTCCTGCTCAGTTTCCCAATCAGAATCCTCCCATTTTCTCTTGTTATTCTCTACCATCTTGACTCTTATGGATGAAGCCCTCTTCGACACTGCTTCAGCTACCGTGGCAGTTGGTAATGGCGTCCTTCCCTTTTTACTTTTTTGCTGAGCGGGCAGAGTGGCGGTGGTCTCGCCAGCCACTGAATGTCTCTCCTCTTCAAGATTGTCATCCCCGTTGGTACTCTGTGGAGTACTGGTAGAAGGTTCAAGTATCATTTGAACTAACGCATCCTGGTCCTCATAATCCTCTTCCACGTTCTTTTCAGGTGTTTTATCCACATTAAATGATGCCAGCCTCTCGGTCTCTGAAGGCTCGTCTGGCTGGTATGTATCTGTAAAGCTCTTATCTTTTTCTGCGCTCTTGGGTGTCTGGGCTCCTTCTGTCCCTGTTTCGTCCTGATGTGTCAGAAACTGGTATTCTGAAGCACCAGAGTCCACCGCGTCTTCAGTCTCAGTTTGAATCGTTTTGACTGAAAGCTGGGGCGACTTTGGAGGTTCTATGTCATCCGTTGCGCCACCTGATACAGGAGATTCAATCTGAACTTTGTTGTCGTCGCCTTTCTGAGAACCAAAAATATCACTATCGTCATTCATTTTGATGGAAGGGTCGCCATGGTCTTGTGCAGCTTCTTCATTAATCGCTTCATCATTTGTGGCTTCTTCACTTGTGGCTTCTTCCTTTGTACCTTCCTCGTTACCTGCATTGGACTCTGACTCGAACAGTGGACCGTTAGGGTCATCTTGGTGCTTTTCGTTGGCTGGCTCGGGTACTTCGGGGGCTTGGGTCTCTTCGATGCTTTCTGGTGGTATCATTTCTTGATCGTTAACCTGTTGACCTGAGCCTTCTTGTTGGATAGGTGAAGGTTTGGATAGATCCGTTTCGTTATTCTCGATAGGCAATGAATCATCCCGTGCTAGATCCGCTTCTAGAGTAGGCTCATCACCTCTGTGTTGTGAATCACTGCTGCTCCGGACATGTTCTTCTGCGTCATTTTTTTCTGTATCGCGTTCTTCTGCATCGCGTTCTTCTGCATCGCGTTCTTCTGCATCATGTTGCGTGCTGCTCATTGTTTCTTGTACTGTGGAATCTGGCTGAGTAGTCCCACTATCTTCAAGGTGAGCGTCGGAAGTCGTAGTCGCTGCGTTAATCTCCGATGATAAATTATCCGCAGATTTGTCTTCGCTGATATTATCACTCTGAGCATTCTCTGTTGTTTCACGGAGTCTATCGTAGCCTGCACTCTGGTGGTCCTCTTGCAGCTCGTCGGTTGTTATCTGAGGCACGTTCACTGCAGTAGAATCCTTTAAGCTTTCGAACTCAGGATCCGTGGATGCGTTTTCTCTATCAGTCTGTGATGTGACAGGCGGTTGTGGGACTTCGTTGTTGTCCATTGCTGGTTCACTCATCAGTTGGTCCATGGGGGCCTGACCAATGGCTTCATCTAGAGCAGTTGCACTCTGCGAAGGGACTGAGCCTGTCTCCCCAGACGAGGACATGTTCGCGACTGATCCATTGCTTCCCTTGCGCTCTGGATTTTGAGCCGTAGCATCCCTTTCTGTGAGGGGGTTCGTTTCATCCATTGGCTTTGAGACCGCCAGAGTGTGCAATTTCTAAAAATCAGTAAGTTTTGATATAGAATCATTTGAATCAATTGGTTAAGAGCGATGAGTCTAGTAGAATAGTTGCATGACTTCTGATGTGAGACATGCAGTACCGTTGTCCTCAGCTCAAAGGTATGCTGCAAGCGAACAAATGCGCTTTGTTTCAATGTTCCATGACTCTTTGTTATCTGCTTAGATGTTCGTTATCTATGTCCAATTCGATAGTGGGAAGTTGGTAGAGGGAAAATCTAGAGCCTTGCAGTTTTAATCACTTCGTCACAAGTTGTAAGAGTGTGAACGAAAGGGACATGGCTTTGCTATATCTCAAAGACTACTGTAATGCGCGACTTGGCGACTAATTTACGAATAAGTGCCATACCAGTCACGTATGGTAGATTATAGCTCTAGTCCAGTACATCAGTAGTGGACTGAACCGGGGAAACCAAGCGTTTCTTTTCTATTCAAAGCTTTCAGTGTTGTAACCTTGCGTCCCAAGATTATGTCTATTCAGAGGACTATATAACATTCTAGGTGTCAGCACATGGAATATTTTGTGATGATTCAATCGATTCCGTGTTTGTTGCGACCTCAACGGCGATCACAAAAGAAGAAAAAGAAAAGAAGGGGGGAAGGGGGGTATGAGGCTCTCCTCTCACTCCACGATAGTTGAACCTTTGAAGCCAATGCCTCCCAATCAGAATTATATTTCCGAAGCAATCTATTTGAGGTTCAGTGATGACCCAAACAGCTCATAAACTCTAATTTAAATATACGCCGTGACATGATTTGATTTTCTACGTATTGGCTGTAAAGCTCTCGAAGCCAAGTTTCTCAAAAGTTCTTTTAGAAACTCAAAAACCATCCTCAAATGTTAGATGCAAGATGTTCTCTGAATTTATAGATCATTATATACATAGACCAGTCCATGGAAAGTGTACCACCGGCCAACCGAACAAAATATTTATTGCCGCCGTATAGCTACTCAACACTTCGTCAAGACCACAATCTCAGGATCATCTTTCTTACTTTCCATACATCAGTTCTTCCGGCATGGCATGCTACTGTTTCCGAAGGCTGGTCAAGCTCGTCGCAGCGATGGTGGTGCTATTTTTCTTGATTCGTCCTGCTGTGGCAGCGCCCAAGCTGAAGAGCACTCTAACCGAGTCTCCGCCTCCTGGATATGAATTTCAATTCGACTGGCCTGAGGAAGACAAGGAGAAGCTGCAAAAGTGCTGGAATGATTCTGCCAGATGTAAGTCCAGTCACTTGCTTCACTTAGTTCCACAAACGTCGGCATGCCGATGACCATACCACCACAGACGAGTTCGGTGAATGGAAATGCGGTCGCTGGCACTTCCGCCGTGCCGGCAGCCTTTGGCATGACCCATACGACTGCTGGGAGGGATGCAGTCCGCTGGTGAATTGCGCGGTCTCCAATAGCCTAGAGAGCTTCAAGTGTGAGCAGTCAGCAGGGTTTCTCGCTCGCTGCTCGAGCTCTTGGTATCTGCCCGGCGGCAATTATGACGCCGGCAAAAAGCAGTGGTAAGCCTCCTGCACATTGTGAATACTCGCCGAGGCGTTGGCCGGTTTGTCGTTGATTTGCACAACTAAAGCAGAAGAGGTCGAATCAAAGCAATTGGTGGTTACAATGCTGGAATTGAGCGGTGATGGTTGGCGTTGGACCCTTTGTTTCCTGCTAGGACAACTCTACGGTATCCAATACCTTGACCTGATTGACCTTGGAACCAGATACATCATAATCAATTCACACTGTACCTTCAGAGGTCTTGTCTTCTGTGTCACCGATTGTCGAAATCGTACTGTCGCCCTATAAATTGAACGAACATCCGTCGGATTCCAGTGCATCTGGGTGGCTGCTGCCTGCCGCTAGCCGAATACGTCATGTACCTGTAGCATAGCCTACATCAACACCAACAGCCAGTCACAAACTTCACAACGATGGCAAATGGCCAAATCCTAGTATCCGGTCAATCAATGAGCCCCAAGTCTGCTTCTTTCTTCTGAATTGGTGCTTTATGTCCCTGCATACAGTTCTGCTTAGAGCAACGCCTAGTTTCTCCGCTGGTTCTCCCGTTCAGGTCTGAGAAGATGAATAACAGCACAAACGGCGACGACAGGGCTGTGCGCAGAACACGACGATCTACAGCGCGAAGCCAGAACCCGGCAGCCAGCCCATTCCCAGTCTCTTCCACCACGCTTGGAAATTCGAGCGACGGGCCAGGAGCACCAGCTGTTCCGGCCGGAGTCGTTGAAGATGTAGACGAGGATGACTTGTGTCCTATATGCCACCTTCTCCTCTACGATCCCGTGACGACCACTTGCAATCATACGCTTTGCAATTTTTGCATGGCACAATGGGCCTCAGTGTCCCTCGCAACTCCAATGACAATCGTGGACGTCGACGAGGAGCCTGCGGCATTCGATCCGGTCTCGGAACTGGAGGCGCGGTGTCCCATGTGCCGCACAATGACGACGGCGTCATCCAACGGAGTACGCGCCGAGATTCTGAAGGCCAGATACCCACACACGTGGGCGGAGAGGGAACATGAAGCCGAGACCGACGGCCAGGGGCCCGGTGGTGATGCCATCCAGACCATTACTGTTTACATTGGCAACCGGCATCAGCACGTCCAACCACGGGAGGACGACCACGCCGGGAACCGGCACGAGTGGACATTCTTCGTCCGACCCAGCCGTACTGACATTATTGAAGAGGTGCATATCCACCTCCACCCGACGTTTAGGCAGAACCACATTGTGCGCCAGCGGCCGCCATACCAGATCTCGCGCCTCGGCTGGGGCGTGTTCCAGATCACGGCGTCGGTCATACTCAAAGCGGGCTATGCCTGGGTCTCGGATGACGCGCAGGATACGCCCGACGGGGCGCCCAAGGGGATGCTACCGCTGCAGTGGATGCTGGATTTTGCTTCATTTGATGGTAAGGGGTCCATGGGGCGTTGTAGGTTAAAAGTCAAAAATGACCGCGATTGGGAAGGAGTGAGTGAGGAAGAGGAACGCGACAACAGGGAGTTCGGTCGTATGGTAAGGCAGTACGAAAGAGACGGACGATACGAACCTTGAGGCTCAATGGTTGGATATTCAGGGACATTTCGTGGGCACAGTCAATTATGGTACCTCATCAAAGCTCGCTCCGGACTTTCTCGCATAAGCCTACGGACAACGCGCTACTTCATAGTACCAACGCAAGGCTGTCAGATTAAGCCAAATCCACATATCCTCGTTACTAGATCGTAACACAACTCGATAAGCGCCTTGCTTCCTTGAGGCGCCTCGAATCGTAATCACAATGTTGGCCGTAACTTCAGTTATAGGTGCGAAGGGGATCGCGCCAGACTCCAAAACCAGGACCACTATCACCCTGCTCCGTGGCCTCGTCCTCCTAACCCTGATCTACACGGAAGGCTCGCTCATGTTTCCAGAACGTATCCACTATCTCGTGGACCGATTGCAGCTTCTTTTCCAGGGCCGCCTTATTAACAGTCGATCCGTTGTCCAGCAATAAACTCCAAACTTTGTCGAGCTGCGCCTCTATGGCCTGGAAGTGTGTTTGGAAATCGGCCACCGTCTCTTGCAGGCGCTTGACTGTGTCTTTGGACTCTTGGAGCTCAGTTTGGCACTTGCTGAGTTCCGCAGCGGCGTCATCAATGTATGACCTCGCATAACTCGCTGCCTCACAAGAGGGGCCAGGAGATCGCTCTCTCGGAGTATAGATTTCGGGCATGGCACTATCATCGAGGGTGCAAGACGTCGCACGGGAGCACGACCAGTCGGCCTCACGGCTTCTGGTATCTGCCTCATCGTCGACATTGATCGCCGTTTCCAGCGACCTACCCTCGGATAGGTTTGTGATGATTGAATGGAAGCCGGCACCGCAGCTGGGGCTTAGATGCGTGTTCCCATGGACACATACAGGAGCGACTTGTGTCGGACAAAGGACCGACATGTTTGCATCCGTAATGGCGTCGTTGTTGAAGGCCGCGGGATGTTTGTAGTCGTAGTACCCTTGGAAGGCCATCTTCGCGACCAAAGTCTCTTGAATGTGATGGGCTGAGTGTCGATGTATTGGGTGTGTAATTGGGTAAAGAAAGAGATGTGTTTGAGGAGAAATACGAATATGCAGAGGCAGACCAGGCACTCAGCGTATATGTCTGAGCACCGGAGACACCTGGGAATTATGTTTGGTGTGTGTCACGTAGACGTCGCGACACGGCTGTAGAATATGGCAAGGAAAACGCGTGCCGCCGCCCGTCTGTCGAGGCAACCACGTCGTCCCTCGAGATGATCGCGCGGTAAGTTCGTCTGTAACATGGTCGAACGGCACACGTCGGGGTTCAGGTGTTGCTCTGCAGGACTAGTGAGTGGTGTAATCTTTGGGCTTTGAAATATTGCACCGCCGTAGCAGATTATCATCGGAATGTTGGTGGTATCAGTTTCCAGATGAAAATGAAACCGATCAAGGCCCAATAGGCTACGAGATAAGGAAAAGCACTTGGACCACTGACCGCACTGTATGCAGATGTGTGTGACTAAGACAGCCTACAGAAACACTGGGAATATCTTGGGAGGTCTCTTTGAGAGCCATCATATAAACAGTGTATACCTCGAGTCTGTTCTCGTTCAGAAACTACGCAGAAATTCCTTGGTCTGTTCCCCTGCCTACTGCATGCACAAACGCGCGTACCCAGGCAGTTGTGTACTCACATATAGGTATATAAACTTGAGGCACAGATCATGTTGCTTGTCAGCGGCCAACTTGAACAAATAGAGAAAAGAAACTGGACCGATTATCCGCCAGCCATTACGGAGGAAGGAGCCCTTGGACCGGTCCAAGCATGCCCTACTTTGGCAACTAGAAAACAAGTAGCGCTGCACTTTCTCCCTTACTTTTGACTAAAGCAACTTACTAAGTACTTAAGTAGGCACTTAGATGGATATTGACGCCGTCGCCCTAGGTCACCCGACTTCGCGTCGTCGGAGTTCGCGTGTCACTTTCTTTGTTCCACAAGATCCCGCGTGATTTCGGGTGCGCACAAATACCAGGCAGGGCCCCCGTTTCCCCGTGGGAGATTCGATCGCGTAGGGCGTGCATTTCGAAGCCATCATCATGATGCCCAAGAAGCCCAAGAAGCCGGCGACTAGCGTCCGGGCCGCGGAAGGGCGCGCCTACAGCGGCGACAACGAGAGCCAGGATTCGCAGCTGTGCATGGACCTGTACCGCGAGGAGGTCTTCATTGGCGTGGTAAGGGTCTCTTGCTACCCTGCCGTTTCGTTTCTGCTGCCCAGCTCCGGCACTGACCGTTTGGCTGCCTACAGATGAGCTCATCGCCACATCGCGACGACAGCGGTGGAATCGCCTCAGGCATGGCTAACCGAAGGATTTACAAAGGCAAGTATATCCAGATGGCTACCCTTGAATTTTCCAATAGCATGCTTGTTAACTTATGCATTGAGCTGACTGTCGTGCAGAGAAGACGACCACTCGCCCACCCACATCGGCACCAGTAGCTGAGAAGGTAAGCCAGCGCCCGCTAACTACTAGCTATGTTAGGCGCTGCACCTCGTTGCTTTTTAGGCGGGCTCAGCACCTGGGCAGGCTAGGATCAGAGGCATGGGTCACTGACTCGAGCCCCACAGTCAGTAAACCCCCGGCCGCCGACCACCGCCGACGCGCTGGACTTCAACACAACGCGTCACCCAGAGACTGCGCCCTCAGCCGCTGCAAGTGTTCTGTCGGAGAAGCGTCGCAAGGCCAACTCGTCCGCACCGCGATCTTCCCTCACCTGGGATCCGGACGGGAAGCAGCTATTAGCCCCTTCGCCGAATCACGGTCATGGCCCGCCAGCCACCGTCGATGCTCCGAGCCCGCTGGTGAAGGGCGATGTTCTTCCGCAGATCCCCTCATCCAGCATCCCGCCACCGAGGAAGAGGAAGATGGAGGACTTCATGTCCGACTCGCCCACCCAGTCCAATGAGGGCAGGAGCTACGAGCAGTATCGCCACGACTTCGAGCGCGATCCCTCGCCTCCACAAGCGCCTGAGGACCAGCAGCAACATACAGGCACCCTCGACTCCCAAGTGTCCCGTGTGAGCAGTTCGCACGAGCACCGCACCCTCCACGAGGACGAGACCGGCGCTGTCAAGTTTGACTGGCAGCCGCCGACCGCCAGTGTCAACGACGAAGAAGCAGACGAGGACGAAGATGATGGCTTCGCTCACGCCCACCATGTGGCCGAGACACCGCACCCGACATCGCAGCCGACAATGAGATCCCAGCATAGTTTTGATGCGAAGTCCATTTTTGGCCGGTATAGCATGCCCGCCGACATGCCTCCGCCCGAAACCCCTGTGTTACAACAAAGGCCATTCCAAGGGGACGCACCGGCTAGCAACGTGATGGGAGCCTCGCAGCTATTCATGCAGACGCAGTTCACATCAGGCGTCAAGAAGGCAGCATCCCCAACGTCCTCCCGCCCATCGCCAAACCTCTTCCATATCAACACTATCTCTCCGAACAACGTCTCTTCTCCGCTCAAAGACCGGGGACTGCGGTCCTCCCCAACACAAGGCTTTCCCACCAGCCCAGCTCCTCAACTGCCAGATACTTCGTCCAAGCCAAGCGATAAGGAGGATATAGAGGAAGAGGTAGCTACAATCCCTGGGTCCCCAAACCTGAGTGGGCCCCGTCCAAATCTGAGGAGGTCCCGTATGCGAAGTCGCCCAGAACCAATTGGCGATTATACGCCCATACGCAACTCGTCAACCAGCCCTGAGGCTGAAGGAGGAGGGGATACTGATTCTGAAAGCGATGAATCACAGAAGCGTCGTCACCAAGCAAAGCTGAAGAGGGACAAGGCTACAAGATCTCTAGAAAACATCAGCTACACTCGGCAAGACAACAAGGACGATGTGGAGGTACCGTCTACAAGCCGCAGACGGTCGAAGCCGTCCAGCACGTCAGTATCTGATCTCTCGGCTGCCGATGGGTACCTGAAGCAATGTCATGGCAAGATTGACACGACTGATAAGGGCGAGTCGCAAGAGACCGTAGCAGATTCGCAGGAGGTATCTACTAAGAATGAGGAGCCCCCGCGTTCTGTACCCGACCGTGCAAACCCCGTTGGACCGGTTGGCCGTCTGAGTCCATCGCAGCCAGAGCTCCCAGCTGGTCCCTCTAGAAGCAACGAAACTACTGGAAGTAAAGAGACAATACCTGAGACGAGCCCGACTAGAAACCGCAATACTCAGGGAATTGTCAGATCCTCGCGCCGCCAGGAGACCGAAGGCGTGGACTCAGCAGCCGCAACCCTCCCTGCAGTTTCAAGCTCGCAGAACATGAAGTTGCTGGCGTCGTCTCCTCCAGTGCCAGATGTGTTGGTCCCTTCTTCCCAGTCAACCCGTCGTTCAACGAGGTTGAGGAATGTTGCAACACCGAGAACATCTCAACCCGCTCAAGCAGGACCGCAAGAGCCCGTGACAAGCTCTTCGAGTTTGACCGCTTTATCTGAGACACCTAATATCTCTTCAAGCACTTCGCCAAATACAGATGCCGCCGACGGAGAAACGAAGAGCTTGGTTTCGTCTCCTGCAGCGGCAAAGACCCTCCGCCATAAGCCTTCCAAACTGAAGACTTACTCGCCTGTCTCGCGCAGTGCAGACCGTGTGAAGAGGGCTAAGCGTCAAGGCTCTGTTTCTACTGATGAACTGGCGTTCTCTACCCCGACATCTGCGACTGAAGACCGCCGTCAATCTCGCTCGTTTGCACGCAAATCCATCCAAGAGGCCCAGCCTACTTTGCCAGGCCCGGGCATGTTTGACGGCATGACGTTTGCAACCTCATTCAAAGTTCCAGATGCCCGGAGATCGACTGACAAGAAGCAACTTGACAGAATTGTAGACAAGAAGTTGATCGAGGATATGATCGTCAAGGCTGGCGGTAGAATTATATCCGCAGGATTTCAGGAATTATTTGAAGATGCTGCCATTGAAACAAACCCGCTGCGTCTTAAAGATGACGCCAAAGGGTTTACGGCGCTGATTACCGATGTCCATTCTCGAAAGACCAAGTACATGGAAGCTCTCGCCCTGGGGTTACCGTGCTTGTCGTGGAAATGGGTGTCTGCTTGCTGCGCAGCCAACCGGCTGGTTGATTGGTCTCCCTACCTCTTGTGTGCGGGCCAGAGTCAAGTACTCGGAGCAATCAGTTCCAGGTCTCTACCATCCTATGATGCGCATAGTGCTGATCTTAAAGAGATCGTTGAGCATCGCCCCAAGTTATTATCCGACAAGAAAGTACTTCTAGTCATGAAGAAGGCTCGGAAAGAGGAAGAAAAGCGCATGCCGTACGTCTTCCTGGCGCAGGCTTTGGGTGCCTCACTGATCCGAGTTGCCACCCTGGAAGAAGCGAGGGCCGAGCTTAGAAAAAGAGAAGATACCAAGGAGTCTTTTGATTGGGTCTACGTTGATGGCCACCAGGTTGAGGCCGAATCAATACTGTTCGGTGAGGGACAGACTCAACCAGTCTCTAAGAAGAGAAAGAGACAGAGTGCTGCTGGCCCAGCAGACGGCCCTCCACCCAAGCGAATCCGGACTTTGAATGATGAGTTGGTTGTCCAAAGCCTCATTCTGGGCAGACTTGTTGAGGACGGCGAGATGGAAGATTTCCTGCCGTAAACCTTGCTTGGTGGCTGAACGTAGCATTGATAGGATGGATTGGCGTTTTGGCAGAATGATAAGACATTCTCATTGTGTATGATATTGCCCCTTTCTTTAGCCGCCAGCCGGTGTGAAAGCTGGGGAAGAGGAATAAGATCTCAAGGGAGATGCGTGTACTATCTCATGCTAGTTGAGGCTACAGCCTCATGGAACAGGCAAATATCATGATGACCTACTTAATCAACGAAACTTACCATGCGCTTGTGTTCTTTCGACGTTGTGAATACCCAGAACTAAAGCATGCGCATACGAAGCTATTTACTGCCCAGAAGCTGGCTCCCATTTCAAACAAGTCTTCATGCCAGGCTAGGCAATTATAGTTCTTACTCTCTACCTATCGACATACCTCCTCACTCAGCCACACTCCCGCCTCCCCTTTGCCCTTCCCGGGGAACTTAGCCAAACTCAATTCACTCTCACCTGCACCCTCGCCCATTCGTCGGGTCAGCCCCATACTTGAGATAGACTTGGGATAGACCATCCTTCGAAACGCAGCATTGAACCTAGATCTCCAAACACGCACGGGCAACAGGGAATCATTACAAGTTACCCGCGGCCAGCCCGCCCTCTTTGCGGTTTCCCTACATGCCCAGAATGCAACTGAATCCACGTTCAAGCCTTGGAACTAGATATCGCGCACGGGGTCGTTAGCTAGACGGCCGGTTGCGAACCTTCTCCAGTTTCCGGGTCTCCCTTCGTCCCATGGGACACGTTTGCATGAAGGTGGGATATGCAACAGGTCGAGCCATGCTTACCCCAATTCATCCCCCGTGGCTATGGTAGACGCGGGGACCAAGAAATATCGAACAAAACAAGGACATCCCCAAAACTCTATGCCAGTGCGGGCGTCGGCAATGCCGCGCGGAACCGCCTGCGTTGCTGCGCGATGAGCTGCGCGTCTGGCTCGGGGCGGGAGCGCCTGAAGTCTGAACTTTGAACTTGGGGCCGGTTGGGGAAAAGGATGGGTGGCTGCAGGACAAGCTGGGTCTGCATGTTGGCTGTACCGAGGGCATCTGGAGCAGGTGAGGAGATGCGTATGATCGTGTCTCTGGCTGCCGCCAGCATTATAGATGATGGACTGCTTGAAGGACTTTACTGTAGTTGGCGAACATCTTCGCACTTTAGCAGCGCACTATACTAGGATATCCACAAGAGGGAGGACAGGACAAGCCAAGAGGATCAGAGAATGTGATGTGTCGGACAGCATTAAACGAACGCTCGCATTTGTGAAGCACGCTGAAAAAGCTAACTGTCTATACTGGCCATCTGCTCAATCAACCTCCTCCTCCTCCATCCAGCTAGCCAGCCAGCCGTGGCCGGGTATAAATCAACGAAGGAGGGAAAGAGAAAAACGTGAAAAGATCACCCCTTGAACGACCGTGTTTGTGCAGGCCCCCTTTGCCCAGCCCGAAGATTCGATGACTCAAAAACAAATTCCCCGAGAACGCCATGGCAATGCTGATTACTCCAAGCCGGCTGCGGCTACCTTTTGTGGTGGTATCTTGGTAGGCAGCGCTGGAGACAGAACTCCGAATATTCAACGTTAAAAAGAAATATGGAAAGGGGAACCCAAGGTTTCCCGCGAGGTATCCCGGTATCTCCCAGGCCCCCTTAGTCGGGGTTGGCGATGAACAGACGGCCGCTGGTCAGTGTCGTCGTGCGCTCATCGACACTGCCACGCCGCCTGAGCTCTTCGGGATTCTTTACGCTCTTCTCTCTCGTCAAGGCGGCGTTCAGCAGGCTGTTGCTAGCAAGCTTGGCAGCGCTGGTGACCGTGAGCTCGGGCAATGCGTCGGCTCGCTCCGCGCTGCTTCCACTGCGTGTGCTCTGTGCCCGGTTGAGCTCCCGGTCGTCGCCGACCTCGTATTCCGCCTGTTCAGACAGACTTCCGGCTCTTTCAGGTGTGCCTCCTGGGCTCCATTTCTTGCCAGCCAGACTGCCGGACGTCCTGAAGGGAATGCCCCGGCGACCACTGGCGGTACTGCTGCGGCCGCTGCTCCCCGTCCTACGGTGGTGCAAGCGTTGCATTGTTACGTCGTCCTCGTCGCTGTCTTCGCCCTCGACTTCGGTTGCACTGAGGCGCATAGGTACGCCTCCGACGCCGATATAGTTGTTCTCGGGGGTGTAGCCGACCACGCCGGGCTTGCCGTGGTGCCGGATCTTGGCGGCGACCTTGCCAGCACTGGTGATTCCGGTCGACGTCCGTACCGCACCAGGCCCGCCGATCATCTCCATGTTTGCTCTTTGTTTTGCTGCTCGCTGCTGAGCCAACATCCGGGGGTCCTCATATTGGGCCCGATCGCACCAAACTGTCGCCTTTTGTTTCCTTAAAAGGGCAACGTAGCCATTGGGTTGGCTGCCTCCGCCGGACCGCGAGGAGGTGCTTCGGCGAAGGTCACTCGTCGGCGAGGTGCGGAAGGCGGCGGGTGGCGGGTTGGTAGAGACCGTGCTGAAGGTATTCACGGAGGGAGATCTGCGGGTGTGGCCCATGCCAGGCTGGGGTTGCTGCAGATGCATTGGCGCGGATGACTGTGCTTGCGCCGGGAATACGTTGGACGATGTCGTCCGCGTTCTCGAGTGTGTGTAAATTTGAGGGGAAGGGTCGAGCGGTTTCCGCCTCATATGGCTTTCGCCCAACATCGTGGTGCTGAGGGAGGGGAAAGGCAAGGGCGGGCGAATTATTTGTGGTTGCCCTCTCCCCTTTGTTAGGTTTGGGGCTGCAGGAATTCGGGTGCCGGATGTCAAAGAGGGCTCGGGATGCGAAGAAACCGGGCCTATGGGTGGATGACGATTGCGTGAGATAACGGATGTAGTAGGCCGCGGAATGAAATGAACCCAATAGCGCCGAGCTGGTGAAATTGAGTTGCGGTAGGCGGGCCCGAAAGCAGCTTTTTTTTTTTCTCTCTTTCTAAAAATACTGCTTCTTTCCTGCTAGTGTTCGGCAGCAAAGATGGGAGTGTCGACAATCGACCAGAGCTGATTTGGGCACCACGACGGCGACAACGGGTGTATATGTCTGTGAATACGTTTCTTCCCAATGATGCAGGGAAAGTGAAGGACTGAGGCAGTGGGCTGACAGCTTGGATATGAGCACCACGGCTGTCAACGTTGCATGGATGATGCGCTCGCTTCTTGCGTCGCCGAACGATGTCCTGGAGAAGCAGCAAGTGGGCTGATGCGGGTCCGGAGTGGAATGCCGCTGGCTGACAGGACACTGTGCGGCCTCAGCCAAAGAGGCGAGGGAGAAGCCAGAAACAACCGCAAACGACGGCGCGCTCGTAGAAGACGGCGCCTCTTTTGGCGGCGGTGGAGCGCCGATGGGAGATCTAGTGTGTAGCGCGTAATAGACTCGTAAGAGCACCGTGTCCTCGGGTTGCCTCAGTCCACGATGCGATCCGCTAGCAGTGCTGGAGGCCGCAAGGACGCCCAGCGTGCTGGGACCACGGCGGTAGAGCAGAGAGAGGGTCAACTTGTCAAGATGGCGCAAGTCGGAGCAGTGGGGTCCGAGATGAACAAGCGCGAAGCTCGTTGCCTCAAGATGAGACCCTGAAGGATTTTCAGATTGATGAGACGCCCCAAGGGAAATGGCGCTGGCTCTGTGCTCGGCTTAAGGTTTGTCGTCCTCTCGTGTGAGTCCTGGCCGCGATGTCGTAGTCCGGCGAACCAAGGAGCTGCAAGCACAGTCACACGTTTTTGGCGGCTGAGCGAATCTGCTTCAGGGCACTGGATGCGAACGTCGTTGGGTGTGGATCTCTCCCGGCGAGCGCGAGGCACTGGTTGCTGACTGGACCGACGAAGAAAAAGCGAGAAAGATGGATCCGCTGGATAGTTTACTTGGTGCGTATCCGCCCAATTAGATGCGTGAGCTGGACATACGTCGCTGTTGTGGAGGTGCTGCAATCAAGACTGTGTTGCGCTGCAAAAGAAAGAGATATCTTCTGTGTGGGATTGAAATAACTGTTTGACTGATCAACAGGATCTCGATGTTGTCTGGTATGTGACGTGTGAATGGGATACAGGGACCAGCTGTGGCGGGGCGTTACAGAGCCGATCAGTTGGATTGCCGTCCTGGATTGGCGGGATTGGGAACAGGTTGTGCAGTCAACAAATCTTGGTCACGGCACGATGCACAGGGCAGCATGAAAGGGCTGACGAGGAGGCAAGATGTTGATGGAGGGGTCAGTGATTGTCGCAGGGAAGAAGTAGACCAAGGCCGGGCTTTCGACGGCGAGGACCCTGGATTTCGTGCTGGACGCAGTGCAGTTGGTGGTGGGTATCGTTGTGCAGGACAAAAACAACAACACCACGAGTTTGGCGGACGAAGCGCTAGGTGAGATAGACGAGCGCGGGGGCCAGCTGGGGGGGTTGTGGTCCTCGTCGCTTGTTAGCCCTCCCAATGGACACACACGATGTGCGTCCGTTCGAGCGTGCGTGCGAGAAGGATAGGCTATCAGAATCCAAGGTAACCCTCGAGGGCCTTGCCTCGCCGTCCGTCTCGGGCCTTTTGTGACCAGGTGAGCGTATGCAGATAATCCGAGTAGGCTGGGAAGCGGGGGCTGATGCTAGGCAGCCCACGATAGTCGCTGGTGCCGCCGGCGTGCGGCTTGCCTGCAGGATGTGGTGGAATGGTATGGGAATGTTCCGGGGCGCTATGCGATTTGCCAATTGGCATTGGCGTTTGTTGTTCACACTCCGCGCTTCTGTGCCGATGCCTACCTATCAGCTCAGCTCGCCCAACAGCGTTACTCTGCTATGTACTGAGGGACGCTTGCGTATAGATAGCGCCTTGTGAGACCGCGGTGCGTTAGTCAAATGACCTGGTTGCCTCTTTTGGGAAGGGGAGGGCTTTGTCTTGGACCCAGTCGCCTGTCAGTGCGATAAGAACACAGACGAGACAGTCGCATTCCTTGGGAGCCTCCCGATCATCGCGCCACGGCCCTGAGATGCTTGCGGACACGCTCCAGCACACGAGCAAGTCGCGGCGCTTGAGAGGACAGGACAAGCTCGTCGCTACGCCGTGCCAGAAATGTGCCGGGCACCGTGGGTACGGCGTGACGTTGACACGGCCACTCGGCCGACTAGACGTGCAAGAAAGCTGGGCTATGATGTGATGATTTTCAAGGTGAGGCCGTGGACCCTTGACCGAAAACCCCACGATTACGAGAGATCAGCACATACCTGCTCCACTTGGCCGGAGAGAAAGCTCTCGTTTTCGGCAACGACCGAGACGAGAGGTGAGAACGGATCGCAAGGCAATTCAGGGTCCAAAGCTGGAGGGACCGAGGGATTGAGGAAAATCGTATTTTTTTTCGCGTTTCGGCGTGGGATCAGAGGTTTAATTGTAACGTTAGCCGAGTAGTGTCGGAGGATGATTGCCAGTGCCCAATGCCTCTAGTGACCTGTCTGCGCAGGAGCGGGGAGCCCTGTCGGTGGTGCTTGAGCTGTTGTCCCTGCGGTCGAGCAATAGTAGTATGCAAGCCAAATAAGGCCTTGCCCTTTTGGGACGACGTTGACTTCGCAATTGGCGACCGGGTCGAAGCAGTGACAAGTCTGGCGCTTCAACGTGGAAGGGCATGAGGTTTTAAGAGCATGCAGTGTACAGCGTGCAACTCGGCCCTTGTAGCTGACGGGGCTTCAAGCCAGATTCCAAACGTTCCAGATTCCTGAAGCCCCGGACTCTGTGCCTGACGCGCGCTGCACAGGCACGTCCGGACGGGGCTCGATCAATGTAACATCTCTGATCATTTCGGCGTGTCTGGCGACAATTTCAACTTCTGGCCTTGGAAACTTACTGGAATCCCCTTACCCACGTCATGGCTACCTTCGCAGTCTCCCAAAAACCGGACTGGTCCCTGTATAGCAAACTGTTGTATTACTCAAAGTGGAAACGCACCAAGCCAGAAACTGCTATACAATCCTCTGATATAGCCCAGAGGCCCGCCGGCGGCTAGATCAAGTTTAATGGTCTGCCCCCGGAATGGGCAGTACGTCGTCGCGAAGGCTGTGAGAGACATGCCAGCAACGGTCGACGAGACTTGCAAGATCTTGATACAGACAGCATGAAGACGCGATGAATCCTGCCCTCCCTCAATACCACCCCATCCGGTCAAATTGCTATGATGATTTTCAATGCATGGCGCAGCATTCAACCGCCAACATAGCTCACTGACATATTTGATGGTATCGTGGGTACAGGAACTGGGAGGATCAGTCACGCACTTCAAATACCCTGCAATTTATGCGGCGGTCAAACATGCAAGCTGCATATCCCATGCATTGTGATAATGCTCCATGTATGCAGAAGCAGCCCGTTTTGAGGCCTTGCAAAGCTTGACGATCTACAGCCCTGCCGACTTAGCCCTTCAACTGGGCCGAAGATAACATGCTATCAACCCGAACCCTGCCGGAGACCCAGCACGGCACAGCTCTGGGATGAGGAACTGGGCAACTAGTTTAGCACGAACGCGTGCAAGGACGTCTTATCTCGCGATGCCGAGAGCTCGAACCCGTTTCAGCGGATAAACCGCCAAGGGCGGATTCATAGCCTAGCAGGCGGTTTGACGGGTATCGCGCCCAGCGTCAAGTCTCCTCCGAGAGGATCAATAGGATTGAAAAGCCTCTTTGCCCTTGCAGGTGTTCCTTGATGGAGGGGGAGGCATGTTCGCTCCCGCGGTCTAGAGCGACCCACCAAGTTGGCCCCGCTCACGATGATAATACCAAGGAAAGTAGGCATTTATGTACAGTAGGTAGATACAGCATCCGATAGATTCTGGTAGTGTGCAGCGTGCGGGCAGACAAAGACGAACCTTAGAAAACGGCTTCACGTTGTTGAGCTGCGGCTAGGAGAGCCCGCACCATATCGCATTCGTCTTGTGGCCCATGGCCAAGTGCCGCCAACCCGGGTAGTTCTGACTGATGAGGCTATCATGACAAGGGAGCCCACGCACAGGGCCCCGACATCAGGCGATTGTTGCGTTTAGCCAGGGCGCTTTCTCCCCCCGCCTGGAGCCGATAGCGCGGTTCTCTGATTTTAGCGCTGCATGTCATGGGCGGGATGACGATTGCGGCGACAACCTCCGGGGCCGTTCATCTCGTCTCGACTTGTCACCCACTATCGGATAAGTCAAGTCCCCGCCCGATCTGCTTAACTTTGACACGATGAAAAACTTGCCTCTGCCGGATTCTGCATCAGACGCAATATCGCGCGGCGGAATGTCAGATCAGTGGCAAGGATGAAACAAGACTCTTTGACAGGATGACAGGATTCTGGGCCAGGCTCCGTGAGCCACTGGCCAATCTGGGACGTTCACAGCAGGTAATCCACCTTGAGGAACCTCGTGCATGTGGGGGCGAGGATCTGACGAGGGGCCACGTTCCTGGCTAAGCCGAACTTGCGCGCTCCGGGCTAGGAAACTGGGAAGCCCGGCTCAACGACCAAGGAGGCCAACTTTTCCAAGGTTTTTCTCCCTAGAGATTCTCTGGTGCCATGAAACCGTCCAAACACGCTGTTCCCTATTATGCTTATTAAATCCCCGATCGACTCTCAAGATCTCGATCTCGGCGCCTAGTCTTCCTCTTGATTCTCCTTTTGGCGCATTCCCCTATCGCCTTTGCGACTGGAAAACCCATCCGCCCGTCAGCTTGGCTAGGCGGAATCCGTCCTTCCCGCTTCGGATCATTTCTCACACATTCGCCGCAGGGGCTGCTAATCAAGCCAAGCGCAACCAGAATTGTAGAGCAGCCAGCGACTGGCGGAGCACGTACTTGGGCTCGAGTGGTCAAAGCACCGGATACGCGTATTAGTGAGGGTATCGCCATCACACACTCCTCAGTCGAGTGCGCTTGCGATATTTTGATTTCCGAACATAGCCGAGAACCATAAGCCATGGGCACTTTTAGAAAAAAAAAATTTAAAAAAAAAATTTTATAATAAAATTGAAAGAGAAAAAAAAGAGAGAGAGAAAATCCCTTTTTTAATTAAATTAATTTATTCCGTCGCATTATGTAAAAATCCTTGCTCGAAGACTTCTACCGTACTACGCAATATCTTGACATCTCCCAACGATGAGTCTTGTCCTGGCTAAAGGCCGAGATAGAAATAGCTTGGGTTTGAGTAAGGTTTCTTCGGATGCTACCCCTTCCCTCAATGGTATTACGAATGGCGGTCATGTTCTGAACACTCACTCCGGCCTCCGGGGCCAATGCTACATGTTCCTCGTGGAATGATGATCGTCTCAACCAGTTCATGTGTCTTTGATCTCCATAAGCCCTAGGGCATGCTCGTATTGGGCAGCAGGCGTGTCGTGTTGTCCTGTATTTTTCGTGCGATTGTGTTAGTAGAGTAGCTGCTAACTTCAAACTTAACTTGAAGAAAAGTCAAAATGATACCCAAAACACTGTGCAAAGTATCCTCGAAGGGGAAAAAGAAAGAAAGAAAGGAAGAAAGAAAGAAAAGAATAAGAAAAAAAAATTGTTGTCACAGTGGAATCCAGTGGTAGGTCGGTGCTAAACCTGGCCCTAGCTAGACATAATGAGCCTTGTATAGTGTTATACTTGCATCGAGTACTTCGACCTCAGCATGAAACGTGTTTCGGTGCTGGTCACCGTCGCCCACTTTGTAAGAATATCTGCACCGATTCTCCCAATGGACCCGCTTTAGTATGCAACCCATCTTGTTACTCGAATTGTATCCTTCCTTGATTTCACCATCTTGGGGCATCCACTCACCCTTCCCTGTTTGGGGTATTGTAATAAGCAGCAGACCACGTGAGAATCGTACCAAGCCAGCACCGAGCGTAACCTGCCTCCTCCACTCGCCCTCCCATTGCGGACTCTTACTTGTAATACCGTACCTGGACCTGGTCGCCTCCTTGTCGCCGTGCAGGCAGGCAGTGACAAAGTGGTCTTACGATATGCCTACACTAGATCTGTCAAAGTGCCAAATTGCAAGGGCCTTACAAAGGAGGTGATCCAATGAAATAGATCTTGGAATGTAACCCAGGTGATGACAGACGCCGGCAAGGCCACAGCGGTAGAAAGATCTTTCTTCCACTATCCCTAAACATATTGATTATTCCGATATCACGGCAGCCACCTTGTGCATCCAGTTGAGAAACTTCAACTCTTACAGTCACCGCATTAAATATATGATGTAGGCTTTCTACAGCTTTCACTCTCTCAGGTCAAACGATGCAAGTAGCAGCACCAATACCGTGCTTCACAACTTTTTCTCAAAATCGACACTGAAAATGTGGTCTTCTGTAACGCCACTACCAGTCATCTCGTATAGACCAGTTATTCGCTGTTCTTACGAGCGGGTAGTTCTACCATGTGGTACGGTGGCGCCTAATGACTTACCGCGCCAACACAATAGTAGCCTTACGTGATCACCTGTTATGGTTCACATACAGATCACATTCCCCTCACCGTAAGCCGTCATAGCAGCTGAGGTCAAAGCCGACCCGCGTGCCTGCGCTAAGTGCTTCGTATGTCGTGAGTGGTATACGCAGCCAATCGGGTGAGAATGAACGCCCCTATTTGCTTCTTGTTGAATTCCAATATCTACCAGAAATCAGCCCTCCGATTAGTAAGTGGTCTAGACTCTCTTGCTACATGGCTAGATGGCACTCCCACCGTATGCGGTCTCGAGAAGTCTTTTCTTTGGATTCCGAAGGGCCAATCATTAGCGAATCCTTTTGTCAGCAAATGGGGTTCACGCGCTCCATGTGATGGATGGCTTACAGTGATTCATGGAACCTGTCAGATTTGATTACGAAAATTCCTGGAGTTTTATGGTGAGGTGTAGTCAACAGTGTCAGCGGCCGAGACGGGATTGTGGGCCGGTAGACAGAGCGAATTCGTTTGGTCTCGGCCTTCTAAATGCTTCATACTCGCAACAGAACGGATTGATAATAAAACATTCCGTCAGTTGAATTACTCAAAGGCTATCGTTAGGAGGCGAATGTCGCTATGGAATAAATGTTTGCTTCTTTCATGGATGCAGCTGCTCAGTCGAAGTTCACTGCAAAGATTTATGCCAGACATCAAATTGTTTCTTCAATAATACTGGTCGTTGTAACGCACCAAACGCAGGTACCATTAAAATGTCTCAACTTATTCTTCTAGCCGATGCCGTCGCACGGGCATCCCAGCCTAGATCTTTGGAGTCACATGCGCTGCCAAACCAGGCCCCCCCACCTTTACAGCCTCGTCAGCTTACTTTTAGAACCTCCTGACAGAACAACAGCCTCCCCGCAAGCGACTTGGTGATATTGCTTCGTGGAAAGCTAGATCATACACAAGAAATATGAGATTCGAATGGGGAAATTTCATATAAAGGTCACTGTCTGCCTCAAGGTGTGACCTCAAACCTTTGTAAGTCCATATTCAAGTTCACAAGCATTCTCAGACTCCTGCAATCTCTACATTTCCAGTTGACCCGCATTCAAAACACAATCATTGCTCCTTGTTACCATCATGCCAGCACCGGCACCCAGAAACTTTCCGCTCAGTGGCGCTGCACGTGCTCCCACACCTGCAGAAAAGAAGTGGGTTGAAGATGAGGTGCCTGAGCTCAAAGGGAAACAGTGGGCTATTCTCCTACCCTCGGAGGGCAACACTGCGTGGAAGTGCCTCCACTGGGCACTGGATGTTCAACCGAAACCCGTTTTCCCCGAGTTCCCCGATGCGGGCAATGAATGGATAGCAAATGACCTGTGGTATGAGGACAGTGTTCTCATCCAGCGTTGTGAGTACCTTAGTGTCTACATGGGGATGGACCCAGGACGGAGAAATATTCGTGACTTTCAAGTAGAACTACTGACCTATAGGCTGCCCACTGATGCATTATTTCGCCAGCTTCTCCGTCTCTTACCCAACACTTTAATATAAGAATGTACAAACTAATTGGGCTTGTGCAGTTGGCGAATACGGATTTCAACGGACAACGAACGCTGCCGAAGCAGATGTAGACTGTTTTAAGACTGCCCAAGACAACTTGACGCACTTTTCTCGTAAACTCCCCAACGGAACTTGGGTGAGCAAGCTAGGAAGCGGTCCACTCATTGTGCACGAACGCGACGCTTTAGACGGTAGCGAGTACGGTCGCCGAACCATCTTTTTCAAGTACATCGGCGGCGGCGTTTCAACCCAGAGCTTCTCCGTTGCAAGCTCGGCCGGGATCATGGCGTCTGCTACCCAAAACGAGCCAACTTCCGAAGACGATCAGCTGGTACAGAGCTTCGCCAAGTTGGCTAAGAAGCCAGCGCCTCGTCCCTCTATTCCCAAGGGTCCTTCCAGGACACCGATACAGAAGCCAGCACCTGTGAAGAAGCCAGCACCTAGCAAGCCGAGTCCTCCAGCTCCCAAGAAGCCTGCTCCTCCATCTACTACCCCCAAGGTCCCTGCTCCTGCACCTACCAAGCCGAAACCTCCGCCAGCACAGGACAACAAGCTCAAGCAAGACTTCGATAGAAACTGGCAGGATTTCCTAAATGCTCTCAAGAAGCCTACTAGCCATTCCGAGTAAGTTTTCGTGGGACAAAGAGGATGTATTTAGCACGGGACTAACAACCTCAAGCCCATTCGCATTGCTTGCAAAACCAGAATGGCAGAAGATCAAGAAGCAGGGTCAAGGTGTTCTTCCTTTCCTCGTGGATTTACTGCGCACCAGCAAACTAGCGCATGTTCTTGTACTGTGCAGTGAGTCTCCGTTTCATCTTGTAGTTTTACAGGCATCCAGTGACTGATTCCCGATCTAGTTTTCGATCTTGATCCCAAGCAGAGGACCAAGGGGACCGTCGATCAAAAGAAGGCCCAGATCCTTAAGAACAACGCGGCCAAGACCCAACAGGTCAGTGCCAAGGTGGGCGCTATGTCAGTGCAGAGCAACAGTCTTCTGAAGGCCGGCTTCGAGGGCGCGAAGCTCACGGCCAAGCTTCTGAACGACCCGCTGTTCCAGCAGATCATCACTGAGGGCATCGACGCTGTGCCGCATATCCTCGACGCCTACTCCAAGGACGGTAAGCATGGGGTTGAGTTGTACACTGAAATGCTCAAGCAGATTCATGAAATCCATGCCCAGAACGCCGACCCGGATGCCCAGAAGCAGGAGTTCGAGGACTGGCTTGAGGACTACCTACAGCCTCAAACCGACTCTGAGGAACACGAGGAGCCGGAGGTTGCTGGCGAGGAAGCCGGAGAGCCCGCAGCAGAAGAAGCTGGTGCTGAGTCTTAAGTTACCGTTAAACGAACGGCATCACTGCCCAGATTAATGTTTTAAGTTGCGTTGGTGTTTGTGTGGGTTTCAATGGTGTTTCTCTTCCACACGACGTCTGTGGTTACAAGCTAGTTTGAGAGGAATGCCCGATTAATCCCTCTCGTGACACTCATTTGTCATTATTCTATTTAGTTCTTGGTAGTGCCTTGTCAGTAGACTGACATTGCTAGCCCTAGCATACATTCCTTTAAGTTTCCGGTTTACACAGATATTTACCGCTCTCCAGCTGAGGGATGATCGACGTTCCATCGCTTCTGATTAGTGTCTCCGATGAATATCCCAGAAGCAGTACATATAGCCAAGTCATGAGCGAATCTGTGAGAGAAGGACCAATATTCAGAAATGCCCTGCAATGACCGCATAGGCGATTCTGAGTACGACAGAGGTATGACTTCGCTAGCTAGAGGACTTTGAGGGATGAACCAAAACGATTCGCAGAATCTGACATTAGATAGAGACCCTGTCAATCTGATTGCATTGCACGTGTCCACGAACATACAGTAGGCAACAATAGTGAAGTCAACGAGGAAGATTATATCCGTTGGATTCTCTATATATTTGTTTCGGGTGTGGATCATTTGTACACTCAAGCAATAGGAGCGTAGAAGCTGAACTTAGCAGTCGGGTCGTATTTCTTCTTGAGGGCGCTCAGACGATCCTGGCGCCACGACTCGCTGCCGTACCATGCCTTGGGTGTCTCGTCACCATAGGCATAGTTGACATACGTGCTCAAGCTGCTCTCACCGCTACCCTGGTATAGGATATCGCGGATCTGATTGCCCAGCTGGTAAGCCGCCTGCTCCACAGCCTGACCCGTGGGTGCGTAAGTGAGCAATGGGGCGACAAGCAAGTTTTCGGACCGGTAGGCAAAAGCAGATGCCTCATCACCAGGTGCCTTGAGCCCCTGCTGGGAGTATCCTTCGAACATGAACAGAGCGCCGCTGAATGGGGTGGAGTCGTTGGTGGTAGCTTGACGGAAGAGCTCATATACCTGGGCTTGAGCCTCTGGGTTGTACTGCTTGAGGTAGATGGGGAAGCGCGGGTTGGCGTTGCCCGTCTTCTGGCAGGGGCCATCCGCTAGAGATATGCCTGTCCATTTACCCAAATCCAGATAAGTGCCACTTTGGGGTTGACTCATGATGGGACCCAAATCCAAGAACGGCTGGGTGTGGACAGAGTCAACGACATCAACCCCTTCTTGAATGATATACATAGCAATGACAGGCTGTTCAAAATGTTAGTAAAGGATAATAAAGGCGTTGTAGCATCACCGGTGCTAGTGATGATTGATTCTCATTACCTTGTCAGCATCAATGGTAGGATCGTAGAACCAGTATGACCAGTTGTTGAGATCTTCAGGCATGGTGCCATTGGTAATCCACAACTCATTCGCGAGTTGATAAACCTCCTTGACTTTGTCACCACTGAAGAAAATGGTGTTCACGGCGTAGTTAGGCTTCGTCAAGTCATAGATCTTGGACGTGACCGAGGTTACAATACCAAAGTTGTGTCCTGCGCCCTTCAAACCCCAGAAGAGGTCAGAGCTCTCATCAACGGTGACCAAGCTACCGTCGGCCAAAACGACATTGAAGGACAAAAATTGATCAGAAACAAGACCATGGTGACCTTGAAGCCAGCCATGGCCACCTCCGAGGCCAGGACCAAGGTAGCTAACACATTCGCAGGTACCAGTCACTGTCAATCGATGTCAGTCGCTACTAGTAAGGTGGTACAACTCGAGTTTCAACCCACATACCTGTTTGCTTGCTCGCGGCCCAAAGCGCGTCTGTCAGGTTCTTGGAACGAATGCCACCACCGATTTTGGCTGTTTGTCCGTCTTCGGAAATCTCGACACTGTTTAACTGGTTCAGGTAGATCTCGATTCCCGAGCTCATCTTCCCCAAGGTGGTGATAGATCCATGGAAGCCATTGGTAGCCAGGAAGGGGACCTGGTATTTGTTTGCAAATTTGACCTGAGAGACGCAAATATGAGAAATGTTCGGTAACTTAATGAGGGGGAAGCAGATAATTGAGCGACCGAGACCATAGAGAGACAAACCGTTGTGACAACATCCTCCTCAGAGCCCGGAGAAACAACGACGTTGGCCACAGGAACGCTCAGATTGGACCAGCGTGCGACTGCATCTTCAAAAGTGTCCGATCCTGGGAGATAAATCAAAGCACTGCTTGAGAGCTGCTCTGCAAGTTCGGTGTAGTTGGCTTGGCGTGTATCAGCACGAGCACAGAAACCGGAAACACAAGGAACCAAGCACGTGGCGATGGCAGCCCATGCAGGTAGGGCTGCAACCTTAAACTTGTGCTGATACATTGGTTGGAACAGCGCAATACGCAAACAAAGAGTGGACGACGACAAGAAGCAGTCTGGGTAGCTGGCAGCAACACATGCAGGCGACAATTACATGCAGATGAGACTCGGCCAGTCGTCTATATAGTTTAACTAGGGAGCGAATAACAGCCGTAAACTCAGGGTCCTGAGGGGAATCACCGGAAATTACGTCTGTGCCACCCCTAAGTTATAGCGGCCCAGGACAAAACCAGCGGGGACGCTCTCATAGCAATGGATCCTTGCCCATTATGCCACTGATTACTTTGGCTCGGGTTCTTCGCTGGGGTTCGCCGCAATTGAGGACCGGACGAGCCCTACTATGTAGTATCGCCTCATGCAGTTTTAATACTCTAGCGCAGGGGCAGCGGGGTAGGAATGCAAGTGTATGCCAGGGCTACCTCACCGTAGAGCTACCGAGGTAATTGGCTGCGTGATAACCAGGATTCTGCACGAGATGTGTGTAGTACTGATTACGAAATGCGATACCCCAGGCTGCTAATGAAACCAGATTGTGCAACGCCAAACTCGGCTCATGCACCGCCTGCATCTCCACTACCGGGTTCTATTATCTTGTGGTAGCATTGCTAGGCTGAGTGCCGGTATAGACCCTGGCTCGCGCAAGGCATTATGCGGCCGTTCAGCCAATTACACAGAGCTTCAATTCACAACTCGGCGGGGAAAGGACTTGTACATAAGTTATTAGGGGGCCATAGACTGTGGGCAGGAAGTCCAAGCGTCAAACCCCTCCCAAGTCCAGACCTGATTAACACCAGCATTGTGCCCACTGCAGCGATTGAATAGATTAACACATCTTACGATCTCGGAACTAAGAGAACTTGGCTTTACCAGATGCTCGTCGGATTGCAACGATGCAGGTTTCCGCTTAATCGGCACTCGCTTCCGCATTCCCACATTCCCTTATATACCGTAGCTGTTTGATACTGTTACCTATGCTAATTCTTTTCGAGAAGCAATACCCTTGCAGCCACCCATGGTGCTGCATTCGACTAACCTGTATACGTCCTTTGGCCCGATCGCAAAACCGGCAGCCGAACCTGTTTTCTGAATTTACTAGGTAGGTGGTCCCGCTGTTGATTCATCTGACCTTGCTTCGAACACATCCGTACGAATAATAACCTTGATTACCTAACTAGGTATCAATGGACATGGCAAGGGAAAAAGTTTGAACTCCCTGATACCTCAAGTTTACCTAGTAGCTATCAAACTAGAAACGTGCGTCGCATCGTGTACAAAGATGTGAGCCCCCCAAAATGCTCCGTCCATGAGATGGGTCATGGTCAAAGGTCAGTAAATCTTTCCTTCTTTCGTTTTCACAGTTCAGTTCAAGCTTTCTGTCATAACCGCAACCCAGGCCCAATTTCTAATAGAGAGCCTGAGCAGCGTAGAGCACAGATGTCTGGATCCACTGCGTCCCCGGAGGCACAGGCTGCGATGGCGGAGGCCATCGCCGCCGCTACTCGGGCTTTCAACACAGAGTTATGGACATTGTATTCGTTCGGCGTTCTCGTCACTTGTCTTAGAACCTACTCACGCATAAAAGCGGTGGGCTTCAGAAACCTTCGAGCTGACGACTACATCGTGTGGCTGTCCATCGTGCTCTACACGACGCAGTCGACACTAGCCTATTTTGCCGTCAATTATGGACAAGGCCTCGCCAACAATTCCATGACCGACGCTCAGAGAGCGGCACTGGATCCTAATTCAACGGAGTATGCGCTACGAGTATTTGGATCCAAGATTCAAGTCGTGGGATGGACCTCGTACTGCTGTCTAATATGCACGCTTAAGTTGGCGGTCCTGGTCTTTTACGTCCGCCTCACGGTGAATATTTCGTCCTGAACAAAAACACGAGGCTGCCTGCTGACGCATCTCTCATATATAGGAAGGACTCGGCCGGCGATTTCGTATGCGCATTTGGATCGGCTTTGCCCTGGTTGGAGGTACCTTTTTCGCGTCCATAATCGCCATCTATGCAGGCTGTCAACCGCTTGAAAAATACTGGCAGATCAACCCCAATCCTGGCAGTATGTGCATCTTCAGTCCTTCCTGTTTTGCAGTTCTAGGACGATGGAGCCACCGCATTTCTAACTTGATATCTTCTGCTTCTAGACTTTTGCCAAGGTGCCATAGCGGACCCAATTGTTTGGGTTACCTTTTCTTCTAGTGTGGTCACCGATATCTACCTTATCATGATCCCGCTGCCAATGCTTTGGGGCACCACGCTCAAACTCGCCAAGAAGATAGGCTCTACATTCGTTCTTGGTGCTGGTGTATTCGTCCTTGTCTGCTCTCTCCTGAAGACAGTTTTCGTCGAAATAGTAGGTCATGCTGAGTCGCTCTTCACCATGCTTTACCGTGAATGGTCATCTAACTCAACATGACACTATAGGACCCAGTGAACGGTGCACAACTTGCCGGCGAGTGGGGAACCCGCGAAGCTTTTACATCCGTCGTAACAACCAACCTGCCTATGCTATTCCCCCTTATCAGGGCCTGGCTTGGACCCTTTTTCGGTAGCGCGTTCTCCTCCGACAAGACGCCATACAATCACGCAACCGGCTTTCGGACCATTGGTGGCAGCGAGCATAACACGGTCGACATTAGCAGTCGGCGTCGCGAGCCGTCTTCTGCAGCGAAGAAGAGTTTGCACAGTGCTACTTATTCCGTCAGCGGGAGCGAGGAATTCATCTTCAACGAAAGCACGGAGGTTAAACTACAGAAATTAACCACGGACGGTAAATCATCCGCCTTGCAGAAGCCGGCAAAGGGGATCTTCGTTTCCAGCGAGTTTCACGTTATGGAGGGTCGAGCGAGCCAGGTTAGTGATCCTGCAGGTCAACGCGCTCCTCAGCAATGGTGAATGGATCAACACAAATGGCAACCCTATGGGGAGGGGTGTAGAGCCACCTGAAAGCGTTTCAATATAGTTGAAGTCTTTATATACGATAGCCTAAATCAGATATTACAACTATTAACAGCCAGTGGTATCATGCCATGAGTCGAACTAGGTAAAGAGGGTTACAGACCTCAGAAACAGCCTGTGTAAGCGGTCTCAATTCAATGACCTTGCATGTTGGGGATGCGTGGTTCACCAAAGTTCTCTTGTGCTATACAAGGCAGATGTAGAAGTAGACAGGGGCAACATATCATTGTCGACGAAAGTGCAATGACCGCGCACTGGACTGCGGCATGTTTCGGTCTACGCCGCCATGCCGCGTTACTTTGCTAAAGTCGATGAGAACGGTATTGGTGCTCAGTATTCCAGGTGAACATGAACACTGAACCTGATTTATCCGCACACTTGTTCCCCTTCCCTTCCCCTTTCAACTTGAGAGATCGCGAACGGAGATGTGGCATTCAGTGGGGATGAATAATCCTACTTAAATTAATGGCAATACGAATTTAGATTTTACAGACGGTCCAACTCTCGACTACATTCCTTTCTCTATCACTATTCAATCATTATATGCTCAACATCACACTTTAAACACCAATAGACTATTCATTGCCATCATATGTCAAGACATACAGCACTCTAACCCAATTGGCTGCTACCATCGACCCTTGCCGCAGGTACGTCATGCACACGTTTTCGATGAACATGCTGTGCAAATGCCACGCTTTGACAGGTATATGCGGCAACCCTCATCTACCAGTCGGTAGAATACCTCATTTCATTCCGGAGCCTTCCCTCCACAACCCGCCTGGCGATCGCCGAACTCGGGTTGGCAATAGTCCTTTCCAGCCCTCATACTTCTCAATGGGTATATCAACAAAGCATGCATGAAATTCACCACAACTACATGGTACCATTGCTCATGCCCAAGTGACATACAGTCATGATTCCGTAATGAAGATCTCCAAAGTATGCGATTCATGCACTCTGTATGTTCTCAAGCCAAACGCGATGCAATTTACAATTATACTGATGCAGCCTGCTTGGGCAACCGCTCAACTTGGATATAAACGTTATCCTCGAGACTACCTGGAGTATGATGGCCAGACGTCTTGAGAAGGGCCACTTCAAACTCAAATCCAAAAGGCAAGATAATGCGAATGAAACGAAAATCTAGAGAGGTACGTAAAGGCGACAGACACCGCCAGAGCCGTCCATGTTAGGCTTGTGGAATAATGACCTGATTGCGGTACCGTTTTCGGAAATGTATATTGAGGTAGGATCTCATCTGGGCGTGGAGCACATGCTCAAATGCCCGACCATAGTGGCCCAGATAGCTCTGGTAAGTGCTATCACGTCGAAGGACTCAGGCTCGCATCGGTAATCCCAATATGCTTCTTGTTCTAGTACTAGTCTAGTTGAACTTTGTGGAGTCTTGCAGCATCTCGTTCGGCTCTGAAACTTGAATAGCTGTGAATGGAGTTTACGGATCATTTTGATAACAAAACGAATCCCTTTACGCGCCTCCTGCCATTCCAACGACCCTAACCTTCTCCTGCACAGACTTCTTCTCTTTTGGCTCAGGGGTTGGTCCGATTCGCCCACCGAACACAAGTTGACTGGTCAAGCGCCAATTGGTCGGTAGGTCCCATGCCTCAGCCACCTTGGTGTCGATAAGCGGGTTATAATGCTGCAGATTGCCACCCAAGCCCTCAGTGGCTAGCGCAACCCAGACTGTATGCTGAAGCATTGCATCGGACTGCGTTGCCCAGATGGGAAACTGGTCCGCGTAGGACGGAATGTTCTCTACAAAATTCTGGACAACTTCAGTGTCTACAAAGAAGAGGACCTATTCATGCCGAATTAGCTGGCGAGTTCGACATCAAACAAACATGAAGGAAGCAAGGGCCTGTGCAGGAATGGCCGCCACCCAGAGCAACATACCGTGCCCGCAGCAGCTCGGAAGCCAGCCGTTTTCGCACTGGTCGATATCCATTGATCCTCTGAAACTCGAGTCTTTAGGACCCCGGTCACGATATCCCAGAGCTTCTCGTGCTCGGCACCAAAGAGGACAACAGCTCTGTTTGACTGTGCATTGAATGAGCTTGGGACCGATTGCATTGCATCCTGAACAATCCCCGTGATTCTCTCTTGGGTGGTTGGTAAGGTCTTATCCAGTGCATACCAAGTACGGCGGGCCGTAATTGATTCAAGGAACGAGGCTGTCGTGGGCGCACCTCGCGATGCAGATAAACCCAGAGGTGCGAGTATGGCCCCGCTTAGCGATTCGAATAATTTAGGTGACACATCGACATTTGAGTTGTCGTGGCTCGGGATTCCCGCCAGTGATGGGAACATTGTGACAAGGCCGACGAAAATAAGTGTGATAGAGGGCAGGACAATGGCCCACGCCCAGGGTGACGAAATTGAGAACCCTCTCCGAGGACTCGTGTGCGATGTCGCCATGGCGGTTTGCATGTGGAGATAATCGATACATAAATTCAAGAGCTCTTCAGACAAGGGGCACCGTATATTGCGTTGAGAAAGGCGTTCACTCAGTATGCAGTTGTTCAGCTCATTGTGGTATTTGAGTGACAAGTGGTAATATTAGAAATCTACGTTTAAAGAAACGGGGCTGCCGCCGATTGGCCACTCCACATTTCGCAGTAAGCTCCAGGGCTGCTCGGCTGAGCTAGATTGGTAATCAACGCCTAGACCTAACTTAGGCACACTCCAAGAGAACCCGCTTTGCAAGCAATGAATCCTTGCAGTTGGCTTCGCTTGCGGCGTAATTGTCAAATTTGCCTAGATTCTCGCGAGCGCCCATCAACACTCTGCTTGCTGTCCATGAATGTTTGCAACAAGCCCAAAGCATTTAATTGTGTAAGGCGGGTTTTCGCAGTCGATTCGCGGAGAAAGTGCATGCATGACTCGCAGGGCCCTGGCATAGCCATAGGAACGAATCACGTTGGGGGAAAGAGTTTTAATTCCGCCACGCCGATGATTGATACTGCTATGCTATGATCAGACCCGAACAAGTTGAACGCTCCAGGCCCTAGCACAGATGTTGAAGCTTCGAGGCTCATTACAATTAGCTCATTTCAAGGCATTACAGCCTAAGTAGAAAATACCAGTATAGGAGACCCCGCTTTTGTTCCTGTTTTCTCCTCACTTTCACCTTAATATTATATCAGGCTGCATGATTGAAACTAATTCGATTTGATATTTTCTTCATGTGTGCATATTTACTGCCTGGCGGGAATTTGTCGTGTCTACACCGGTATGATTCGCGTCACTATTGACCGTCATGTCCACAACTACACTCCTGGCATCGTTCGGGATATGAAGACTAGATGATTTTTTATATAGGCACACAAGAGGTGTAATTCTGAGTACAATCGAGGAACATAGTTTCACTGCTATTTCCTACCGCAACTCCGCCACGTCTTGATCTAATAATCGCTTGTATTCCTCTAGGATAACCTTGACATGCTCGTGCCCAGGTTGTTGTCCATTAAAAACACCGCGCTTCTATCCACATAATCGTACAACAGCGTCAAATAGACGAGTGGAATACCTTTGTTTTGAGTCATTCCGTCCTTAAGCGACTGTATTATCCCGGAATTTCACTACAGGCCTCTCCATGACTGGTTTATGTGTATCTCATCGTGATATTTTCCCAAATCACCCAACGCCGCAAGCATAACCCGATATCACGTAGACCTCACGCTGATCCCTTGGACGAGGTTGACTGCTTTGTATTGAACGGCGCGGCTGTCAAGTGCCTCTTCTGTAAATCGGCTAGAAAGGTCTGCAATGCTTCTAGCGGAGGTAGTTTCAGGCTTGTGCGATACTTGTCAGGAAAGACATCGCTGGGCTGGTCGACAAGTTCCTCGCGGCATTTCGTCATCCGTAAAATTGTCATCCACGGTATCATCGCCGTGCCCAGCATGAATGTTGGGAATCTTGATTGAGAGATTTCTTCGAGAAGCCAGCAACGGTGCAAATATGGCAAGTCGTAGAATCGATGGAGCGCCTCCATGTGCCGTGGGCTTCGCCAAAACCCCTCGAGAATCTTGTTTGACAACCAGACATGGTGGGGAGCGTAATCCTGCGGGTTCTTCTCCTTGTCGCCTGGGTCTCCGTAATTCGGTGGCATGTACTCTTCAGCGACCTTGAGAAACGCAAGAAAGTCGTCCGTATATTCGTCGCTTGGACCCAGCCAACCGATGACCATCTTGGCAGACGCATAAACCTGGCTCATGATAACTCTCCTCTCAGCCAGCTCCCGAGGATTGTTCTGGTCAATGCAGAGTGTCTCGGCCCAGAGCCGAATTGCCCCGCAACTCATGAGATCCGGGAAAACGACACGCATGTGCTTCACAGCTCGAAGAAGCCATCGCGGAGTGGGTTCGCTCCTAGCTATATCGGACTTGAGTGCCTCCCGAATGTGTCTCACGGCCTCGGAGAGACTGCTTGGGACCGATGTCTTGGTGTCATTGATAGAAATCGTCTCCGTGCTGGTCGCTTCGCCCACCAGGTAGGACAAGGCGAAGAACTCCAAGTCATCTGTCAGCTTTGTGTTGATGATCCGGCACACAACCCTGTCTTCCAGCCGCGGTGCCGGCTGGATTTCAATAAGACGGATTTGCGGTCTCGAGGCCCTCCGTGACATGTTGGCGCGGGGGTTGCTGTTGGCGACGACCATAGTGAACGATTATGCTTTTGCACCACGCGAGGAGACTCCATAGACAATCTCGGCGGCCAGAGATGGCACGACTCGCACGAGGCAGTCCCTCAAAAGGAGTGGCTGCTCGTGCCCATGCGACCCTTTCGGTACACTAGGATCCGCATCCCCGGCCTGCACACGGACGCTAAGCTGGGTACATGCGTTGGAGCGGAACCTAAATTTCAGATTGCTACACCGGATTGGGCGGTTTCAATCAAATCCCAGGGAAGACCTGCACCTCAATTCACATTCGCAGCACAATAGGAGGCACTGATTATTTAGCAACCCCGGCCCAGTGTCATGCAGACTCTGCTTCCGAAGAAACACTGTGGAGGAATGAAGAGGCCGACGAATTGACCGTTCCAACGTCGATTCAGCCCATCCCGCTGGCCAGTCGCACCCAGGGCGAACGGCCGTCATGGCCTACTCGTGTGTCTTACACTTCCCAGAGGGGTGAGTGAGTAGCAGGAGTGGGTGAGGCAAGGGCCAGGCATAAGAGATTGTCCTGTGCTCGCGATTGGATCAGAGCAGTCAAGGCAGTACCACACTGCAGGCCAAACCCCCGGCCTCCACACCGACAAACTTGCACCCCGTCAATGGCGTAGGTTGCCACGGCCGGCAATTGCAAGCGCAAGGTCCCAAGTCACTCCGCCAGAAAGGAACAGTTATGGCAACCCTATCCACACCATGGACCCAGCGATAGCCGTGGTGAGCGTCTTGGGCCACAGGCAAACAGGCTCTCGGTGACGAGCAGCAGCGGGAGCTTGGCGGGATGATTGACCGGCACGCAGGCAAGGCTGCGGTGGAGGCCGTGGAGCCCTGTCCCACTGATTTACAACATTGTCAGGACCGATACACCCCTTCGTTCAAACAAGCTTCAACTAGGCGAAATTTGACGGCATTGGTTTCCAGTGAGAACGCAAGTGGGTATATTGATTCCATGTATATTCCAAAACATATGCCCTCCGAATTGTCCACTCATCCACCAACACGCAGCCCCAACCCCAAGCCTGTTCCAAGTCCGTCATCATGCGTTCACAACCGGCGGCGGGGTGTGGTACGAGTATTTGCCGGCCTTGAACGACTTCTCCTCCAGGAAGTCCAGGGGGACACCTTTCTGTACGATCGGCGACATCAGCAGGTTGAGCGAGGTCACGTCCCCGTTGACGTGCGGCAGCAGGTACTGGTCAGCAAACTTCCAGACCGGGTTGTTCCAGGCAACGAGCCTGGTGTACAATGCCGACATGTCGACCGCCTCCTTGGAGTTGCCCATCCGCGCAGTCTGGTACTCGCGGAACGTCTTGTCTAAAGCGTCCGTGTCGGGGGCAGCGTTGGCCTGGAGAAGGGCACGCAGCCGGTTCACGAGCTGTGCAACACCCTGAAGGCCGCTGTTCATGCCGAAGCCGGTGTTGGGTGTCATCTTGTGCACGGCATCACCGACGAGCACGGTGCGCTCGCTGTGCCACTTGCCAACGATGCCCTCCTCGAGGTTGCCGATGGCTGACCACTGCCTCTGTGCCCAGACTTGGGCAAACGTCACCCATTGGTCAGACTGCATACCGGGGAAGCGCACGTCAGCGAACCTCTGTGCCATTGTGTCCTGGTCCTCGTCGGTGTAGCGCGTACGCTCCTTGGTGGGTTGCGCCATGCGCTCATACACCAAGAAGTGCTGCTGCTCCTCAGCGACAATGAGCTGGATGGTCAGGCTCTTGGTGTGAGTCTCGTACAAGACACCAGGCTCGAGTTCTAACGATCTGCTGGAGTAGCCGTAAAGACCACGGTAAGTCGCGACAAAAGGTTCGTCGACCTTTCCGGTCTTCTCGTTCATCAGCTTACGGATAGTGCTGTGAACACCGTCTGCACCAATAATAATAGAGCCAGTGTGAATGCTCTGGTCGGCGCAGGTCACCGTCACACCGGTGGCGGTGTTTTCTATAGAGACAACCTCCTTGTCGAGCTGGACCTTGCCTTGGTCCGGGAGATTCTTGCATAGCATGTCCATCAGCTTTGCGCGGTGAAAACACATCCATTTATGGCCGTGGCTGTTGGGAAGTTAGTTTTTTTTTGCTGCATTTCAACGTTGCGGAAGATTCTGGATTGTGCTTACTTGATGCCGATTGCCTCGAACATGTTACTCCTCGACATTTCGGTTCCATCTCGCCTCAGGTTGCGCTTGTACTTGACAGGCATATATGTGCGCTCTGCCTCCTCGAGAAGACCCAGTTGATCGAACAGTCGCACATTGTGCGGCCACACGGCCACAGACGAGCCAGCATCCTTGTCCAGCGCCTTGCGTCGTTCCAAGAGCACGAAGTCGATGCCGGCTTGGCTCAGAGCGTGGGCTGCCGTCAGGGCTACAGGGCCGCCGCCAACGACTATCACGCGGAAATTGTCCGTTTTCTCTGCCATCTTTACTGATTACAAAGTTGAACCTTCACTGGTGACTGGGGAAGTGAAGTCGAGTTCGGGTTTATAGACGAGAAGTCCGAGGTACTTGATGTACTTTGTCTGCCAGCACGCTGCGGGAATCGAAAGATATCTCGCGATTGCAGGGCGACCCAGCTACGGGAATAGTTCCATATCAAGACAAGCCGCTGGCCCCCTTTCCGTGGGGTTGCCACACGCGGACACAAGGCGGACTCCGTTTCACTATCTAATCAAGAGCACCGGCCGTCCTGGGCCCCAAGGTGCAATCTACTGAACGCTAGAATGCTTATGCATGTCTGCTGGCCACCAGGCACCAGGCCTTCGAGTGTTTGTGCATGCAAAGCTAGTCGGAGGGCCTGCTCCCCGGTGGGCGCGGCGCTCATTACATGAGCATTGTGGATTACGAAACCCTGGGTCGTGCAGCTAGTATCCATACCTGTGATTTTGGAAGTGTCTCATTGGTTCATCATCTGTACGAGTTTCCACTAAAGCCAAGGAAAGCATACCCCTACGTTGGCAACTTGCAAGGGGATGGAAATTGGGCATGGTGTGGCACGCCACCAATTAGGTGGGTCGGTAATTGAGATTTTAGAATCGGAATGTTTTGTTTCAGAGCACTTTGGCATATGGGGCCGCATCAAGTGCCTTAAAGGCAAGGGTTCCTTGCGTGTAAGCCGCGATGGTACGAGAAGGTGAGCATACATAGTCCTCACAACAATGTTAGGTAAGACGACAGGTCGAGCACGTGGGGCAGATGTCCGCGATAAAAAAGTTTGTTGGGCGGAGAGAACCGTCGAGTGCAAGCGCAAGAGTCCGCTTTTTGTACCGGGACAACGGACCCGAAAGCTCGAATCGGGTGCTCGCCGACTACAGTGTACCGCAATGAGTGCTAGTCATAAGGGGCCAGATCTTGATCTGGTTGATCTTGCTAAACCCCAGCAGCGTTGGAAACCAGGCCTAGAATTGCGATACTTTTGTCCAGTGTGCAGATCAAACAGCGGGCAAATTCTTTTGCTTTGATCGGCGTGCTGGAAGACGTTTTCGGGTGAGCCTAGCGTAACGGCCTAGCCCGATTCTCTGGCGTCGTAACATGGTCAGGGATCATCGGATGGCATATGTTCGCCCGAATATGATAACTGTAGCGTTGATCTGCCTGCCAAGAACAATCTTTGGTAGCATCCAATAACACAGGAGTAGCATCGGAGATGGGGCTGTCTTCTGGAATGCGCAGTAGAGCAAGGTTGCCTTGCTCAGGTTCACCAGATAATTGACCCAGGGGAGTGGACCGCCGTTACAGGTCGGCGTAGCGTAGTGTAGTTCTTGAGGACGCCGCGCACGCCAGTGTCGGGCTGCTACCCTAACCCCATGTATTTCTCTCGCATGGCGTCTGTCAAGTCACGGTGGCTGCGGGGAGGATTACGACTCTGACACTTCGACGCAGCGGCCAGGCACTCGGCACACGGCACCCATCAGTAGAGGGCAGTCTTGTCACAATCATCACAGTTATGGATAACTCAAGGCATCAAGAAGGTATTCAAGCCCGTGATTGCGTGTTGGTCCTGCGGTATCAAGACGTGACTGCTGAAGAAGACATTGCCAGGAATTAACTACCACCGCATGAGATGGGATTGTTCTGTCCCAGCCCATTGGCAAGCTTGTAAAGTTTCTATATTAGTCTGTGGGCTAGTTCTCTAGCTCTTATGCTACTCCACCACGCTAGGGTCCTATACCCAGGATTCCCGGAACCTCTCCCCTGCGCAAGTGCGCGAGTAACGGCACATTGTCCCCTTGGCGCTCGAGAGGACCCGGGTTTTAAGCGACTTGGGCATGGAAATTGGCGGATAGGCGCACATGTGCGTCTGCCATTCACATGGGATCCGGCAGGCCCGTCGTTGTACGGGTCACCCTGCCGCTCTGCTTGAGGGTATTAGATCTGACCAAGTCCAGGTCTTCTTCATGTCGGTTTACCTCCACTCTTTCCTTCGGACGATGGTCATAACACTCGAGTGTTATTAACCGCACTCAAGATGATCAGTCCTCTATCGTCGAAGTTGGCACTATGGTTGCTACTGGTGCTAGCAACCATCGTGGCCGCGGAGGTTGGCCCACGGTCTACAACGCTGGCGTCAGTTCTTACCGATATCGAGTCCCAGATTCCGGCCTGCGCAGTAAGTACTCATGAATACCTCCAAGAGACCTAAGTTGCGTTTCATGCCCTGTTAACCTTCTGTAGTTTCAATGTTTCAGTTCGTTCGCTGGCTCGAAGAACTGCGACTATGTTGAGGAGTTTATCAATACCGATGTGACGCACTGTCTCTATGCGAACTGCACGACGCATCAGTTGCTCAAAGCCGAACAAGTCATCACGACAACATGCGGTACGGAGGTTCGAGACATCCAGCCAGGCATTAGGGGAGTCACATGGACCCTGTGGGGAGTTGCCACCATCTTCCTTGCGGGGCGGTTGCTGTCGCGGAGTTCGTGGTTTAGTGGGATGCAACTAGGGTGGGATGACTGGGCGATTATCGCATCCTACGTCGTACTCACTGCAGTGAGTATTGGCGCCGAACTGAGTACGTTCCGATAAGCCGGATTATACTCTGGACCTCTACTGACGCAGCTATAGTGGTCGTATTTGGCCTTGGAAAGGACATGTGGACCCTGGAAGATACCAATATCACCATTGTCCTCATCGTAAGTACTACGATCATATCAGAGTCGCCTGACCTACGATTGCATACTGACCCATCCCAGCTTTTCTACATTGCCGAGTTCGCCTACGTCATCGAGTCAACGATCACGAAGGTGTCCATTTTATTATTGTATCTCCGAATCTTCCCGGACCGACAATTCCGCAAATACGTCTATGCTTTGATGATCGTCATGGGACTGTTCTGCGTTGCCTTCGTGGTGACGTTGCTGACATATTGCGTTCCTTTCGACTATACGTGGATGCGGTGGGACAATCAAAATACCGGAACATGTATCAACATGAACGCACAGACCTACACATGTGCGGCTCTGAATATCGTTCTCGACCTCTTGATCTTCTTCCTGCCCATTCCCCAGTTGTAAGCGATATCCACAATTACTGAACCACGGACAGGAAGCTAACCCATGTTTCAGGTTCAAGCTTGACTTGTCGATGAAGAAGAAGATTGGCATCATCTTTACGTTCCTTGTCGGCCTGTTCGTCACAGTGTGCAGCATGATCCGTCTCAAGGCCTTGATAGGATGGCAGACGAGCACGAATCCGACCATGGAATACGCCAACCTGGCCGTGTGGTCCCTGGTCGAGCTCGACGTCGGTGTCATCTGCGCTTGCATGCCCGGCATGGCCGGTCTCTTCCGGAGAATGAAGAAGCGCGGCACCGAATACATGAGGTCGAAATCCAGCAACAACGGGTCTCAGGCCTTTGGGTCCCAGGCCTTTGGTGGCACCAACAAGGGGACTGGGCAGGCCATCACAAAGACTACCATCATTTCAGTCAAGCGCACACAGTGTGATGACCAGACAAGCGATTCCGAACTGGAACTTGTCGATCGCTCGAAGGGGTCATACAACTATCGCGGTCACTACCCGCATGAGTCACAAGGGCACCTCGTGTAGTTCATAAATGACCTGAGAAATGTATAACAAGAAGTAACAAATAAACGAACATCTGTCCTAGCCAGGGAAGTGTGAGAATTTCAGTGGTAGCCCTATTGTAAGTGCTGCCACATCAGGACTAAGTATTATTGCTTGTTCTCAGGTTCAGTGTGACTAAGTCTGCGCCTAAGATTGACATGTATCTGGTTCTTAAGCGTGTGGTGCAGGCAACTTTGTCCAAGCAGCTGTCTAGACCAAATATTGCACGCTACCAGGACTCCACTTTGATGCCACAAATGGTCGAGTACCCAGATCTGGTTCGTCTGAGAGTAGGGACTGCAATGGAGTTTTGTCTACTGAAATAGACTCGCTTTACGTAGTAAGGCAAGAGTGAATTACCAATGGCGACACCCCCGTCCCCCAGCAGTCAAAGGTAGGAGTGATAATTACAAACATCAGGACTGGTTCAGTTTCGCTCGTCTTGGTCTCTCACTCGACTAGGAGCCATAAAACTAGAGAACGCAAGACCGCGATGCACCCCCGAAAGAGATACTAGTACGCTGAGGGTTTCGGCGCAACAATTGATTACGTGTCACCGTCAGTTCCCCATCCCTTCTGGGGTCGTATCATCCGTCTTCTGCGGATGACGTGCCACAGCCACCCCCCTAGACTTTATTGAGGTGCCTCTTTGCCCAGATGCGGCCATCCCTGGTTTTACCACGGCGATGGGCGTTGTGAGGATTATATATAGAAAGCCGCAGCCTCAACGAATCCTCCCCGTGCACGAGTCGCCGGCCCAGGTCTCCGCGCAGGTCATAGCCTCCCCGCTCGCCTTGACAAATCAACGGCTCGGCGCTCGCTGTAGACGCATCCAGGCTGTTGCATGGTGTTCCATACATGATATCTCTTGCGATGTTAAAGCTGCCCGGTGTTTCCATCCTCTCCTCTTGGATCTGACGTAGGTTCTGTTGCGTCAAGTCATCTTGATGCACGATGGTGTATTCGAAATTCTCACAGGGCTGGAACGCGGCAGCCTCTCGAAGTCGCGTGGCGTCCCACCACTTACAGAGGAGGATGAAGGATTGCGATTGAGCCTCGATCAGGACGGCCCCGATCAAGACCCCATCGTGCAGGAATGCCTGCTTGTGTGGATCCCAGTTGCCTTCGGGATATGCCGCCGTGATTTGGACGCCACGTCCCAAGTCGATGAACAGAGCGTTATTGAACACCTCATGGAGCCTCATGGAGTCACTGGCCGTGAGCGTCTTCTCACACCATATCCTCATGGGTGGGAACCTCATCGTATCTCGCATGGAGAAGAAGCAGATTTTCTGACCATCCGACTTGATGTCATCCTCTTTCGAACCGCGGTAGGCTGGTTGGAGCTTAATCCCCACACAGCCCGGCTCTGATCTGACATAACCCCCGATCGTCTTGGTTAGAAATACTCGCACGGTAGCAAGGCCGCCACTAAGCTTCTTGCACGTTCCAATCGGCATCATAAGCCCATACTGCGGAACCAGTTCTAGCTTCATGCTATCGAAACAGATGCCCCTCCGGGTGATGGACAAGTCGTCGTGGTAGTGGGTCTGTGATCGCTTATGAGGTATCACGTTGCCACAGCCGGCGAACTCGGAGGGATGCAGTGCGAAGAGACCACGAAACTCCTGGTCAGCTTTGCCCTTGGTAGAAGCAATGTCCGCAGTCCATGCAAATACGGAAAGGTCCGTCGTATTCCTACAAATCTCTTCTTGCAACCGTATGAAGGCTTTCTCGCCCTCGCCGTAGAGCAAAGGCATGTTGATGTCGAAGAGCCCCAACAGACAGTATGCGATATCCTCTGTTCTTAAAGTCTCCCTATTGGCAGACCAGGACATTCTCTGGGCGACCGAGAATGAATCAGGAGGACGGTGGTATGCTTCATGGCTTATACCAGTGAAATCCTCGATGTACTCTTTGAGGCCGGTTCGGGTTTCGTAGAAGTTCCAACCGCGGTCATAGAAATGGACCTCTGTCGGCGCAATGAGCTCTTGCAATGTCCAGCCTCTCTTCCACCAGCGACAATGTTGGAAGAGATCGGTGCCTCCTATGGATCCCTCTGGCAAGTCTGACAGATATGCGTAGCAGATGGCTGACTGCTTGTACCACTTCCACATCGAGTTGATCGCCTCTGACAGCTCCGCACTGCTGGACTTATCGATACAGCAACTATGCATTACAAATCAGCGCCATGTGCAGACATGTGCAGAGGAAGAAGTTGATGACCACTGAATGATTCCGCGTTGGCCAGCATAAGTGATCATTGTAAGGACGGCCCACGTACGTATCAACCCACGCCCACGCCAGGCCGCGTCTTTGTGCTAATCTTATTGTCCATTCTATCTTGGTGTACCCCTTTTTCTTCTTGGCTTCATCGAGGCCGCATTTGTACTCCTGAAAGGAAACTTCCTCGCCGTCCCACGTGTGTGATAGAACGGCATACTGGCCCTCGGGACATGTGTAATGTTCCTCAAGTTTGTGCGTCTCGACGTTGATGAGCCACATGATGCGAATCAGGCGTTGAGACAAATGTCAGCGAAGGTCTTGGGCAGTGTGAGGCTTAATAGATATGTCGAAACCCCCACCCCTCAGGACGAGGCTGTGGTTTCGCTCGGAGAGCCAGATTATGTGCTCTGCCACCGCCATCATGCAGGAGCTGACAGCACTCGACCAGTCGGACGCCAGGGCCAAGCCACAAATGGCGCGTAGTCTTTTGGACTACGACTCTTTCAAAGGGCTTACAATGCTAGGCCGTCACCTCTGGCTGAATGCATGGCCAACATGGATCACTTCGAAAATGCCGCTGTATCTGCATGCTTTCGTAGTCCCCGCTCACATTCGCAACCTGGTTGCCTTCACCAGTCAATTTTGTACTTTCCCGTGGCTTGAACTGCACCACTCTCATCTTATGAACACAGTAAATATTTCCTATTGTCATGCATCTGACTCGTGATAGCATAGTAATGCAACGCACCGAAGGGGCACCGGAGTCCCCCCAGGAGCCTGGTGCAAGAAAACCAGCGGGGCCAAGATCCCAACTCTTGTGTTCCCTCTCCTGGACTTTCCCTCGTCTAAAAATCTGTACAATAATACAAGAAGACCTAGTCGTTTAGACTTTTTTTGTCTTTTCTTACCCGCCTACCACACACACTGAATTACTTTTCTGAATTCTAAATCGCGCCGCAAGTCCTCTCCTCTTCCCATGAGAAAAGCCGTGAGCTGCAGCAGCGCCGTAGTGAAATCACATGTCGATCTCCCCGTCAGCGATGGCAAGTCTTTGTTTCGCTGTTTTCGCCTTCTTTCCTCCCGCGCGACGCTTCTTGGCCGCTGGTGCGGCAGGGGCTTCTTCTGCCGGTGTCGCAGTGCCTGATGCCTTGTTGCCGTCATCAAAGTGACCCTCACCTGTAATATGGATTAGTCATGATCAAGAACAAATGGAGATACGTAGGCTGTAGACATACCCTCATGATACATCTCATCCAGGCTGACTGCCTCCCTCTTTCTCTTCCCACCACCACGCTTCTTGGTCTGCTTCTCTATCTCCCCGCTCTCAAGCAACTCCTTTTCTCTGCGTTCGATCAACTCGGCCTGCTCGTCGTCGGCAAGCCATAGAGCAATATCCTTGTTTCTGTTTTCAGCAGGACGACGACCGCTGAAGTCGACACCGCGCGAGCTGCCACCTGAAATGACGACACGCTGGACCTCTTCTTTCTGCATAGCTCGCTTGCGAATACGCTCCTCGATAGTTCCGCGCGTGATGAGACGGTAAACAGTGACTTGGCGCGTTTGACCAAGACGATGGGCTCGATCCATAGCCTGTGAGTCGATGGTAGGGTTCCAGTCACTGTCGTAGAAGATGACCGTGTCTGCCGACGTAAGGTTGATACCAAGACCACCAGCACGGGTAGACAGAAGGAAAATGAAGATTTCTGGTCTGGTTTGGAAGTCATGAACGGTGTCACGACGATCCTCGAGTTTTGTAGAACCATCAAGTCGGCAATACTTGTAGTTCCGGTAGGTCAAGTACTCCTCCATCAAGTCGATCATGCGTGTCATTTGGAAGTAGAGTAGGACACGGTGGCCCTCTTCCTTCAGCTTGAATAGCAGTTGATCCAGTTTGGCAAGCTTGCCGCTATCAGTGACGAACCGGCGCATGCTTGGGACAGCAATATTGGTGAAGCGTCTCTTCTCGTTGTCGGGCTGAGGCAGAAGTGCTGGCGGAGGATACCGTTCTAGAGGGTACTTCTGGGTGACAAGGGCGGTCTCATCGATGGCATTTGGACCATACAGGGACTTTCGTATCAGCCCATTGAACAATGTGTCTTCGCGTTCACTGGCTGGGGCCCGGCTGCCTTCGCACGATACCCCGATCGGCACAGCAGAGGCGCCCGGGCGGGCAGCCTGCTCCAAACGACCGAGACCAGAATCCCGCCAGTTGGTTTTGGCAATGTTCATAAGACTTCCAAGAACACCCTCGTTCGTGATATCTGCCAACGGCTTGCGGTCTGCTCTTGCCTTGATCTGGAACAAGGCATGGGCGGGTGTAAACGCCTCGTCTTCCGGCTCGTCATAGATCACGTTCATATGACCTAGTCGGTTTGGCTTCTTGACGAGGTCGACGGCCCGGGTGAAGACGTCCGAGTGGCTCGCTTTGTAGACCTCTTCAGGACTAGCGTCGGCGAAACGCAAGAATGAGAAAGCATCGTTGCCGCTTGCGCTCGCGCGTACGTTCTCCGGCGTCCAAATGTTCATGAGATGATTCAGATACTTGTTCCTGAATCCTGCCTGCTCATTACTCTTGCTAACCTTGAAGAGCCTTCCGTCCTCATTCCATACCAGTCGTGGCACGTCATACTCAATCAGATTGCGCGACGAGTAGCCAACGGACACGTTGGTTCCTTCACGGATGAACGAGGCCGTCTCAGCAAAGTAGCCCGAGAACATGGGACTGGTGGTATCGGCACGCTCAAAAAGATCGGGGTGGTTGCAGACCTTTCGAAACTGCATAACGAGGTTCATCAGGGTTCCGGAATCCTGATCGTCGCCAAGCGTCGCCTTCTCGATAAGATCCATGATGCTAATCTGGTTGCGTAGATTGCGGTAGTAAGCGCGTTGCCGGTAGGTGAGATCGCAGAAGACATCGAGCTCAATCTTGTCACCAAGTTCCTTCTGGACATGCTTCTTGACACGACGCAACATGAACGGCTTGAGAATCATATGCAGCCGCTTAAGCTGGTCCTCATTGAGTGTTGTGTTGCTTTGTGCATGGGACTCGATATCCTTGGAGAACCACTCGCTGAACTCGTCGTGGGAGTCAAACAACGAAGGCATGATGAAATGGAGAAGAGCCCAAAGTTCCTGCATGTTGTTCTGGATAGGGGTACCAGTAAGGAGGAGACGATTACGGCAGTGGAAGCTAAGCAGGCACTTCCAACGTGAACTCTGGGAGCTCTTGATGGCCTGGGCCTCGTCCAGAATCATGTACTGCCATCGCATCTTTTGGAAGTATGCAACGTCAGATACAACCATCTGATACGAGGTGACTAGCACGTGGAAAGGAGAGTCTTTCCGGTACGTGTTGTGCTTGCGGTCCCAGAACTTTCGAAGAATCTTTCTGTCTCCAGCTGTACCCCAGTAGGGAAGAATCTTGAACTCTGGGACGAACCTGGCGATTTCTTGTTGCCAATTGTGAAGTGTTGAGGCTGGCGCCACAACCAAGAAAGGACCCCAGATATCGTGCACCTCGGCCAGGTATGCCATGACGGAGATCGACTGGACAGTCTTGCCCAGTCCCATCTCGTCTGCCAAAATGCCGTTGATTCCTTGTTCGTACAAGTTGGCTAGCCAGTTCAGACCCTTCAGCTGGTACTCCTTGAGTTGGCAGTTCAGGAGCTTCGGTTGCTCGATTTCGACATCGCCCAAACCCGTGGGGTTCTGGAAGTTCATCTCACCATCCTCGTCCATGTCAGCGTCCTTCTTGTTGAATTCACGGGCCTTTTGCTGGGCTTCGGCGATGGCGTTTTGAGCATTGGCCACGGCGGCCGCGCGCAGGGTTTCCTCGTCTTCGGCGTCGAAGTTTAGGGAGTTGAAGTCGGTCACCTTGCTGCCAATAGGACCTGTCGGCTCATCGACATCCGGTTTCTTCTCTGCGGAGGCAGCATCTGCTGCCGGTGCGATTTCGGGGTTGTCGGTGCTGCGCTCAACCTCATCCGTCTTGATTTTCTTACCGATGAAGTGAGAGTACAGCTCAGTTTGTGAGATCAAGAAATTGAGCTTCCTCTTCTGTCGAGCAGCTTCGCGGTCGGCTTCCTCCTTACGGGCATTCTCAAGCTCTTGTCGCTCCGCTGCCTTGCGAAGATCACGCTCCTCACGCTCGTTGCGCTTCCAGAAAGTCATCATGTCTCGCATACAACGTTTGGCTCGGGCCTGCAGGTCCTTGGTGCCCTTGTTGGTCCGTAGTTGCCACCGCTTGGCTTCCTTGGAGGCAAGAATCGCCGTCTTCTTGAGATTCGATGCTTTGGTGGCATATGAGTCGGACGCCAGCTTGAAGGTCTTGGGAACATCCTTGCGGGCCAGATCTCGCAGAATCTGATCATAGATCTGATTGTAGCCCTTGGACTGGAACTTGGTTTCCAGCGGATTGGCGGGTGTTTCGTCAGCCTTGTCCTTGTCTTTGGACTCGTCGTCGCGAGATTCTCTGTCTTTGGCTTCCTTGGTGTTCTTGCTCAACTTGATTCGGATCTTGTTCTCCTCGCGTGCGGGGGGCAGTTCCTCGCCAGCGTCGAGAGCAGCCTGAGCAGCCTCGGCGGCATCCTTCTCGGCCTGCTTTTGCTCCTTAGACTTCTTGGGGCGAGTGCCAGAACGTTTGCCTTTGCCCTTGGCACCGGGCTCCATATCGCTCGCCTGGAATGTGGACATGGTACCACCCTCCAGGTTGAGCTCGAAGGGCGCGAGGTTGCGCGCCGGACCCTTGATGCCCTTTTGCAAGATAAGCTTGGTCTGCAAAGCCTTCTTACCAGCCCGTTCAGCCTCACGGAGGTGCTTCTGGCGTTCGGCGTCGTCTTCCGCAGCAAGGGCTCTGGCCAGTGCAGCCTCTTTCTGCTCCATGGTGACCTGCATGGATTTCTCGCGCCGACGCTTGCGCTGCATATCCTTCTTTCGCTCCTTATCGGCAAAGATTTCGCGCTCGCGGACTTCTTGAAGAGCCTCTTCATAGTGCAGTTCATCATAGCGGCGCTTGCCGAAGGCTGCTTGGCCGCCCAGCTTCTTGCTGGAATAGCCAACAAACTCCTCGCGGCGAGCCTTGCTATCCTTGCCCTCGGTTTTCTCGAGGTCAAGTCGACGGCGCTTGTTTCGGCCGAGATAGAACTCATGCTCGGCCTCGAGTTCCGACAAATCGACATCCTCAGCTTGTGCGTCCAGCTGCTCCAGGAGCTTCTCGATCTTTTTCTCCTTGTCGGCAGACAGCTGCTTCGGCTTGGGCTGTCCATTGGACTGCCGCTTTGAGGCCCTGCCGGATGGCTCGCTGGGTCCGTTGGACGAGCGACGAGATACCTTCTTGGTGTTGCCGGCTTCCGAATCTCGTAGGACTGACTCACGTCCCTTGCTCTTGCGGGGAGCCTTTTCCTTCTTTTCCGCCATGATGGCAGGTCGGCTGGGCTTCGGGAGGGGGTCGGCACTCGAGAGGATGTTGGAAAATGACATGAGCTCAGCTGCGCGGCTTGGGGTCTGAGCAGTATGGTCAGCATCAAGTCGCACAAATAGGGGAACAAATGTGCAGTCGCTTAGGTGAGTCCGAAACACATCGGGAGAAGATTCAAAGCCGCAGTGGCGAGAGCAAGTAAGGATGATTTGAGTTTCTTGAGAACGTACGCTTGAAGGGGCTGCCGGAGCAGCGGGAGCGGGAGGCTCAGGATTCAACAAGGACGGAAGGGACGGAGCAGGCGTCGATGTGGGCTCAGGTGCAGCGCGCGACCGCGACGGAGACGACGCCAGGTTCAGTGCCTTGTTGGTTGGACTGGCCGGATCGGCGCTGTAGCCGTTGCCGTTGGCGTTCTTGGGGTGCGAGTGCGAATGCGGGCTTCGGCTGCGGGCATTCATGGATGACGATGGAGAACCGTAGCCATTACGATACTGTGCTGACTCGGACTTTGGCTGCGAATGATTGTACGCGTCGGATCGTGCCTATCGAGGTAATGTGTTAGCAGCGGTAGTGTGATGACATATCCGTGTTCTTAGAGCAAAGCAACATGGACTGGGACAAGAGCGCGTAGATGACAAATTTCAGAAACAAGAAAAATTCATGATGGCAGTCATCAGCGCCGAGAAGCAATCAAGTGTGTCGGCGGTCCCTGTCTCATGCTGCGACTTTTAGGCTTCTGCCGCCCTCGGCAAACTTTTTGGGTAGCCTGATCACGCCGGAGCAGAGCTGGGTGAGCGGAGGCAGGCCGACGATGATGTGGTCAATGCAACGCGTAAAGAAGCTGCTGGACAGACCCCCATCGGCCAAATGATCTGCTGGATCGGTGCTGATACTGTGCATTGAGGACAGGAGGAGACTGTGATGGTACCGGCTGGTGTGGATCAAGTGAGGCAACGGGGGGGTGCTGCAATGCATGGTTGGTTGTCTTACCGGCTTACTGCTCGACCACGAGTCGGAGGGTCTTCGCTCGTTAGTTGTGTCGGTCAGCGGGTCGTAGAAGCTGCCCGAGGTCTTCTCTCGCGCGGGCTGGCGGTAGTCTGAGGATGACGAGAGGTGGCCGGAGGTCTGGGGCGGCTGCAAGGGCGATGCACTGGCAGGTGCATGTGCATTCGCACCATTGGCGCCAGGCGATGCCATGATGGATCCCAAGACTCCCGGCGGGGGAGCCAGAGGGGGCAGGCCGGAGAGCAGCGATGGCGAGGTGACTGGAGGCGATCGGGGATGGTAGTCAACGGTCGCGGCGATGGTGTGGGCGGAAGAGGTGGTGTTGGTGGTGGTGGTGGTGGTGAAGTGCGAGGACGCGCCGGTGGTAAATGGGATCGGGGGTCGCGTCAGGGATGTCGATGCCGATGCCGACGGCGACGATGATGATGGTTGCTGTGATGCAGCGATGGGGAAGGAGTTGTGGGATGGGGGAGATGTGGATGAAGCGGAAGAATGGAGGCGTTGGAATGGCGCGGGCTGGCGAAAATCTGGAACTGCTGGGCGTGGTGGTGGTGGTGGTGCTTGTGGTGGTGCTGAGTGCAAGCTTGACACGAACTGTGTCGATGCTGCATTCGTCGGGATCCCGTGGGCGGCATCCACCTGCGCTGTGTCCAGATACGACGGACGATGATGTGCAGGTCTTGGTCCCGGTCCTGGTCCTGGTCCTGGTCCTGGTCCTCCCGGTCCCGGTCTCGTCGTTGTAGCTGTAGCTGTAGCTGTAGCTGTGGCTGGGGGTGAATAATAGAGAGAACGAGAAGGAGGAGAAGAAGCAGAAGCAGCAGCAGGAGAACCTGGCGTCTGTGCTTGTGCTGATGCTGATGCCGATGCTGCTGGTGCTGTTGCGAATCCGTGGTGGTCTTGTCCCGAACTCTCGTCCTGAGGGCGTCGATCCTCTGTGCGCTGCAGCACCGTCGCGTGGAAATTGTTGGCCGCCATCTTTTTTAGAGTTGGTTTGTACTGTACTGTGCTGTGCTGTGCCTACCTACCGCGCATCGCCATCCTCCCCCTGCGCTGCGCTGACAAGACAAGACAAGACAAGACAAGACGGCGTTAACAGCTCCAGAAATCCGACACTCCCGGACCAGGCGATCGCAGCAGTCACCAGCCGAGTCGCGTCAGTACTGGAGGCCGTGAATGTCTCTGCGTCTTGTACCGCCGAGATCAGCAGTCGCGGGCTAGAGGGCCGAATGACGTCTCGCGCAGACGGACTCGACGCCGACAGGTATCTATCCTTCCTGGTGTCAAGTCACCCCGACGGCAGCGTGTGCGCGGGCGCGGAATCGACGTCTAGACGGAATCGCAACGCAAGGAAAAGATGCCCCCGAGCTCCCAGGTCCAGGTCTATATCGCGATGGCTGGGGCCCGTCGGGAGGCACGGTCTAGTCTAATTTATGGTTGACGATACATGCGCGAACCACGCTGGGGTGGGCGTGCGATCTAATAAACTTGGATACGCCGACACACACTCAACGAGAGAGATGGGGAAATGGGAAGGGCGATGGTGGGCGGTGGATGGGGATGGGGATGGGGATGAGACGGAGGGAAACAAAACACGCAGGCCGGCATGAGGTGTGGGCGAGAGATCTCTTGTTGTCTGCTTTGAAGGCTTCCCATTCTTGCGACTTGTTAGCCACTTTTCCTCCCATCCCCATCCTGTCCTGCACCCGCTCGCCAGACAGCTGGCCCTTCGCCGTCGGTCCCTTGGATGCAGCGCATCTCTCGCCAACCTAACGCTCGCCGAAAGAGGGTCGAGCCTTGGATGGAGATCGATCAATCCAGACGCCAGCCAGACAATCTGAGCTCCCCACATCCCTGGCCCCCGGTCCCGCCTGGCCAATGGCAGCCCGCCCTGCGCTACCAGCCGACTGCCGCGGACCAGGACCGCCGCCGCCTCAGCCCCAGAAAAACCGCACTGATGGAGAAGGTCGCCATGCGGAAAGAGACCCTCGACGCAGAGCTGCTTTCGGCATCCTCATTTCGGGTCATGCACTGAGGCCCTTCTTCACGGGCCAGCTCGCGACCAAGTTGCACCACCGGCCACTACCAAGGGGATCTCTATTCGCCCATGTCTTGTGGTCGTGATCTGTTCCCGGCCAGGCGGGGGCAGAACAAAGAGTCGGCGTTCAGACCAGATCAACCAGAAGACGAACCCCACGCGGCCGCTGTTAGATATGCGCGTTGCCGATTTCTGAACACAATGGGGACCCCTGACGCAACCCGCCGCCGTGGCTGCTAAATGGCCGTGCGCCGGCAGGGGTGGGGCAGCCAGGGCAGCCGCTTTTAGAAACAACCACCTCACAGCCGTGGTTCTTGCGCACGTCACGACGGCTTCAGATTCACGGCCAACATAATCCGTAGATGCTCCATTCATGTGACCAACACGCGCAAAACAAACCACAGTAGCTATGATGCCGCAATTCTTCCACGAGAAATGTGTGGAAACCTACGCTCCAGAAAACTGCATATTCCACAGCTATTTCACTATGTACCAAGGTAAGCAGCCAAAAGCGTCGCTATCCAAGCTTCATTCTCCTGCTGGACTCCTGCTGGTCTCCTGCTGGAAACCGAGTCACATCCTCGGATAATCCCACCGCTTAAAAAATCAACGTTTCCCATGTAAAGCATCATTTGCATTACCTTCTCCAGAGGATTTAACAGAAATTTCCACTTGCCCCTTCAGATTTGATCCTGCCTCACCACCTTACCCCGCAAACATTTTCTGTGTCAATCTGCGAAACCAACCTTGCGCCCAAACGCTTTCCCCAGGTCCGCGACAGCTCCATCATCAATGCGCTGGCGGATGGCTTTCATCATTTGCCAGTACAGCCTCAGCTCTGGCAATCTCCTCGATTCCGGTTCAAACTTCATATCCTCCAGATGAAGCTTCTTGACTTCTTCATCTACACAGTTGGTCAATCAACTCAACAGACTAGAAGTAGCATCAAAGCAGAGGCGCATCACTTACCATCAAACATAGAGCAGAAGCCATCCACAATAGCCTCGTCGGCATACTTGCGACTGCGCAATGCTAACAGCATGGCAGCCAAGGGGAGCGCCCAGTCGGCCCCAAAACATGTTTGCGACATCGTAATCGCCGTGCGGACGTCTTTTTTGGTCGTAACTGGATTTGCCGTATCTATGACTATGAGCTGTCTAATCCAGAGAACCGGTTTCACCCAGTATTGCCAGTGGGACCGGTCCCCAAGAGTAGGACATAACTCAAAGAGCCCCAGGTCGATGAGCCTTTGGACCGACGTCTGGCAGCAGTGACCCTTGACGGTAAGTTGCCCTTGGGAAAGATATTCCCCAAAATAGTACTTCGACAGCCTCATCTCCATAAGTCTTTTAAGACCCACTGAGTGATTTTCAAACTCGTTTAACACTTCGAGGTCTTTAACAAATGTGTCCCGCGGGAAGCTGCGGGTGTCAAGCACCAGTATTTGCAAATCTTCAAGACTCGCATGACTAGAATTCATTCTTTCCGGGTCCGTGTGCCGGTAAAATGCGTATTGAAGCACAAAGAGAAGAGAGCTCGACCAAGACATGAAATCGCAATCCTCTTCGTGGTTTGGCCGCCACCGGAGATGTTCGTCAAGTTGATCTGCGATCTGGCGCGGTTGCTGTGTTAACAAATCTTGCTTGGCGTGCTTACCCAATGTCCACGCGGGTGAACAGACTTCGATAGTTGTCGTCGTTCCTGCTGAGCAGGGTGCGTGCAAACGAAAGAGGTACGTTGGGATCTCATGACAGGAAATCGAGATAGAGGGCTGTGCAGGGCAAGGCACGTTGGGTGTCCCATCAGGAGAAGCACGAGCGGATGTAGAGGCCGCTATACGTCTCCTCGTAACCGCTGTCTTGCTTTCCGCTATAACGGAGCTCATCGTGACAATTCTGGAAACATGTTTCCGTTTTCCTGTTCTTCTCGTGGAAGCACTGGTCCCATTTTATGGCACAGATCTCGGCGGATGACGTACCTCCCAAGATACAGCTTCACAGCTCACGAATGCTACTGAGTAAGCACACAACGAACCCTATGCAGCATTGCTAGGACCACCCGGTCACTCATTGCCGAATTTTAATCGCTTTTAAGCTACGGTATGTCCTTGGCAGGCAACTGTTCAGCTCAGCCCCCAAAAGCCAATGCACGACACTCGGGATATCATATGATCAAGTGAGGCTTGGGCCTTTTATGTATTCAGGCTTTGCATAAGTTTCCTAAAACCTGACACTTTCGTTTTAAAGAGGTACACATCGTGAGATTAATGCACATTTAATGGCCCAAATAATCTTATTTCATGCCGGGAAGAAACGTAAATTTCTATAGCCTTATAAAATACGCTCTCCAGGACTATGAAAAATGTAGGGGATAGCGAAGAGAATGAATTCAGTTGGTCGCCTATCCAGAAATAATAACAAAAAATAATGTTCACAACAAATGAGAAACTCTATCTCCACATCTACAACGCCCTGTCAGCCTGGCTGACGGCCTCCTATTTCTCGCTGACCCAGTTGACGGTCAAGATGCCATCGGCGTTGGGATCGTTGTTGGGCCCGATGGGCACGCTGCCGCACTTGCCGCACCCGTGGTTGACGAGGTCTTGCAGCAGGTCGCCGGCGCGCGCCGCCGAGATCTGGCCGTCGTGGAAGTCGCCCTGGACGAAGGCGCAGAGGCCCGACGCCAGCGCCTTGTCGCCGCAGCACGCGATGTGCTGGCCCGGGTTGTACAGGTTGCCCTGGGGCAGCGCCCGCACCTGAGACAGGATGTCGGTCAGCTTGCACAGCGTGCCGCCGCAGTTGCTGTTGCCGCGGCAGTTGATGCCCAGGCCGAAGGCGCTGGTGGCCAGGCTGAGGGTGGTCAGGAGAAGAGTGGTGGGCTGCATCTTGATGGAATGGCTCGCGTGCTGCAAGGCGTCGTAGACAGATGTGGCGATCTGCAAGCAAAGAGTCAGTAACTTGTCGGGAGAGAGACCTCGTGAAGCGTTCTCTTGCCTTTGATCTCAGAGGGAAGGGCTTGGGAGTGTGAATGTCTTGTGTCTGGGCAGTTGATGTCTTCTACTCGAGAGGTCTTGGCTTGCCCTTTTATAGTCACCATTGGCGTCCTAAGCCAACAACTCATCTCTATCTTTGTCCGTACCTCGGTATATACCGCCCTGTCTCTTTCACAGTCTGCTCATCAGCCCCTTCCCTTTCTCGGCCGATTTGATTCCTCATGTCTCAGAGTGGTGGTGATCATCCGGTACTTCGTGCACCTGGTTCCGTGGGCTTGAAGACAATGCCATCAATATAGAGCAGACTACTGGCCTAGAGCTTTTTCAGAACTAGCGCATGGTTCATATGCTTATTACGGAACAGAGATCAGCGGTAGCCCGGCAGGATTCACAGCCGTGACAGCCGGAACTGAAGCTCACAGTACCAGACATTGCACCTACATGTTCCTGATCAACAATACACAACAGCGGCAGCCAGTGGTTGGTGCTTGATTTGATAGTGCTTACTCAGCTGTCCTAGATGAGTATGCAGTTCTGTACAGTTTGCATATATGGATAAACGGGCAATGAATTCATGTTGGGATTGACAGTCAAAGTAGATGACGCCAGCAGCCAGCGGATTCCATCCTCCATAGGTTCGGGATCGGTCTCGAGGTGGCACTCCCCCTTTTCCAAAGAGTGACTATCATCTAAACTGTAAGCTTGCAGGATTTTTTCGTGGGATACCACTATACAACATTAAAGGCTGGTTGGCTAGCGTTACGGTACCCCAATACCTCGGGGCGAGACTTTGGGGGCACAACTGGGAAGTGGATACATGCCCAAATGATTTGAAGCATTCCGAGTTCAGCCTCCTGCGACAAGCTATACGATATCATTACGTATTTGTTGTATTTGATTTGGCTGAATTAGATTTAGTATGTTCTGCCTGGACCTAGCTCTTAATCGCATGCCTGTGCTCTGTCGATCATGTATGATGTAGGTCGGTACTGTTCCGGGAGCAACGCTACTAAACCACGTATTGAACTAAGGCTTGCTGGCTGTACCTGCAATCACTCCCACGTAGTCGCTCATCGACTCATAAATGAACATCACGCAGGCGTATTGGAATACCGGACACAGCGAGATCGACTAGCGGCCACACCCCACACTGCAATCTACATTTCGCAGTGTCCGGTTTTCTGATACGTCTGCGTGACATCTAACCTTTGCGCAGAGCAAGGGCTAAGGCGAATGCCAAGACAAAAATAGTAATTGGAACAGACACAGATCAGCGTCGTAGCTCAGCCGCGCCAAGCCACTCAGACTTGATTAGTCACTGCGTGCGTCTTGAACCGGGGCGGTCAGCATACCTGCATCTAGGCAGATTCCGACGTTAGGCTGCCATTGGATGCGTTTACGTGAGAATATTCTCCAGCTTTCAATTTTCATGCACTGAATTCTATCCTGTGATTCGTTGTTAGTACAAACAGGGGCCAAGGTCGTACCTCGGCCTGACTGTTACGAGCGTACCAGAATGGTTTTGTGGCCTGCCGCTAGCTTCGAATCCGGGGATAAGTCGCTAGTCCTCCCACAGGAGCCATAAGGTTCACACAGCTGTACTGAAACCGCACATAGCTGGACTTATGCGCTCTTCAGTGTTCCAAATATATCAATACTGGCTCACCCCTATCACATCACAGAAGCATCTCAAATACCTACAATAAACGTTGGGCGTAATTTGATTCTATCCCTGGTTTCATCTATAAAGCGGCACGCTCGATAGGCGAACGAAGGCCCGCATGTTCTCTAGAGGTTACTCAGCTCCTACGTAGAGCGCATCTTTACAGGTCTCGTTTCTCCAAAATTTCCCAATTCCAAAAGCAGACCCTCGTCGTACTTGATACATTCCATAGCCAATTGTCCGTGTCGGGGAATATTGCCGCCCCTTCCGCGCATTGTGCATCGTGGAGCCCAGCAGTTGATAGTTGTGTTAGGCACAAATAGTTCACGTACTTGGCTATTAGTTTTAGTCCATCGAATGAATAAGAGCGCTGAACATGCAAGGCTCAGTATTGTTGTTACGATGAATTCGTTGATAGAAGGCTGTTTCAAGGGATGCCGGTCACGCGAAGCCACTGATTGGGGTGATAACCGGAACACTTCTTCCATACATCGATCTTACGACTCATGATTTCCAGGAATTTTGATTTATCTTGGATTTGACCTCCGCCATTGTTTCCCTAAATGCCCACTGCCGGCAGAATAATCGGCACGCTTCTAGGTTTGGGAAGTCGGTACTTGAAGCGAACCAACTGTACCTTGACTGTGACCCGCCAAGACTAAGGTCGCTTCTCCAAGGCTGATAGCTGCTACGCAGGCAGGAAATGGTCGGCGAACCAGCCTCATGAATGCATGCATGTAGAAACAAGGACATGGATTGTTGCCGACCGGTTATTGTTGTTCTGCAAACACTCGACGCAGTGATTAGAAGCATTGGGAAACATTGCTACCACATAAGACATGGTTCAGAGTAATGCAACGCTATAAATAGACCTCACATTTCCTGAAATCCATCGTCAAGCCTGCTAAGATTTGGGATCGCCAAAGCTGAATTGACGGCGTAATTTTTATAGAGCCTTAGGGTGAAAGGAAAGTGTAAGAACTGAGGTATCTTATTGCTACCGTGCTTAGAGGAAGTGATATCTATACAAAGGCACACAGACACAGGTACACGAGTCACTTTCATACTTCTTGCAGTCCCCATCTACATGCCTGCAGGCTAGTTTTGCACGAGACCTCCTGCCAATGGACAATGTAGTAGTAATAGTATCATTACATGCAAGGGCCAGAGTTTCATCCAAGTCTAAAACAAATCATGCTTATTCACTTGCGAACTTATTGCTAGACAATCATGTCAGTCTCCCCTAACATCCTCCTCCGCCGCCGCCACCACCATCTCCTCCTCCTCCTCCTCCTCCTCCACCGCCGCCACCACCATCTCCGCCGCCGCCGCCGCCGCCGCCGCCTCCATCTCCCAAGGTGGCACCCCCGTCAAACCCAACAAAACCACCAGAGGCGTGGTTATGGCGACGGGCCTTTCTCCTTGTCTTCTCGGCTTTCGCGCCGTAAGGGCGGGGCTGTTCATAGGTGCCCGAATCTCTACTCTGCACAATATCAATTTTTAGTGACACGTAGACGCTGACTCAATGATAGAAGAAGTGACGCACGCCAAAACACATTTCGATGGCCTGATATATCTAGTGCCTATTGTAGATGTAACGACTAGAGCCCGACCGATGTGATTCGATGAATAAGCATAAAACTCAGTTCGGCAGCATAAACAGCAACTCGATAATGTTGAGGTCACTGCCTTGGTGGGATCTAAGAGATAAGTTCAGGAAGTCAATTGATACAATACGCTCATATAAATCTGCTGCCAATATTTCTGCTCATGGCTAGGCTGAGGAAAGCCACATACGTAACGCTTCTGATAGTTGTTCAATGCCATGCTTGGCATTGGCTTATATTTGCTGTGCCACTTCCAGTGACGTAATAATTACATTGTGTGCGGCCGCACAGCCGTCGTCTGGTAGAACTCATGCTTCACATTACACAGCCTGATATAAAATAAAGAAAGATTCATCAAAATATATTTCTAAAGGGATCTTGTTACTTTTTTTTCCCTAGCTTTTTTGCTCCTCTGTGTAGCCTAAATCGTTTTGATCGACGCGCCGGAGATATTCTAACAGTTATCTTAACGCTGTTTTACGATGAAAAGAAACACTTAGACTTGTAATGAATAGCTTTATTCAGCTAAGCCCCCTCTTTCGCCCATTCTGCATTGATTATGTCTAGAGTCTCGGGTGACAGGTGGAGCGTACTCCAAGTTCGAAAGCTGCTTCTGGGTTACCAGCGACAACACAACGGAATTGGGTAAATAGAAACAGCGAAGTTTCGTAAAATTAATCTCCTAACGGTCTAGTGATTGTTTTTTAGTACCTTCGAGTCATACATAACATGAATGTCGTATGTACAAAGCATCTTATAATACTCTAAGCCTTATATGTTAATCTTTAAGCAAAACCTGGACTGAAAATCGAGGAGGATTTGTGATTTACTGGAAATGAATATCAATATGGCAATGCAATGTTTATTTTAAGTCCGCAGGCACGTAGTCATCGAATTGACTTAACTTGCGATAACTTTAGCGAGAGAATGTGCTTGCGTACACAGCAGCCAGGTCTGCTTCCCTGGACTGCGTGATCTACAATGCATATCTGGCGTTGTAATATACTTATGACCGTGGTTATTTCCTCGCCAAAGGGCACTGTAATTGCGGGAATGCATTTTTCGTATAGTTCGTCCTGCACAATCGGAAATCCGGCACGGGTTTTCCAGGGCGTTCGAAATATCCAGTTTGTTCGATTGAAGTCTATGGTACAACCACTGTCTCACAAATGGCAACGTAGCCAGGTAAACTGGGTTTTCCATTAAATAGTCAATGCCCGAGGGCTGTAGCATAATAACAAACATAGCTGTGTATGAACATGGACTCTCCTTCAATGGTCATGTGTAGGAAGAAATTTGATGGAGACAAACGCATAATGCCAAGGCAGCCAGTCTCGTAAGACTATCCTGATCTTTTGCTCCGTGCTTGAATCTACTCCCAAGTCCAATGATTTCATCCATTTTGTAGTTAGTACCTTGGCCAAACATGGTTCAAACGAGCTTCTGCAGCCATCGTAAGACAGCACTTAGCCTTAGCCAATAGGAACTATTGCTGCTACACATCTCACGAAAGAAAACCACATTACAGAATCGCCAATGCTACCTCCAACCGTTTAACAGGTATGTGTTAGGTAAGAGGTGCACCTGCTGCCACAAATGGTCCAGCCAGGGAGCGAGAGTCCTCTATTCGGAAAACAGGAATCGGACAAGCTGAGAGACTGATCACGATGCCAAGGATATAGATATGAAGAGATCGACGATCAATAAAGCCCATCAAAACGGATAGGGAGAGGTTCTATAAAGGGCTTGCCAGCTCCGCTCGAGTGATAGACATCTCCAGTCAATCAGGTTATACACCATTCTCTTAGTTCAGCAAGTATTCCTCAGAACATCTCGTATCAATCAACCACCGCCTCCAAAATGAAATTCACTACTATCATCTTTCTCCTCGCTGGCACTGCTGTAGGCATGCCTAACAACATCCTCTCCCATGGTATGTCCCTCACATCTCTGTTCCTAACATCCTGTCCATTTTATATTCTGGACCCAACCAGATAAGAGTGAGCGCTAACTAGAACTTCGCTGGTGTGAAGGCCGCACCAAGATTTCCAAGCGGCAGGACACAGTCTGCCCCGATCCTTTCGATGTGTGCCAGTACGCCGAGAGCGACGGCACCTGCACTATCGGCTACGAAGGATGCATCAAGAAGACCTGCAGTGTCTGCGACCCTTTGGATCTCGGTTGTGCTGGCTGCGCTGCGGGCAAGTCTTCTATCTTCAAGTGGCACGCTTGATGGCCTACAACTCTAGAGTCTGTTCACTAACACTTGCGACTTGCCCAGGTTGCACCATCTGCCAGTAATGCCGCCGAGTTATCCACAGACAGGAGCTGCACCCTCTCTATCTGCAATAGATTGGCTGAAAGCTGTTCCTTGGGCTTTAGACAATGATTAGGATGGAGAAAAATAGTGCGGCTGACTGGACACGCGAAATTCCATACACTGGTCGTATTCTTTGGTAGGGTGATATTTCTACCTTTCCTAGAGAGTACGTTCTCATACTCTCCTTCATTTCTTCGACGGACCGTGCAGATAGTCGTTCTTCATTAGCCTCATAACAACAAGAAAGAAAAATTTAGGATTTGCCCATAAATAATTGAACCCCAACATGTACGCTGGAAAGCGACTCAAAATGGAATAGACTGGCCTTTATGACTATCAGTTGGGTGTGGTTACGGCTTCGGGTAGCTAAAGTTGCGCACATGTGGATACTCAGTGGAATCACTCTACGTATTCCACAACATGATGGATCGAAGGTTCTGACACTTTAACACTGTTTAAGTATCAGTCCTTTCAATCCATGAGTAAGAATGAATCTTGGCACAGCTTTGGCACGCCATAACACCTGGGAAGATCAGTGCACAGTATCGTGTGGTCGAGGTTTATGGACAGGAGCATAGGAAGGGACCAGCTCTGTTCTGATTGTCGACGAGAATCAGGATCAAGATCGTATAGTACGTTGGTTTCACTATCCACGTACTAGCCCTAGATCGAAAATTGAAGTCAATCACCATTGTTGCTGGCTCAACACGTAGAGTCCTCGTAGTTGGAATATATCAGTATGAGAAATGTTAATGTAATGACCATGGCTGTTTCAAGCTGGATTCAAATGTCAGTTGCAACGCGTTCACAAGATCCTTGACTGTCGACAGGGTCTTTATTCGGATTTTATCACGACGCAATGAGCCGTGAGGCGAGCTTTTGCAGGGTCTGTATGTTTAACTTGCTTGTATTTTTACCAGCAGCGATAATTGCTATGAGAACCTGGAGAGGTTATCCTATCTAATAGTCCATGGACTCATGGCGAGACTGCGAGTTGCTGTGTGAATGTTAGTACAAGATACTCAGAAGTGAACAGAGGAATCCTACGGGTCGTATTGGTCATATTGACCGTACTGCTGCTCGTAGAGGTGCTCGGCCTGCTTCTTGGCCTCGTGCTTTGCCCGTTCTCGGTCCAAGGTGTCAAGACCCTTGGTCTCGAACAGCTTGTCGACCTCGGCACCAGCAATGCCAGCCAACATCTCCTTGGCGAATTGGTGCTTTACGGGTTCGCCTATCATAAGAAGTTAGGGCCAAGCAAAGAAAGAGTGAGCAATGAGGATCAAGTCTCGAACGCGTACCGTTGTTGCGTTGGCGATCTTCAAAAAGCTTCATGGCCTCGAATGCGGCACCCCCGGCAACGAGCTCGTGGCTGAGGTGTGATTCGTGGGGTTGACCATCGTAGATCTGGTCACGGCTCTCCTTGGCCTCACCTGATCACTATCAGCATCATAAGCTTCCGGTAAGGCAGACGAACCCACCGAATCCGAACATTTTGCAGATACGGGTAATGGAGCAAAAACAAAGTAGGTGATAGTGATAGTGTTTAGAGTCTTAAGGTTGAAGAATGAAGAAATTGGTACTGACGTCTTGAGGGGAAACTCTCCTTAAGTATTCTCTCCATGTCTATGATACCCCGCTTGTTACAGCGAACCATGGCCGATGAGGGACCTGCGTGCTATGAAATCATCGGGCTACACGTTTACGCAGCTCATTGAGCAATTGGCAACGATCTGGAGCCATGTGGGCTACTCACCTCAGGACGTGCGGTTAAGGGCAAGCATCGGCCGAATCCTAGCGGCCACCATTGGTGCAGAGGACCCGGTTGGATCCCTCTTACATTTGCCCTCTGCGAATCATGACGCCTCCGGGCTCCCTCAGCCCCAGAACTTGAGATACCGAGCGGTAACAAGCTTTCCAAGTTATGGATGTCGGCTACGCGGCAAGCTAGGCTAGGCGGCTAGTGCGAAAGGTCCTGAAAGCTTGTTTTGCTCCGCCGCGTTTACCCCTGAGCCACGATCGCGGCCATCATGAGCATAACATCTGGGATCAGGACTCTACCGAAGCATTGATCAGGGCAGGCTGTCAAACCATCAGCATAAAAGCGGTGCCAAGAATAGGAAATGTGACGGCGTTTCCGAGCTGGCATCACCTAAGATAAGGAGGTGGCCATCCCAACCCAACCCCAAAACATATAAGCGTGGAGTAACTCGACAAGACTACCCCACCCGGCCTGGCTGTTCGGCATCTTGGATGGGCCCCTGCTGAGCTGGACAAGCTCAGTCTCCCACACAAGTTGGACCCTGATTTTGTTGAAACAGCATGACAGATATGACAGGGTGTCCAAGAGCCACCAGTCAATTGAGAGTAGCACCTCAAGTTTCTGTCCAGGAGTGATTGGTAGCTGTTCGGTCTCCCTACTTCATCAGGTAACGCGTGGCCATCATGCGATCAGGGTTGACATCTTCACGCTGGCTGTGCATGAAAGAAGGACTAGCCAGGGTTAGTTTCCATCAAACATCATTCCGTCCTGTATTGATTCATGCGGGGCAGTGCGCCACTAGATCTAGACCGCTTCCGACCAGCTCTGAAACAGATGGGCGGCCTCAAGACTGCGCGATGAGAGTCCTGGGATAGCATTGCGTTGGACCTAGGAGAGCGAAGCACGATACAGGTAGGCAGAAAGCAACGCGGAGCGACAGAGGGTGATGCATCATGGCCTCTTGTGGGAGGTTCATGGCCGCTGTGTGGTATATGCTGCTGTTCAGGGGAATACTGTGACTCTCGATGCACGCTTGTGCCAAGCAGCAAGGGATATGAGATATAGAGAAGGCTGCATCACATTTGAGATCCGATGTCAATCGCAAATCTTCAGACGTCCCAGATGCGGATGCCAAGAGGCGAACCCGCGTCTTGGCAATGCTTGTTTCCATGTGCCCCCCTCTGACGGCTCCTTGGCGTGGGGATCATGGCGATCGCCCCTCTGGTGGGGGCCACGGTCTTTGCACCGTCAACATTACCATGTACTCAGTTTATTGATTGGCTTCAACATCCATCAGTCGGACTCCTCAGACTTCCATGATTTCGTTTGTCAAAAAGTGTCGGTGAGGGAAAGAAACCGCCGCTGGACTGCTGGTCGACGCCTTAGCCCAAGCCCGGCAACTTCCATGGTAATTTGTGGATCAGGGCGGATGGCACTAAGCGATGAGCGTGAACGAGGTCGGGCGAAGCTGTCAGCTAGCAGTGCCTTCTGTACATCAATGGCATAATTGAATGTTAAGCAGGGAAGTGCATAATTCATTCACAAACTCCACAAGACTTGGTAGCACAGGCTTCTTGTATCGCTGGTGCGTTCTTCTATCTAGCACTTAATGTAAACCCTGCATTGCACGAAGTCGCTGGAGGTTTGATAAAGCCCCGAGAGCGCATTGGTAACTATCAATTAAGCACCGTTCCTTCATAGTTCACTCCCCGCTTGTACCAACCTCGACCAGTGTTGAACAGATAGTCGTTGGAACGAAACCCGAACCGCAACGCATTCGGCTGATTAATCGTGTATCGTCTTTGTAGAGTTTATTTGTCCTGGAGCCTTCGACTCTTTGACAGCAGGAAACCAGGTTCGAAAGACTTCTGATAATTGAATTCCTCCTAAGACTGCCTAGCAGAGTGCCGAAGCTTCCTATGTCAAGATACGAGACCTAAGCAAGTCTAACCAGAACCCCTAACAGCGTGAGAGAGCCTGCTAAAGACGGCATTGCGCATGTCGAGCTTTCAGCAGCCATGGGAGCCCAAAGACTTCAAGTCGAAGAGTATTCGGTGCTAGATTATCACATGTATCTCTGAAAATTATTCACGGACCATTGAATTACTGCTCCAGCCCCCCCTGGTATTCCATCTCAACAGAGGACTTCCTTGAGATCCTGTATCCCTGATCGGCTCCCACAAGTGGCAGAATTACTAGAACACATTGCGATTATTAACCTTACAGATCAAGGCAATGTTCCCATATCCACCTGTCCTGGTCTTGGTCTCATACACCTGCGAGTCTACCACACTCAGCTATAAGATTTAATATTTTCGTACGTAGCATGTATAGAGTCAAACCGCGGCTTCTGTATGTTGTTGCTCAGCAAACCCATCACATCACATAGATGGCAAAGCACTATGTTCGAAACAACTTGGGCCTTCCGGGGATCGCAACCTCGTATACTGATACGAAAATGCTGGAAAGATGACAGTTTGACATTCATGACCATCATTTTCCGTTTATCCTTCTCCAGATGTTCCAGAAGTGCGTCCTGAGATGCGGTGGCTGTATTGTCAAGTGCTGTCTGAGTTGGTAATATTGAATCCGAGTATTGCACTAGCATAGAACCTGGACGGAAAATTCATAGCCATTCTAGCCGTATATTTCAAATTGTGTTCGAAAGATACATGACTACCATTCTAGCTCGACTCTCATACAAGCAATTTACGAATTCGATTACTGTTCTCACCCCACACGCGTATTGCTGATCTACTCTTTATGTGTGTGTGTGTGTGTGCGTGTCGGAATCACAACTACACGTTGACGGCACACGCTCATATCACATGTGTGTGGCTTTGGACCGCTGCGCCCTGGAGACAGAGGATGTGGGGCTTACGTTTCGTAAGTACCTATAAGCGAATAAGTTCTTACAAGTCGGGACTGGATGTGGGAGTAATCGCCGCCTTGGCGCTTCGTATTCAATGCAACGCCGAAATGCTGCGCCTCAGCCATTAACCATGCATGTATTGACCCAAATCTTTTATCACGCCCATTTGTAGCGCGCTGTGGTGTAATAGCTTTTGCTGTCTTACTGCTACAAATACACGGAAATCGCTGCTTTCAAACTGTAACATCTAAACAGGCGACTCTAGAATGGCTGACACAGGGAGTTCAAGAGTCGAACTTGAGCCTCCAGATTACGATTCTCTGTCCATCGCTCCTCCTTACGTCGATGTCGATACCTCTTCTCAGCAGCCCGGCGAGTCGAGCAGACACGCACCACTACCTGAAACGCGCAAGAAGTCATGGATGGAGAAATTGAAAGAGATGAGAATCGAAGACGAGAAGCGAAAGAAAGAGCGCATCCAATACGTTACACCACAAGAGGCTGATCGAATTACCGGTCTGCAGAGACGTAGAGAGGAAGAGAAGTACCAGCGGGGCAACCCAACCCTTGTAGCTTGGTTACTTTCTTGATCACGGAGGTTGGGCGCGGAGGAAGGCTTAATGATAGAGATAAGAACATGGCTTCTTTTGAAGGTGAATAATATGCAAAGAATTCAGGACAACCATGTTAAGTCTACCCAGGTACAGATTTCGCCATATTTCCCATAGTAATACAAATGTGTACCTCAACCAGCCCATAACCAACCATATTCTATGTCAAGACTTCTATACATACTTCTTGGGTATCGGATAGCTCAATTAAGCCCACAGTAACTTATTTCTTTGCGTATCCACAGCGTTGATCAATGTGTACTGCAAGAAAATCTGTCAGCATTCCTTTTGCGCCACTTGCGAAGTTCACATCGACTTACTTCCATGAACCAAGGCTTCCCCTGGCCAATATCGCCGATCCAGTTATCTTCATTGTTAACGGGCCTTAAACCGAGCTCCTCAAGCTCGGTCCACCATTGAATCCATTCGTGGATGTCCTTCGGAACGTGAAAATTTGTAGCACCAGGAAAGAGATGGATTTCAACCAAAAGCTGTCCGAATGGGATCGTGGAGGTGGTATTGTCATTATCGCCTGTCGTGCTCCTCAGAAATGCCGTGAGGGAGCTCAGAACGTCGAACTCAAACCCTTCAATATCCATCTTGACAATGTCCACGTAGTTGTGCCCATTGGCATGCATGAGATCCTGAACAGTGTAGAACGGCGGGTTGGATTTCTCGTCCGTTTTCTTGCCGAGTCCAGCCTTCTTAAAATGCGCCCTTGAGAGCTGAGAGCGGCGGATATCCTTAGCCCATGCGTCAACAGAATAGTCGTAGCCCCAGATCTCAGCGTTGGTTCTTTCCAGCAGACGAGCCTCGAAGCTGGAGTCGTCGTTTACGCCAAATGAGTAAACAATCAGAGGCGGTGCGATATTTTGCTCCGAGGATGGACCAGGAGACGTCTTCTCATAACGTGACATCCCGCAGACAACTTTGCCACCATCGCCCAAGGTGCCTACGCGTTCCATATCATGCGGACAGAAGAAACTGGGCCTTGCAAAGTCCCAGACATTGTATGGATAGATATATCCATCTGGAAATGTCCTGCCGCTACCTGATTCATCCAGCATTTGCTTGCGGTTCTCGATGGTCTGCTTCCAAAGTCTCTCGGCTAAGGCCAGCTTCTCATATAATACTGCACTGGAGCTGTATGACTCTTGCCACTGCTTGATCTCCCAGGCTGGAAGCATCCAAGTCGAATCTTTTCGCAATGCCCTGCTAGTAATAGATATAAAGAAAAGAATGACAGTGAACATAATTGTCGAAAGAACTAGACGACCCATGATGATAGACATTTTGACGTATATGGATTGAGAAGCGCGTTCCCAGTCGTGAGTGTACGGTAGATGCCTGCGTGAGAGGAAAAGGCTAAGTTCGAAATGAAGCGTGACGGTTTATATATGCTTTTGAGGTGACTGTGGTAGCCCAGCTTTCTTGAAAGAGGGAAAGGAGACAGACACCTGAAGTTGACAACATTTTGCCAAGTAGGGCCAAGGAGTTAATGGTGGAAACAACAGGAGTTCGAAAATTGGAGCAGAAAGCCAAGCCACCTGGGTTTCAACCCGTCAGTGCCACGAACAAGATACGAGACCAATAGCCCCATACCCGTCAACCCTCCGTCCTTGGCATCCGGGTCAGCCGGATTATTGAAACGCTACAGGCTTGGAGCTCAAAGATCGACAACAAGGTGCCTGAACAGTATACTGCACTGTCCTAGAACGTCACTATTTATTTGAATGGGCACATCCACGCTGCAGTGCAAACGAGCAAAAAACCAACTCGTTCAGACGCCTGGGTTCAAGATGAGCTTCTATCTGTTCAACCTCACGATGCTGATTGTGGTATTAGCCGTCGCAAGTTCCTGGCAATTTCTAGTCAATTCTAACAAACGCCGGCCATCTGGGCCACCTCTTCATCTCTTATCTGATCTGTCCTATCTTGAAGAGAAGGGCAGTCGATCTAAATTTTCTATATTCCGAAACCAGTACCTTCTGATATATGCATTGGCAAACCTCGCAGACTGGCTTCAGGTAAATGGGACCCGAGCAGCCTTTCGTGGCAGCCAGCTAAATTATACTTAGGGATCTCACACATATAGCCTTTACAAAAACACCCATGGGCTTTCCGAACCAACAGTAGCAGCTTTGTTTGCAACCGGCTTCTTGTTTGGTGGTATCAGTGGAACTTTCACCGGTATCCTAGCTGACAGGTTCGGGAGGAAACTCGCCTGCATATCATACTGTATCTTGTATTCCATATCATGCTTGACGACATTGTCCAGCAAGCCGGTGCTCCTATTCTTCGGTCGTGCTCTGGGAGGTGTTAGTACGACGCTACTTTTCAGCGTTTTCGAGACCTGGATGATCTCTCAGTATCGAGCAAGCGCCTTCCGGGAAGCCGAGAATCCGCTGGCCGACGTCTTTAGCGCAATGTCCATCGTGAATGGCATGGTTGCCATAGCGTCAGGCGTGACAGCCGAGATTCTTGTGAGTGTCACGGAGACTCAAACGGCACCTTTTCTGGCAAGTGTATGCTGTTTATCTCTTGCAGGTGTGATGATCTGGATGCAATGGGTATGCCAATCTCAAGAACTCTTCAATACCTACACAGATACTGACGTCGTTGAAAGGAGGAAAACTATGGCGACTCTTCTGATGGACAGTCATTTCTGACGAATCTGAAAAACGGCTCTCTGGTTCTTCCCGGTAGGGCATCGTTCATTTCTGCTTGAGTCTGGTGGTTTTAGAGGACTGATATATCCCAGATCAACGAGTGCTGTCTATCGCCGCCACGACGTGGGTCTTCGAAGGCTCCATGTACCTCTTGGTCTACTTCTGGTCAAACGCCATCATGTCAGCGCGCGATCTCTTGGGCACCTCTGAAAAGCCCCCGTTTGGTCTTATTTTCGCGTCCTTTATGTGCTCGATGACGCTCGGGTCTATGGCATTCCGCCAGCGCGAACATCTGCGAGTTACAGCAACCATTGATTCTTCGCAGGACTTTCAATTGGTACTTTCAACATCCGCTTGTTGCTTGATGGTCGCTGCCGTCACGCTGCAGGAGTCGATTTTGTTCTGGGCTTTCTGCTTGTTTGAGTTTTGCGTCGGCTTTTACTTTCCGACCATATCGTCTTTGAAGGCATCTTTCATCGTTGATGGGCATAGAGCTGAGACCTACGGTCTTATGAGGCTTCCGCTGAATCTTCTCGTGGTCACCAGTCTTAGTACCGTCCAGGAAGGTAAGAAGATCGCTGCCTTGAGAACCCCCATTTCACGCTCTGTAGACTCACGAAAACAGGAGCCGAGAATCGGAATATTCGCTTCATGGCCTGTAGCATTATGCTGCTACTTTGTGTTCTGCTTGTGCGCAAGCATATACATCGAAGGCCAAACTAGCAGGAATAGACGACGGCAATGCGACAAGGACACTGATACATACGGAATCTCAGACTAGAAACGCGGAGAGTTGGAGGGCCAGCGAGGTGGATGGAATGAGGTTGAATACGGGTCCAAGTGTTTAAACCCACGGTTTCGGAACCATGTACGTGTAGTATGTGGGGCAGGATGTTTGGAAGTCCTTGTCGACAAGGGTTGGGAGATAGTAAAACTGCGATCCAGTCTTTGGTTCCACTAGAAGACTTTCGTAAAGTTTACGGTGTCTCGCTTATCAACCAGTGACAGTAGCCGACAAGTAAATGGTCACTATTCTTAGCTTTTTCACTAGCCCAATTTACTGCAAATCCACCCGTTATCTCAGATCCAGAAGCCTTACAAGATAGGGTACGATCTCGGCATGCTGTGTTGAGACTCACAAGAGAGCTACAAAAGACGTATTGGATTGAATTGATTACACATACCATTCTATTAGTTCTATGAGACCAGAAAGTTGCGGAATTAACGCCAAAGTTCGAAGAGCGATATGTTGTTCTTCTCAACGTATTGATATTGCCTGCTCAATTTGTTTGGTGAAGGACACTAGAGCCGCATCAATGCAACGCCAGAAAAGATCGGCAACCACAATTGACCACCCAAGCATGAGCATCCATCCCACAAAAAGCCCAAGTATCCATTGAGATGTTGACTCATGGCCAATGCGTTCCCAAATTCGAGGCTGTAAGGCGAATCCGAGGGAATGCAGCAAAGGGCCGTGAACCAGGTACAGTGCGTATGATATTTTACCCAGATACTGAGCAACCTTCGTTTCAAACGGTCTCTTGATGATTTCATCCAGGCCTGAGCACCACAGGAGTATAATGCATGCGATACAATGCCAGAATAGATACTTGTGGCCATAGTTCGATGGTGTCCACGATGCCATTGTCTTATAGCCCGGGGTCACCTCACTAGCTTCGTCGGGAAACGACAACAAGTAAAGCCCTAGAAGCAGCCCCAATCGAGTAACGAGCGTCTTAGGGATTTCTTGATAGCTCTTTCTAGCAACTCCCCTGATTGTCGTGGGAGAGAGTGTAACCACGCCAGCCTGTCTGCTCGACAACGCAATATGCACGTCGGCGACTAGAGAGCCGCCGAGGAAGACCGCAACGTCCCACCGGGCCGAGAACAGACAGTACAGTGCAACCACAAGCGTGAGAGCGAAACCATAGAATACTCGAAGCCTGGTTCGGGAAACTAGCAACGCAAATAGAGCTATAGAGCTGCGAAACTCAAGGGGGATCGTCCATGTGTGAGGATCATAGTGGCTGAAATAAGGATTCCAGGTCCAGGGGTTGCTCCAATCCCACCACATGCGCGCAAAGTCACTGAGCTGTGCCAAAATTGTCGCTTGCTGAACTGGATGTTGCTCTGCTGGCCCGTGTCGCCAATCGCTGTCCTGGAAGCGGCGACCAGGCTCAAATGCTCCAAAGAAAGCCGCCACCATGACAAGAAACATGCTTGTTGTAGGTGGAACGTATAGTCTCACGAATCGTCGTAAAGTGAGCGAAGCAATCGACTTCTGTGACCCTTCCCAGGCATGATGCCGTATCTGTGACAAGTATCTATAGCTGAGGACATACCCGGAGAGGGCAAAGAACAGGACCACCATCGCCCGCCCGCGGTAGATCAGACACACGTAAGGGAGCTGGTGGAAGAAGTCATGCTGCCCATCTGGAGTCGGGGCGCCGAAGTTCTGGAAGATTGTGTATGTATGTGGGTAAAGAAAGTGAAAATTGAACACCACGAGGCAGGCGACCCCTCGAATGCCGTCAAGGAAGAGAATGGGCCGATGTCCATCACGAGACACTGAGCCTGCCGTTCCAGTGGTTGAAGGTCGTTGCATCCATAGGTGATGTGTGAAGCTAGGTGAAAGCGCTTTCAGCAAACAAAAGCCCCAGTGACCGAGGCTCTGCGCAAGCGACATGCATAGAGAGGACACCCGTTTTGATATGGCGGGCTTCCCATATTGTGCGCCGGTGAAGGCGGGCAAGCTTTCTTCGTAGTCGCTAGCCTCGTCGTCCGTCAAGTTGTTAAGAGTCCCTGGCATGCCATTGGATGTAAGCAAAAGGCGAATATCGCCATCACGTGGAGTGACAGTCTTCATTGTGCTGTATATCCTATGTGAAGTTGTCGTTGGCTGCGAAATCTAACAACAGCGACAGTAATAGAAATCTCATTTGTTTTCACCTATGTAGTCAACCCCCTTTCTCAACTGGCTTTACAGTCATCGTGGCAGTGAATTGCAGTTGCTTGGCCCCGAGCCTAGCCAAGGCTTGCCGAGAGATGTGACTTGTAATGAGATCAACATTTTCCATGGTTGGTCGAGGCCAATGGCGGCTCAACTTGTGGTAGTTGTTCGTTGAAAGACGCCGAGATTCTCCAAAGACGATCCTGCCCAGTTTAATCTTTGATACTGACAGTTCGCCTTCAAATCATCTATGCCTTACCGTCATTCGTTGGGTAAATTGAGCAGGTAAGAACAAGATGAAATCACCGTGATGCTTCATGTTGATGTTTTTTCATCCGCATGTGTGCTGTCAGCCTGTACAAGGTCTTAGCTCGGACTAATAAAGACCACAGCCAGTGAATACCGGACCTTGCAATTGCTCATACAAAGTTTCCGAGTGCCGAGTCATCAACACAATGACGCCGGCGCTTCAGCACTTGGCATTAACTGAAAAACGTCGCCGCCAAGCGATCCACTCTGCCCGGGCAGACTTCGTCTCAGCTCTCTCACGTTCATCTTGACAATCCAGGTACACACACGCCTTTTAGCCTTGCTTGTGTACACAGTATGAGATAAATAGGCAGGATGTATTGATCCGAGTCGATCGTTATGGCGCCCAGCTACAGCTCGCGCACTGCCCAACTGGAGCGGCAGCCCCGCGGTATACGGGACCCGCCAACACGAACTTAGCGAACGGAGCGGCAGGTCTTGAGAACGACCGCATATTTTAGGCTTGTGTAAAGTTTCACATTCGAGGCGCATTTGTAACCTAAAAGGACTAAGCACACTGGAACTGCGGAACGTCCCATAACTTCGTGAATTGTCGACAAGCTAGCGTCTCAGCAGGACCTTCAGTATCTACGGGTATCAGATTTGTCACACACTCCAGTAGCCCGGACAATCCTCCCTTCTCACTAAACACCAATCCTGAGGTTCCCTAGAGAGCATTTCTGCACAATAACCCGATTTCTCAATCTCCTGAACCCAGGCGTTGGTTTGTTGCACTGTTGGCACTGCTCCAGTTAGCAAGTACAGCAAGGAAAGTGAGCGGCGCTGGATTCCAACTTGTGACTTCCTTATCACACCAATGTTTCTGGTTCTCGGCAGGAAAAAGGCGGTAATTGAGTGTTGCTGCGGCTTGGGTGGCTGCCCTGGAGTATGATATTGATTCCATGTCGAGAAGGATGACTGTTGCCAAAGTAACAAAATGCCCCCTTTCAGGATCGTTGATTCAATGACTGGGACACCTATTCTTGTGAATGGATTGATGAAAGCTACAGATATAACATATTATACATTTCCTAGTGGCGAATTGATGTGACTCTTATCAATGATATGGCATCAACCTACGTCTTGCGTAATCATGCCGTCCTCGATTGCTTGTCTGTTTTTCCTCTAATTGACCCCAAGTTCAATGGTTTTAGAATTGGAGCTGAGATTTGTCAAATCCCCGACAAGAAGCATGACTGACTTCGAAAACCAGCTTTGGAACGTTCGTCCAATTGTGCCATATCCCGGGTGGTTGATGCCGAAACTTTCCATCACCAATGAAGTGGATATCAGGGGGGGCGCGCATCGCCGCATTCACATCCTATCCATGAGCTTTCCAATACGCGTCCCATCCTGGCCAGTTCATTGGCACACAGCCTGCCGGCATTGTTGGCGAGGGCCCATGTGGTAGCGTCAAAGATGTATACGTCAGCCGATCGCCAGGAACGAGCTGCGACTTGGCTTGGCGATCTGAAGAATGCGACTATCTACGACCCGGCCTCAAAAGTGCGGAGTGAAACTTGAAAGGCCATGGAAGCAAACACGGGATGCCGAGCCGGGGAGTACGGAGTCCTCGAGGCCCAAGGATGACTGTTCTGTAGTGCTGTCAAGATCAACCCCTTTTTGACCCTGTTTGTCTATCTGCTCCAGAGTTAACCTCATACAAGCCGAATCTTGCATACTGTGCAGCTTGTTGACACGTGTTGACCAACATGCGAATGTATTTCGTCTTCTGCTTTCTGCCACGAGGTCCAGTATGGAAGGTTGACTTTTCAATTTAGCTAGGAATTCTATCTATTATACCATTCGGACGGATCCCAGTGCCAAAAGAGTTGCCGCTGCTCTAATCTCATATCGAAACACTCATCTCTGAGTTAAACAGTTAAAAACCCAGCCTTGCCTAGTTTACACCATCTATCCAATGCCGTGAATGCTCTGCGAATGCAAGACCAAAAGATTCAAACAAAAGAAACATCGGGATATCATATGGGTTCTAGCCGTGCGCCAACTTGAAGTGTAGCTGATACAGGGCAAGATGATTGTTGTTCATGTGAGAGCCTTGCACTTAATCGTGACCTCCATCCTGGGCAATCAACAGGTTCAGCAAGAGGCCGATGCTACTGCGGCTCAAGACTTCAATCAAGCCGAGGCGGTTACCACAGCCTTGACGGCCTGGTCATTGGAAACCTGTGGCTCGATCTCATCCGCCATCTCTGATTCCTGGGCCTCGACTGCTGTGGTGTCTGACTTGGTGGCTCCAAAATCGCCGACCAGATCGCCCATACCGACAATGTCGATCCAGCTCCAAGCTTCTACGCCGCTGTTGCCACTGCGGTCGAAGATGGCCTTGTCGTCCTTGATTCCGTCATCTAGGCCCTTGTTTCCGGCCGACAGTCCTTCACCGCTGGCACCCGCTTTACCCACATGAGTGCCGTCGACGAGATCGCCAACCCATGTCCTCGCGATAGGCACATCATTGACCCTGAGGACCTGGAGGATCGCACGGAGGTTGAGCCTGAGTGCGCGCTCCGGCTCCTCGGAACCAAACACCTTCTTCGTGAGCCATGGGAACAAGACGCCGAAGTCGGATTGGTTGAGGTGAGAGGAGTGCTGCACGTAAAAGAAATTCGGCTCCGGGAGCTTGACACCGCTGTGTCGCTCGTAAGCCGTAGGCTCGACCACGTTGGCAGACGGCTCCGGAGATAATACACGGGCTGTGGCGTGTAGGTGTTCCTTCCATTTGAAGAATGCCTCGGACTCGACGGCGAGCAGGCCGTTGCCTCCAGGTGCAGATGGGCTGTCCGCATAGACCGGCAGAGGGAGGTTGAACAAGGCTTTCGCACTCTTTGCCAACAAAGGAAAGCACCACATATCAAGGAGAATGGTCACGTTCTTGCAAGTCACCTGCTTGCATACTGAAGACTCCCGGGACGGAATGTAGAGGGGTGTTTCCATGGCTGCTACCTCGGGAGAGCCTGCGTAGTAGACGGATTTCAGGAACTGTACCATGGTTGCAGCCCCAAAACTATGTCCAGCGAAAATAATGCTCCCAGGGTCGTGAACGTTGAGTTGATTGACGAATTGGTCAAGGGACGGAGTGCTCGTGTTTAGATTAGTACGAGCCAACCCTTCATCGATCCCCAGGATGGCATCGTGAATCAAGCCTAGCTCCCAAAGCCTGATTCGGAGCTGTGCTGTTCTGGCTTCATGTACTTCCTCCGTAGCGTCGTGCGGTATTCTCTGATACGGTATGATTTTCCGAGTATTGCGAATAAAGTAGCGGTTCTGTTCTGAGGGTATCCGGACGAATGACGCAACCGCGCTCCCGTCACGGTGCTCGGGGCATATGACAACCACTCCATGGGACGCCAGAGAGCCTACGATCTGTGAATAGGCGTTCCGACTGCCACCGAGTCCATGTGAGAATATGGCAGTTGGCCATCGCTTATTCGGCGTGTCGGGTTCTAGGATCGGCGCATTCTTGATAACTGGGATCGTCGTATAGTGGAGATGTCGAGGGAGGAAGCTGATGGGGGCATCAATTAACATTTACTGTAGGTGCTTCGCAAGGACTTGGAGCCAAGACTTACGATACTGCTTCGGCGACCAGTGTTCCAACTCCGAGAAACTTGATGTACGCCGATAGGTGGTTCCGCTGGGGCGCAGGAAGCCATGTGATCTTCTTTCCCTTCGAATCTGGCTGGGCGGGATAGAAGATGCGAAACTGCACCGTTTCGATGTCGACGCCGTCGGGCGCGGGCGCAGGAGACTCGAGCTCGGCCACCGGTATCTCGACGTCCACTGTGCCCACCTTGTATGGCCCGGAGTATTCAGAGAACCCAGGCACTGGGTTCAGTTTGTTCAGGTAGGACGCCGCCATCGCTGCGCAGTCAGATCTGGTTGGCTCGGGCTCGTCTTCGGAGTCTCAGCTCTCTGTGTTTCTCTGGGATCGTCGCAGCTCTGTTCGCCCAGCTATTTGGCAATGCCAACGAGCGGCCGTCCGGTCTTTCGCCCCGAGTCGTCCGCGGGAACTGCTCGGTCGTATCTGAAGCGCAATTGAATGTCGCCTTCGAGTCGGCGTAGGAGTCAAAGGAAAGAGGGCTGCAACGGCAGGTGGATGATTTGATGCGAGCTGATGCTTCGTGCCACCAAGAAAAGCACAGCCTCAGGGGGTCTTCTCAGCTTGCAGCAACGGGCGACGCAGTCAATGGCGGCAAACGCGAAGTATCGTGTGAATGGAAGTCTATTGGGTATCGGAACGTGAATATCACAGTGCTATCATCAGGAAACGGAAAATACAGAGGATGCTGAAATGTATCTGTTTGGGAAGGCAAAAAGCTAAAGGCAAGGACTTCTCAACGCGCGGCTCAGCCGGCTTTTGCGACCAACGGCATTGTTGGCAACTGGTCTTGTGTCCAATTGCTTCAGTCGGACTAACGTCATTGACGCTTCTAAATTTTGCTCGGTCTCCAAACCGGAATAGCTCAGGCCAGGTTTTCATCGGGCAGACAGCACCGCCCGAAAACATGACAAACGACACAAACGTCTCGCAATGTTCTTTCTATTTTGCCAGATGCAATTCTTCAGTAGGAAATGCAAATCCGTAAGAGCAGAAAACGAGCATGGGTGTAAAACCAGCGCGGCACCGTGGCGATCACTGGGAGTCAGTCCCGGGAGTTGAAGGGTTTGGTTTGTTCCTGGGCCTGCGGCCTGGACCGAGGCCCCGGGTCGTATCTACATCATCCCACATTAGCGCAGCCCGGCCGTGACAGGGACGTCAGGGAGGCCCCACGCAACGTCCAGACCCTGAACACGGCCGGGAGGCCTACGAGGGAGACAAATTGAGGCATTGCCTGCAGAACTTGAAGCCCAATTACGAGATACCTGGAGGGGGACAAGGTTCAGAGTCGCGCAAGACCAAGAAGGATGGAAACAGTTTGTTTGGTATTGATTCGTACTGGAACAGTGGTCTACGGAGAAATGAATCCCACCAAGTCTAATTCTGTTATATGGTGTGCTCCCAACTCCTTGACTATGCCTCTAGGTAGGTGACAAAACGCGACAACAGACCGTGCCCTCGGGCAATGCTTCCTATCACGTCTCCTACTGTGTCCACTCGCCATCAACCTTCTCAAAGTTGTCCAAGAAGCCCTTGAAGAACTTGGCACCCAGGCCGGGGTCCAGCGCGCCAGTGGTCGCACGGATCGAGTGCATGCTGAGCTGCGGCATACCGGCATCCGCTGACCTCACGCCCATCATGCTGGACAGCGAAGGGCCGACGGTGCCGCCGCTCCTCGAGTCGTTGCGGATCATGAACACCTGGGGCGTGCAGTCCGAAAGCTCGCATACGCGTGTCAAAATGGCCGTGGAAACAGCGTCGGTGGTCATGTGGCCGTTGCTGTCGGCGCAGATGACAATGCCCACGTTCAGACGCGGTGCGTGGTCGTCGAGGTACTTGGAAACAAAGTTGGGGTTGACGGCATGCGTGACGTCTGCAGACACCAAGAACGAGTTGGCATATGTCCGGCCAACGACGCTGGGACCGAAACTCTTGCCAGCCTTCTCTGATAGCGCCTCGACAGAGCGCTCAATGACCAAAGGCATGAAGTTGCCCTTGGCACCCTGTCTGAGAAGAGAGCCAATCTCCTCATCGTCGAATAAAGCGACCAGCTTGATGGTTCCCTCGCCGTCCTCCAGCTTGGATCCAAGGAGACCCTCGAAAGCGCCCCAACTGCAGAGCTTATCATCAATGCGGCCTCCGGTGATGAACTCTTTGTCCAGACCGGCAACGGTTGCGGGCTGAAGATCAAAGAGCTCCAGTTCCCAGTTTATGATCTGCGAGTAGTCCGTGATGCCCAGCTCCTTGGAGATGACTTTCACCAACTTCGGGGGTTGGGTGGCCACGAAGGATCCGGCAGGGCCAAGGGCCTCGACCGAAGGCGCGTCGGCAGTGGGATAAAGGTCGGAGTTGTCCAGACCAATGACGGGAACCGTCTGGGTTTCCTTGTTATTCTGGCCGAGCATCCCGACGCCGAAGTGAGGCGCCAGGGTCGGGACCTTGGCTATCGGCCAATCAAGCTTGACGAGCTTGGTTGACGTCTTTCCCGACTCGTCGCGGACAATGACTCTGCCGCCGATGCTCAAGTCTCTGTCCCACCACGTCTCGTTCAAGGCGCCAGCGTAGGGTGCTACTCCGAGCTGGAGGTAGCCTTGCTTGTTGGGCTTGCTGCTGACGGGCTTGAGCTTCGCGGTCAAGGCATCGATGTGTCCAGCGATCATGGCAACGCCATTGCCCGGCTTGTATGCCTTGCCGACAGTCCATGCAATGATAGTGCTGCCGTTTCGGGTAGAGAAGTACTTGCCGCCGGGGACAATCTTGTCGGACCAGTCATCCCGTGATGATAGCTGTTCTCCACTCATCAGTTCAAGTCACATATACCGTAGCTGCTTGCTGCCGTTTCTGACCTCGGTGTAGCCTTGCTTTGTTGCCTTCCTCTTGAAATAGTCTACTGCGTGGAAGACGGTTGGGTTTTCCTGTAGGAAATCGGTAAACGGCTTAGTGAAGTCCTCTGGCTTCAGATCCTTGGCTTCGACGCTCCGGGGCATCTCTCGCGCGCTGGGCAGCGAAGTGGCGGGGGTCGAGGGTGTTGCGCCGGTACTGTTGGCGAGAGCAGCCATGCGCAGAGACATGTTGGAGCTGCGCTGGCGCAGGAACTCGGGGGTGTGCTGTGTCATGCTTCCCGCGTTATATGTGGTAGTAGGTGCTCAAGCGAAGGCGCGGTGTTCGAAGCAAAACAGTCGTTTGGATGTGTAGGTACAGGTCAGCGAGCTCGTGATGTCGTGGCAGGTCGAGTCAACACAGCTCGCGATAAGGTCTTATCAGCATTGGCGCATCGTTGCCAGGGTCATCTGGCCACCGCCCGCCCCAATTCTGGCCGCTAAATTTGAGCCGAGCTGCCTATCTCGGCCTGGTTTTCGCCGATGAGTCTGGGGAGAACAATGACTAGTAGGCCTTCCAACTTAGTAATGTCTATGACATGACAAGATTAAATCATGTCACTAATATGGAGTGTGTGGATTGTTCCACAACGGCTCCGAAGCTCTCTCTCACGGATTCCCTAGCAGCCATAGTCGGACCACTACCACAGCACTTCGGTTCGTTGTCTTGGAGGGCATCGTTCTTCATGGCAATGTTTTCTCAACAAACTTCCGGGTTGATTCCAAGCTGGCGCGGGATAGCTTGGTACTCATCCAACCCACTGCTGCGGTGTTGCTTAATAATTCCAAAGTGCCTAGGTGCATAGTAGTGTCGCTTGAACATACCTCATCTTCGTAGGTAGAGCTGCAGTGTGCATCTGGGTATACTCTTAGCGCTTACCTCAGCGCTGCTCAAGGCAATGCATCGATACGAGCCGACAAATGGGATCACCCTAGGTCTGTTCAAGTCGTTGCGGTACGCGACATATGGTGCTCATTACGGCAAGGAGTGGCATGTCACCTCGCATAAGTCATACATGCACTGCCCAAAGCGGCCAAGAAACCTCACGCGTTCACAGGGGTTTCGTTGGAAGAGGCAAGACCTGCCACATTCATCATTTGATACTGAAGCCGCATATTCGAGATTTCTGCTCATTCCATATTCTGCTCACAGTATGGCGCACGCGCGGGCTAACCCTGCGTTATCCCGGGCCGTCCCCGGCCTCACCATTGCTTAACGTGTGCACCACACGTAGAACTTTGGTCAGCATTGCATAGGCTGGTTGCTTTCTGATTTCCTATTCTTCTTATCATCATCAGATAACGTGTAAACATTGCCTTGCTGAATATGGATATTGCAACTTGTGTTGGCCTTGCTTCGGTTGAAGCTGCAGGATTGTCTAGACGCACAGCTTGGCTCACTGTACCACCGTTGAAGGTCTTTCTTGGCCTTTTCGTGCTGCATTATGTGATAATCAAGATCTATCGGTTTATCCTATATCCAAATTTTGTCTCTCCCTTGAGACATGTTCCTGGACCCAAGGTTCGTACAAGCAGCTGATTTGGGGACATCGACGCGGAAAGTCTGATTCCGATATTTGCAGAATCTCAATCCCCTCCTTGGACAAGAGTACAACAAGTACACATCGCCATCTCCGCTTACATGCTCACTCGAGTGGTCCAAGAAATGGCCAGACGCGCCCTTCATTCGATATCTTTCTGTCGCAGGGAAGGAGGTCCTTATGTGCAACAGTATAGAAGCGTATAAGGCCGCCCTCCAGACACATTGCTACGACACCATCAAGTCACCGTTCTATTCCAAGCTGGTAAAGGAGATATCCGGTGTCGGCCTGCTCTTTGCCGAAGGGGACTATCACAAGCAGCAGCGACGATTGCTTGTAGGCCCGTTTTCGGTTCCGAACATGAGAAAGATCCTACCGCTTTTCCATGACAAAGCCCGAGCCCTTGCAGGGGTTTTTGACGACAAAATTGATGACAAGGGTTTTGGTTCACTTGAAGGTAAGCTGCACTAAGTAATGTTAGTATGATAGCTTATATTGATCAATGTGAAGTGATGTCTCTTTTATCCAAGGTCACACTAGATATAATCGGTGTTGCTAGCCTCGGCGTCGAACTCGAAGAACTATCAGGATCAGGACCGGGGTTTTCGCAGCATTATCATGAATTACTCCACCCAGGCCTACTGGGACGCCTCATTTGGATTACCAATGCATTCGTTCCAATCCGAGGATTCCTACCACTAGAAGCGAACCGGAGATGGACAAATTCGAGATTGCAAATACGTAGCATGCTACGTAGACAGATTCGGAAGAGAGTTCGTGAAATGGACGAGGATATCACTCAAGCTTTTCCGAACAAGGACCGAGATCTGTTGACATATATGCTTGAGGAGGCGATCTCACACAAGGAGGAGACAGGGGAGATTCCCTGGACTGAAGACGAGCTTATTGAGCATGTCAGTATTTCCCCCCTTCCTGGTAATGAGACTAGACTAAGACTCCTACTCAGTTGGTGATCTTTACGGTTGCCGGTAAGTGCATTCCTTGCAAGACTGCTGCTATCTGGAATGCGACTGACCCGGATGACAGGGCATGAAACTTCAGCACTCATGCTTACATGGGCTTTGTATGCTCTGAGTACCGATCCGGCCATCCAGAGTAGACTGCGCGTTGAGATTATGGAGCTTCTCGAAAAGTCGCCAAAGCCAGAGTATGACGACCTTGCTGGCTTGGCATTGCTCAACAATTTCTGCCGCGAAGTTCTTCGAGTCTACAGCCCAGGTGCGTGTCCATCTCTCAATTAGACCATTTTACTAATACAATAATAGCAATGATTGTAACCCGTGAGTCCATAATAGACCTTGTCATCGAAGGGCAGTACATCCCAAAAGGAATACAATTGGACATGCCGCCGTCCGTGATGCACTTCCATCCACGCATATGGGGCGATGACGCACACACATTTGACCCCGACCGCTGGGACAATCTGACTGGGGATGCAGCAAGTCCTTACGCGTGGGAGCCCTTCATTCAAGGGCCAAGACAGTGTCCTGGGAAGAATTTTGCCCTGATTGAGATAAAGGCTATACTGGCAGCGCTCATAAGTAGATTCCGATTTATCGGGATTGAGAAGTACGATGGCAGTGGAAAGTTGATGACGGATGAGGAAGCCAAACTTGGCCATGGGGTGAAGCCAGAAAACCCAAGTCTTACCTTTTCCCCCATTGGAGGCTTGACAGTGAGATTTGAAAGGATCTGAGGAGCGATTTACAGAGAGAATCTGCTTTCTTGTTTCGCCGATTGGTGAAACCTCTCTCTGCCAGAGATCATCGCATAGTTCTATTACCCAGTGGGTAGTATGGTACCATCGACAGCCATAGTTTCGTAGTAAACTCATCCGACCTATCCACCTTATAACCTGCTTCTCTGCGTGCGACATGTAACTTCTTATATTACGTGAACGATCTGACGCGCCGTTGACGATAGGTGTAGCATTGATCCATGCCAATCGTCTTACAGAATCAGAAGCAAGGGGGTTGATTTAAGAAGCAGAGGAATTCAATTGAAGAACATTGAAGAACTCTCTTGCTATCTGACGTTTGCCTTTCAGCATGGGCCTTAAGTTCGCTCAACCAAACTATGACCGTTGTCTCCCTGGCACAACTTAATTAAATCACTTCAGAAGACTCTTAATCACAAAACTTCAGACGCTGTGAACGGGTTTAGCTCGCCAAGATTTCAAGTGCTGCCTTGAATCCCTGCCTGGTGTAAGCGAGACCGATATGACTCACAGATTGAATACCGAAGCAGGCTCTATATGGACGCAAATAATAACAACATACGCCGCACAACAACTTCAGGCCAGGTAGCTTAATTGCATAAAGCATTCAACGTCTCAAGAGAACGAAACATGTTGGTTCAAACCCAGCCCTGGTCTATACAATCAATCTCTTTTTTGCTGGTTGGCTCCTTGCAAGCCTGGCCTTGGGCACCATGTTTGCGGCAGCCTAGTGTATTGATTCTCACGGTGAACTGTCGTAAAATTACATGCGGCGGGCCGAGAACATGTTTCGCAGAGATGCATGGCGACAAACGGCTGCAATTTCAGCCACGGCTTCATGGCTGCTACTTTGTCAATGCAGCTGACTATTTGACTAGAGGGGAGGCGCTCTATGCTCGTGTCGCTCAGAGTGTCGCACGTCCTTTAAAATTATGGAACCAGCGACTTCAGTGTGTGGAGTATAGAGAAACAGTTCAGTGATATGGTTGTCATGCACACGGAGGCGTCTGGATGTGTACCACCCGACAACAAGCATCATACGCAGCGAGATCCATGGCAGCGGACCTATTCCGCTGCTGCAGGGATGTCACCACCCAACTCACCTAACCCAGGGGGACATTAAGCTTCAACTCAATCACAATTGCTACGACCATCCTTTGAACACCTTGGCCAACTAACTACCTGGGCATTCAATCAGACTATGTTACCGAGAGTCACCCAAAACTTGTCGCATACGATCTTCAGATGCTACTAATTCCGGTGCATGCCTGGCAGGTCTTGGCAGCCGACAGGTGCCAGTACCAGATAGTGAAATTTGGGCTTCAGCTCCTGCAAGCCACAACGCGCCAGCTATCGCCCTATGGTCTAGATTGGTTTCGCGCCATGTTGATCGGCAACTAACATCCTCCGACGGTTGGGACCCTTGGTCATGGGTTTCAGCAACGCGTTGTTCGGTGGTAGGTATCTCAGCCGCAATATTGAGACTCTGAATCAAGCGATTCAGGCCGATAGTCTGGCATGTAGTAACTTTCCTTCTTTTACACTGCACATCGTAGGAGTCTGGTTAGCTTCGACGCCTGTCCAGAGCTCCCAGCCCTTGGCTTTGTGTCCAGCTGCGAGCTTCCAGGCCTCTGTCGGCTCTGGTATTGTTTGTCGCTTCGTGGAGCGCATACCCACTTCCACCGACCGTCTTGACGTCTTGCGCTCTGTGCCGGAGAGCCATCCTGGAGGCGATCGTAACCCTTCGCCGCGGAGCACCACCAAGTTGAGAGCGCACCACATGCGCACGGACTGCATCGCCGCCTACTCCTCTGCCCCGATCTCGACGTATAAGGCCCGAACCCCCTGCCGGAATTCCGACCTCGTTTTGTGCGGCCATGTCGGGCCTTCCAAGCGGCTGGGAAGCGGATTATGATGGAGCGCGGTGGTTTTACAGGTACAAGTCCACAGGACTTATGCAGTACAACTTCCCGAAAGCTGGCGATGAATACCCCGATTTTGTCAGTCACGGCGCAGAGCCGGTATCACTTGCTCCCGAGGAGCTACTGCAGATCAAGAGACGGGGTACGGCAGACCTACCACCACAGAATGCATCAAAATCAAAAGATGGCCGCCGGGGCGATGGCACGCTCCAAGAGATTGACGAAATGGGCGCCACAGGCTACTTCGACCCCTCTGCTTTTCTAGGGCCGGACGGTTATATTGATACATGTTCCCCGGCCGATGATGAGGCCCACGCAGAAAGTAATACTAATCAAGAACAAGGGAAGTCGGACTCTGTGGTCTCTTCGGTCGCTGCCACACCCATCATGGGAGCGCCAGCCTCAGTCGCAAGTGTCGAGCTGGACGGGGTTGGCCGTAAGGGGTTGGATGCCGGTTCCGATGAAAGTCGACCAACGGCTGATCAGCCCGAAAGGGCTGTACATATGCTTGACGGGCAGCCAATGTACGCTGAGCTGCCAGACAGGTCGGCGGTCTTCACAGGCCAGGGGACATGGATACCGATCGGGTCCATGGCCGAGCTGCCCACCAGCGATACTCTGAAATGCGCCGATGAGTTAGCACCTATTGAAATGGATGCTTCCTCCAGTGGACCGAGTGTTGTGCGGCCGTCGATGTCTTCAGATACGCCTATTGAACTACCGACAGAACCAACCTCTATTGATATGAAGAAGCCGCCTCGGCCGCCTCAGCCACCTCAGCCAACTTCCGCTCACATGACATCGATGGTGGACTACCCCTTAGTTTCTGCTTCATTCTCATATCCTGCCCCGAGAGGTGTGGGATCTGCTCCAGCACAGTTCATCATCACATCAACATCTGCAAAGCCTGTAGTGGCCAAGCCCCAGCCTGACAACTATCAATCATGGAATTCTGCAGCCAATAGACCAGGTGGAGAGGTTGTCACATCAAAGCGGTCTTCCCTGGCCCTTGCCGGAGTGTCTATACTTCAACCACAGAACAGCGAGTTGATGGCAGATCGTCACTCAAGACATTCGATTTCTGGACCCCCGCAGTCAGCAGGTGCCATTCAGCGGCATCCAACGGTACTCACACCTCCTTCGGGGCCGAAAATCTCTATGGGACAAGGGCATGGTCCCTCTGTTGAAGAGCCTCCACACTCCCAAGTACCTACAGCTTTGCGTCCGGCCCAAGGCTTGCAAAATGGTTCAGTATCTCTGGATTACAGGCCACAGCATGGACATCCTTCCATACCAGGGTCTAATGCCCGGCACGACAGCATCTCGTCTGGCTCTATCTTGCACTCGCCTGGCGATCCCGGGGCAGGCACCACGCTATCTCACGTGCCAACTGTACTGAAGCCTGCCCATTATCGCCATAATTTCACTGCGACGTCTCAGCAGGATAACTACGGCCGTCAATCTCTTCAGACACATCAATATGGCCGAGTTGGCTCTCAGGTACCTATGCAGTCATACAGAGCTCAATCGATACCGATGCATCATAGATACTACACAGGCGACCTACCACCTACCCACCCACAACCCCACGGAGACCTACCGCTAAAGTTGCTGCCATCCGCTCCAAATCAATTACCTGGCAACACTAATAGTCCCAATCACCCTATCTCACACAGGGTCAACACAATGCCAAACCAATTGCCGTCTCAAACCAACCACCTACCTCCTCGAAATGGTCCAGGTCTTTTGATATTTCAAGAATTTGCGCCCACTCAGCCATCCGGAACTCAATTTCCGACTGGATCCCAACAACTGTATACAGAGGACTCCGCTGTGATGACTGCTCAACAGACTCGCCCGGCGCAAATTCAACTGCAGGGGTATGATCATACAGCTCAGGGGTCTGCGAAGCCCACGTTTCCTAATGACGGTGCTAATGGCAATTCGAAAATCAAGACTGAGTTAACACGACCATACTACGACTTGGGAGGAACCTTGCCAGAGATCAGGCAGGACCAAAGCCCAAATGACACGGTGATGGGCGAGCCATTACCTTCGGTTGCTCCCCTCTCGCTCCCCAAGCCGTCCGGAGTTGGTAAGAATACTCAAAGAGTTTCATCGCAAAGCTCTCCTCCTGAAGAAAAGCCAAGCTCTAGGCATGGTCGTACAACATCGGAGCAAATATCAGATGCGATTATGGTCGTCAGCGAAGTTGTGCCTACTGTTGCTGAAGCTGGAAGCGCCTCGGGTTCGAGCGCGATGACCAAACCCGCATTACACGTCGAAGCTACTGATTCGAACAAAGATGAATACTCGAAGGAACATCAGGGTGATTCTAGTATTACAGTACAAGCACATGCCGAGACGTCACCATCTGGTCCAGATGGGCATAATAGCAACCCTACTATTGAGACCTCACCGCCGTCATGTGCATCAAATGGACAACAGTTTCAAGTTGATGTAAGCCTTTCAGCACAATCAGACGCAATATCACATGTTGGGGCCACTGAAACGCCGCCGGAACGCTCCGATGTTGTCAGTTCGGCATCGATATTGCCCGGTCCAAGCAAGCCGGCTCCAGATATCACGGCCAATCAAAGCACGCAAAGCTCACCTTCTCTGCCTGAAAACAGCAATTCGAAGCTCAACGGTAGCCCAGAAGAAGCGTGCGCAGATCCACAGTCTTCGGCCCTGACTGATTCAGCGTCTCACTCAGTCTCAGTGGTTCGACCGTCTGGGCAGTCTCCTATTTCGTACTCTTCCACGCAAGTGTCACCGGCGATCTCTATTAAGTCTTCCTTTAGACGCAAGCCGGTTGGTGGAAATAAGCCTCCAAAACAGACGCCGTCACCAACTATGTCAGACAAGCCCAACAAGACTGAGTCGCAAGCAGGCCAACATGCAGTTATGAGTATTCAGAGTCCTACGGGGCAAGGACCTGCACCTAAGCCAGATGGATCACAATTTCAACATCAAGTCCCGAGCCTCCAACTCCAGCAACAACCACCGCCCATAAGCCAAAGTCATGTGTCATCTCCGGCACAGTCGGTCGCGTCGCTACAGCAGACACCGTCTTCAACCTTCTCTCAAGTGTACGAGCCTCCAAGCGCTGCCAGCACTTCTGCTCCTGAAACGCCTCTCCAACAACAAATGACTTCGCCAGGTCCGCAATTTCCTCCGGCATCTGCTCCTACGTCTTCTCCTGCACACCAAGCAAGTCCGTCGGCAGGTTCTATAGCGACAAATGGGCATCCGCAATATCAGCCGCTGCAACAAATGGCAAGTCAAGCAGCGCCAGTCTCAATGATCGAGAATCACATCTCCCAGACAGCAGTGCCGTCGGCTAATGTTCCCCTAAAGCCCAGTCAGCCAACCCCAAGCCATGCTCCAAAGCCAACTCAGGGGCAATGGACAGCGCAACAGTCTCAGCATTCAGCGCAGTTACAGATCAACCTGAACTCAGTGGTCCAGAATGCTACGCCACCGTGGCAATCTCCTGTACAGCCACAAATTGTGAACTCTAGCCAAACAACGAGTCAGCCCCTGCATCACCAGCAACAGCAGCAACAGCAGTTGCATGTGCAAGGCGCTGGTCATCCAGTGTCAAATCAGCATGCTCAAACCCCTCAGATATTTAGCCCTCAGAGCCACAACGGCCAGGCGTCACATATGCCACCTGCACACCAAGTACCTCAAGTTCAACCACAATCTGTCCTCACTCCTGACTCGACACCAGGGTATCCATGGCAACATCAACACCACCAGCATCATCAACAAGTTCAACAGCAAGCCCAGCAACAACCCCTCGCACAACAGGTCTACTCACCTCCAACCCATACCCAGAGCGGGTTTCCACAGAACAGTTCCCATCAGCAACTTGCCCAACAACCTTTGTATTCTCAGCAGCCAAGTCATATGCAATCATCTAATGGTCAAAGCCCACAGGGGGCTGTTCATCCACCCGTCCAGTCGGGCCAGTCAAAACCACAAGTACAAAGCCAAGGCCAGAACCCAGCCTTGACTGGAGCTGAGACAGCTGCAGCGTTCGCCAGCGCAGGCAAAGAGCTCAAAGGATGGGCAAAGAAAATATGGAAGAATCAGGCGTTGAAGCAAACCGCAGCAGGGGTAGTAGGAGCTGTCGCAGCCGAATCGATGGGTGGCAATGCTTTTGCTGGTGCCATGCTTGCAAACCGGATATACGAAAACTCTCATGCGCAGCAGACTCCGCAGCAAAATGGAAGACCGCCGAAACCAGTGCACTCATATACCGCGCCACCTCAAGCTCAGGGGCTACCTGGCCCAAAACCTCCAGCTCAAGGATTCAATCAAACAGTACCAGGGATGCAGCCCGTCGGTGTCCAGACGCCTGGTAGACCATATGTTGTCCAAAACCCAGCGATGGCCGGAATGGCATCGCAACCTGGGCAGCCGGGACCAAGGCCACCACAACCAGTGGTTGCGCGTCCTCCACCCCCGAATGGACCGCCTCCAGGGCAGCCACAATGGCAGCAAGTTTTTACCGCACCACATGGTGCACATAGTGGGGCATCACATCAGTCGCACGCCGATGCCAACCAACAGGCGTACAACCAGAATGCCGCCTTTCCGACACAAGACAGTGGGTCTACAGACGGCTCAGCTATGATGTTCGATCAAACAAGTTTCCAGAACACGACTGTATTAGATACTTCAGCATCTGGATCCTACTTCGCGCCCCAAACCACGGACAACGTCAATGTGGTGAACGTGAATGTCGACAACACCGTCAATGCTCAATATAACACTCAACCCGCGCCGGTTTACATAGACAGTGTCGCGCCAGGAGCCAACACTACGTACATGGACCCAACGAATGGAACGTACGTCGATGCCACCAATACGACATACGTAGATACGACGAACACGTCCTACGTGGACACTTCTAATACGGCCTACACGGATACGACAAACATCAATGTTGATTCAACAACCGTCGTTGATGTTCATGTGGATATGAACACCAACGTGGGCGTCGATCAGTCCTACATGTCTGGTGATACGGTTTCCATGTATACTGTAGATGAAACGGCCACGATGGAGACGACTGAGTGGTCGGCAGTAGATTATTCAGGCGGTGACTGGGGTGGAGGATGGGAGTAACGCCTGGGCCCAGGGGTACTGAAAATCTCCACGGAGGTGGGAGGTGTAGCTGTTGTTGTTCGAGATACCACTGTCTTTCAGATTTAGTCAACAGCTTCGGAAGCACGATCTAGACTGTGTCGATAACTTGTCTGTCAAAGCACTTCAAGATGACCTTCTTCGTTACGGATACCCTTTCAAAGTACTGGAGTTTCCATGCTCATGGTTAGCACAATCGAGGAAGTGAGGTGAATCCAAACGTGTCAGGTCTGGTGAAATGATCTGAGTAAATCATCGCACATGTTTCGCCAAAGGATGCATTGTCCGTTCTCAGATCCCACCGGCAACTACCATTCACTAACAGGCCTGCGGCTCAAAGTCGACAACATGTCGCCGATTCACCACCCCCAGGGGTACCACTTGGTCAATATGGCCGAGTGGGTAGCTACTTGATGGCTTGCTTCGCTGACTGATTACGCTTTGGCTCATGCTTTGGCTTGGCTTCGGGCTTGAGGAGCTTCTCATGGTTCGAAGTAGATGTTGTGTACGATATTCTGTTTTCCTGCTTTCTCCTTGTGACCCTTCACGGCATGGTTTTACGTGTATATCTGACGAGAGACTGACAATAATAACAACAACAACAACAATAATAATAATAACTGTACGCCTATCACATCCCGCACGTACAATTTCTCTTACATGATCATGGAATGTCGTTGGGATAGGCTTGTTGCCCAGCTTGAATTTATACGTCGTCACACGGATTCATTGTGACTGATTCGATGCCAGGTCACTGTAGAGCCTACGCGCCGGGCTGCGGCAAAGCGATGTGCTGTTCTGCTGAGACCGTGAAGCAGGATACCTGAAATACCATGTCTGAATACTTGTCCTCCCCAGTCAGAGCTAGGCTGCCTTGTAGACGGCTAAGTGTGCGGAGGTGGTCGAGAGTATGGCTTAACGTGCGTGAGCCCAAGGAGCTGAAGGGAGGGAGGGAGGTAGAGGGGCGTGGTTCTCACTTTGATTCAGGTCGACGTTTGGCTTTCAAGGTAGAAGCAAAGGCAGTAATTGGGTGGGCAAGCTCAATACTACTTTGCCAATGAAATCACAATAACCAAGGGGCCGTTCATCCGGTGATGGAGTGCTCAGGTAATATGAATGCCAACAAGGCAGCAGGCTGTCACCAATGAGTAGCCCCCGTTTGCTGTAGTGGTGCAGTGGTATTTCTGGGCCCTGGGCTCCTCACTTTCGGGTGCAGCGCAACCTCATGTGCTTTAAGAGCTCGCCATTGTGCCCACGCAGTAGCGGCATGGGTTCAGGTCCCAGCTACCCTTCTTTTCCTATACAATTGATTTCAAGCACGTTGCGTCGTCACTCATTGTTAGTTGACAATACGGAAGCCACGCGTTGGGGAGGCTATTGCTTAGAGCAAGATTTTCTCGTCTTAAGAGTGGAAGCTGACGTTCACCTCCGTTGTTTTTCTATATTTCTTACACATTAATACATGGTTATACAAAATGTATTCACTTCAGCCTCTCGAGGGCGTCAGTAGCTTTGGCGACTAGTTGACGGGCTCTGTCAAGCTCGGCATTACTGGTAACATCTCCCTTGGCGATGTCCTCTGTCTGTTCCAAGACATCCTCAACAGCAACCTCCACGCCCCTGACAGCCTTTCGGCCTTCTTCCCTGACTTCTCCCTCCCAGAACTTCCGAGCAGTTTCCCATTGCTTCTGCATGCGGTTCAGGCTCCAGACAATCCCGAGAGCTGCGACAGCACCAGCCTCGTAGATGCCCGTGGTAAGGGTGCCGAAGTATGCCAGCGCACCAAGGGACGTGGTCAGACCAGATGTGCTGAGTGTTTGGAAGACTAGCTTCTGGGCCAGAGCTTGCAAGGCAGGTATCGTCTCGTTCTGTAGGTACGCCCTTGTAGTGGGGATATTTATTGGCCAGCGACTACGTCCATTACTGGCTTCGTCTGTTTCTGGTGCCTCGGGCTGTCTGTAGGCGGCAGTAAGGTCTGCTCTCGAGGAAGCCTCTTGAATTCGCCCAGCCAGATAGATAGCATTCTTCTCGGCGTTTGGAAGGAATCGCTGGTTGAGGATATCCGTAGTTAGCATGTGGACATCGTCCACACGCCAGAAGAGCTTCCACCAGCCCAGCTTTCGCCATCTCTTGCTCGAGAAAGCAAGGTCTAATGATTCCTGAAGCTCACCATGGGCATTTTCTGCCCACTCAGCTAAGCTGGCCTTGAGATGCTGTGTTGAAGTTGGCGCGACAGTGGATCCAAGCGATGTAGATACTGAACGAGCCTCTGCATTCCGGATGGAAGCCGAGGCATTCTGTAGCACAGAAGCGATCAAGCGCCGCACAGGAGCCTTCGTCACACCCTCTGCAGAGGAGATATCGGTTTTCAACCACTCTGCAAGCTTTGGCATGTTGCTTTGAAACCACATGCGCTCATACTCCATGGCGTCATTGAGGCTGTTACGAATAAGACCCAGCCCAACTCTGGCAGTTCCTACGTCAACTGGGACGAATGGCAGAGACGCGGTGTCCGCGGACTTGTACCCTGGCATGTCCACGGCTGCTTTGATGAAGCTTTCGCTCTCGAGCAGTGGTAGCGACACCACCGAGGCAGCACCCATGAGACCGTTGCCCACGACGAGGGCTTTGTGTACGGGCGTTGTGATCGGAGAGAACCTCCCTGAGTCGGATGCTGGGATCTCAACAGCAGGCACCAGCACGGAATCTTCGAACCCCTCCAATCCTCCTCCCGGCGACGCGTCGAATGGAAAGGTCTCCATGAGCAGTAGTTCCAAGTTGTGTCCATTGAGCGTTGCGGACGAGACATTGACCTCATGTAACACGCTGTCGTTGGCCAGAGAGATTGTACCGGGCTCTTGGTGCTTCTCCCGTCCCACCCTGATGATCATGGGCTGCGCCAAATCATGGCGTTCCACCTGTCTTTCCCACTCCTCCTCGTCCTTCAACGGATCTGCCAGCAGTAGCTTGAGCACCTGCTTCGCGGACTTGCCCGATTCTGCGCCATCGGTAAGGCCTAGGATCGCGACTCGAATCGCCTCGTTGCCGGGCTGCTGTCGCAACCCGTTGACGGCAAGCTGCAGCCTCGACAGGTTGACAAAGTTGGCAGCATGCCTTTGCAGGTCGACCAAGGCGTCCTCCAACTCTTTCCGGGCGTCGGGCGGTGCGCTGGTCGAGGTGGACTGGAGCCGGCGTGGTGGGCCGACGGCTTTTCGTCTCGCGTTTCGCGTCGAGTTTGAGCTTGGCGACGGCGTCAACGAGCAGAAGAGACATACGGACTTGCCATTGGGACGGACGGCTTGCTCCAGAAGGCTCCGACCGGCGGCCGTCGCTCTGGGTGGCAGTCGAGCCGGCATGGTTCTGGCCGTTTGAGAAAATGACGCCCAAAGCTGAGCTTAGAGCTCCGTTCCCGAGCTTCACACTCGACGTCAAGCCGGCTGGGTGGGCCCTGGTCAATCCGCCCAGGCGTCGTCACAAGTGCAAGTGGGGGCCAAAGATGCTGCAAGGCGCCCGACACGGCTCAATCTCGGGACTGAGCTACCTGGCCGTCTCTGGTCCGTACATACAGTACGTACGTCCAGTCATGACGGTTTGACGGGTATCTAACTGATTGACTTGATTAGCACGTCTGCTCTACCTCTGCAGGGATGATCTGCTCTTGTGATGGTATTCAGACATGGTTGGTGGACGGTGCTAGTAATTCTCGCGGCCGACACCTCTGCGGCTCTGCCCCTTCAACGACGAGATGCAGGGTTTCGGCAACCCCAACAACATCACGAATTTGCGGCTGTTGTGAAGTTGTGACGTTGGGAGCCTTCACCGTGACTTTTATATCTGCAAGATTGGTATGTCATACTTTACATCAAGTGACATCTGTAGCATCCGTCCCCGCCGAACCTGCACAACACACAGGTGCGCAGAGCGCATGGGGAGCACTCAACATTGTGGACTCGGCCTACCAGTCTCGCCACGCTAGATGCCAGAAATTCTACTCTATTGTTCCTGTCTGCTTGGTCGTATTCTTATGAGCCATCGATTGTGTCTGGAGTAGCAATTCTTTGCTGTTTGCAGCATATTGTAACTAGCGCGTTCATAGGCCTACGCATAAAGGGGCTTTCCGCCTTCAGCGTCACAGCCGTCCCCAGCGCTGGCTGTATGCATGTCATCTCCAGGCAGAACCCATCAATGAGGATACGCGAAACGGTGTCACCGCATCTCACGAAGGTAACGAAAGCCATTGTCCAGTTGATAGCGGCTGCTCCAGGGTGTGCACGTGCCACCGATTAGCGTGGTGCGCTTGAAAACTCTGGGCCTATTGCAATCGTCATCTCCTCGACCCCCCATGTCAACTACCAGATTTCTCTATACCCCACGCAAAGCAAACATTGGCATCGAATCCTAGTCTCACGTGCCACCCACGCTCGCCAGCCATCATGTCTAAACGGCCGAAAACCTTTTCGAAGCAGGCCAAGGGGAAGCAGAAGGCGGAGCCGGTATGATACTTGTCCCTCTACCCTGAACAGCCCGCAACTGACGGACGCAGAAATTGGAGACCGCAGATGACTTTCTTGCTGGTATGTGCACTGTGATAACTATCTCTTGCATGTTTCTGATGTCAAAACAGCCGGCGTGGATCATGAGGAAGCTGCGGGAAAGCACCGCGCCGGAGATGCGGCAAAGTCGATGAGATTCTTTCAGCGCGCCGGGACAGCCTATGACCAGGGCCTTGCGCTATATCCCCAGAACTTCGACCTCGCGTACAACAAGTATGTGCACATGCAATAGTGCGCAAGGCAATGCACTGACCAAATCTGTCTTAGGGCACGAGTATTGCTAGAGGTGGCAACGCACCCCGCCCTCGTAGGACAACTGCAAGAACCTCTCCTGGGTGCACTTCGGACAACCTTGGATGCCCACCAATATGCGCTGAAGCTCAAGCCCGACAACGCCGATACTCTCTTCAACACGGCTCAAGTTCTGACAAGTATTGCCGAAGAACTTGCCACGGAAGATATTGACAACTTTGGGAAGGAGGCTCTCAAGCTACTAGAGGAAGCACTGGAATTGCAGGCCAAGTGCTTCTCCGTCCAAGAGACCACTCATGCCGAGTTTCTTGAACAGGAACGGCTAGCCAATGAGCAATCAGGGATTGCTGAAGGAGAAGAGGAGCCTGTCGTATCTGAAGAGACCGCTGAGCAAGAATCATCTAATGAAGACGACCAGTGGGCGACTGTTGAGGAGGCGGTCACATATGACACACTCGTCGACACGCTGGTCGCGCAGCTGAATACTCTGACGACATTGTGTCAGCTTCTCAACGACGCTTCTGGGTCTATTCCGTCGCACGTTCTGCCGATGATTGAGAATTATTCCTCAAAGTACATCCAGAAAATTCAGGCAATCTCTCAACATACGCCAGAGAGGTTGCACGAGATTGCACTCTCGAAAGCCAAGTTCACGTCTTCCCTGCTCGAAGCGGGCTTCAGATCCGGCCAACTCGACGCCATGACTTACAGGAGGGAGCGTGACGCTGCTTTTTCTGCGCCGGAGTTATTTGCAACCGAACCCTTCGAGTCATTTGTTGCGAACGCTCGTTCCTTGACCTCGTTCAACTCAGCTCTCGCAGATGCCAACGCCGACAACTCCATTCTTCGATGGAATGCGCTTACAGAGGCTACACAGTTCCTCAGTGAGGCATCAAAGATACAGCGGATCGATCATGACGATCTGGTCACGACGCACATGCTTCGTGGAGCTTCCAACCTGTCTCTTTACGCTTTGGCCTTGCCGCCCATCTCGCATCCGGCGGCTACCAAGAGTGCAGCTCAGCTACTCAAGAATGCAGAGGTGTTCTACCGCAATGCAAGCAAAATGTCAGGAGATGAGGAAGAGAAGGAAATAGCTCAGCTGCGCTCGCTTGTCGCTAGCAGCCTTCAGAACAAAGCTTCCTTGGACGCAGAGTTCGACATAATGGCTGTAGTGCAGGCAAGTCGGAAGGATCCGTCGTGGGTGATGGAACAGCTATCCGAGATGCAGGACGAAGGACTACTGCCGAGTGATGCGTAGTGTTGGCTCTGAAAACTGCTTAAACAGTAGACCATGAGGAATGATCAGTAAATTTAGATAGAGTAGTATTCTTAGCCCCAGTGGATTGAAAAATTGTCGTAGTTAGTTTATGGCGAGTCTGCCTAAAAAAGCTACCACCTATGAAACCCCGTGTTGAGGCTGGGATTCATTATACCCACATTCTAAAGAGCCCAGACACAACTGGCTATGGAGTGGAAAGAAGGGCAGATGAGATCCACCGTCCTTCATCAAAACGGAAGATTCGTGAGATCAGCGTCAGCGCAACACGCGCATGGCTAGAGCTGGATGGAGAATTGAAGATAGCCAGTCCCACAGTGGTCGCCTAAGCTCCTAAGTTTCCCGATCATGATCTCCTGATTCAGCGAACAGCCGGTGCTCATGAAAATTAAGAGGACTTGATGCCTCATCACGCTGTTCCTCAATCATGCTTGTAGGACCTTCTTCATCCGTCTCTGTAGCTTCGGCAGTTCGCTTGCGCGCGCCTTACATTTGCGGCTTGATAAGCCGGTCCCGGTCTTTTTTTGCCCTCATCCTGAGATTGCTAAACGTACACATGCCTTCCCGGCAGAATTCCTCATCAGTCAAAGCTTACGCCTTGAGTCGGTTAGTATAATGGGCAGGCCGCTCTCCGGGCCGAATAGGCGCACTGAGATGGTGTGCACACATTTCGAGATACCCGCCTAAAAAGATGCAAGTGTATGCACATGTATTGCCATCAAAGGCAGGTTCATCCATGAAATAATTCTGTAAAGCGTGTATGCTGTCTCGTGTGCCATCAGCCACGCTGCTTATGGAGATGACAGAAGATGGAGAACCTAGAGATCAACTGCGTGACCTCACTTTTGATATACGGTCTGCACATCAGCCCTAGCCTAAGAATAGAGTAGCTTCCCAGCGCTGTGGAGGAACCTTTTCCTTCCCAGCGCAACAACATCGATTGTTTGCACCCTTACAGAGTCATCATCACCTTTTCTGAGTCTTTTGCTTTAGCGTGTGCTGTCAGCCGCAGTAAAGAGCACCACAACTATTTAATAAAAACCCTTTGATACTTCTTTATCTGTACGGCAGTCAGCTGTTCACTATTCCTATCTTGAATCCTCGTTCGCCATGACGAGTTTAGAGCCTGATCCTAAAAGAACGCCCACGTCATGCTGTGTTTTTCTCACCGGTGGAACCGGATTCGTCGGCGGCACTATCCTCTCTTGTCTCTTCAAGGCACATCCTAGTGTTCGCGTCAAAGCTTTGGTCCGTGAGGAAAGGGATGCTAAAGAACTCCAATCGGTCTATTCAAATCTCACCCCCATCATCGGCGAGCTTTCCTCGCTTTCTCTCCTCATATCTACGGCAGCTGAGGCCGACTTCGTCATCCACGCTGGAGGTGAGAATGTCCCCGCCGTTTCCGCGATGATAGATGGGTTGGCATCCCGTACCACCGCTGGATCGCCCATGCCACGGCTCATCAGCCTAACCGGCCCGCGTAGTCTGATCGACCTCTCGAATCCCATCACTGGGAATCTCAGGGCGAGCAGCCGTCCCTGGAGCGATATCACGGACGCGCATGCAATACTGAACGTTCCTAAGGATCGGATTCACGCTGGTGCTGATCAAGCCATCGTCGCTCACAGTACTGCTAAAGGGGTGGGCACGATGCTGGTCTCGCCTGGTCAATTGTGGGGCCGGGGTAAGGGTCATCTGAAGAAGGAGAGCAATGCGGCGTTTTATTATGCAGCGGTTAAGAGCCGTGGACGGGCCTTTGTAATCGGCGAAGGTACGGCAACATGGTCGTGGACTTCCATTGGTGATTTGGGAGATGCGGTCGTGTTCCTGATGGAACAGGCACTGAAGAGTGGGAGCGAGAGACGCGGACAAGTAGGAGTAAATCAAGACGGCTACTACTTTGTGCGTACCGGAGACCTGAGTATGATGGAAAGGGCCAAAGCTGTCAGTGAGCGCTTAGGTCTTGGAGAAGTAGAAAGCGTGTCGGTTGACGCCGCAAGAGAAATCCATCCGTTTGGCCCGATCATGTGGGGTTGTGGTGAAAGAACGAGATCTGATAAGCTACTTGAGCTAGGTTGGATGCCGAAAGAGACCGATTGGAAGGCTTTGATGGAAGAGGGAGAGGGAGAGAGGGCATAAGGGTAGTTGTACGACGGGAATACTAGTAACTACCTCTAATTTACTACTTAATTAGGGACTAGGGGGTTTGTGTTATATAGTATTTCTTGTCCTTGCGCCGACCGTCCAGCAGCAGCAACCATGAGATTGTGGTAGGTGATGAATACAGGGCTTGGATAAGTACTCGAGAGAAAAGTGACAAGAAAGTACGGGATCCACAGGATTACTGGCATAGAAAGCGTCAGCAATACCCACGTCTCTCGCGAATGGCCCTAGATCTTCTCTCAGTGCAAGCTATTTCCACCGAGTGTGATGGTTGTTCTCAGCTGCGGGGAGAATGCTATGCCTTCTACGACACAGCTGGCTATTCAGCTGACTGGCATGATTCTAGTTCTACGGTCATGGTATAGATCGGGTCTCGTTCTAGATATAGACCCAACGATAAGATCGTTGACAGATGAAGCTGAGCAAAAGTTTCTAGATTGTCTTTCGGATATCGGCCAAGAGCTATCGTTCAAAAGCGGAAATGATATTTGGTGAGGGAAGTTTCTTAGGGAGACTCTAACGCCAGTTCCATCAATTTCCAACTTTGAGTTTCATGTGCTATGCTCATGGAAGTATTATTATAAAGAGTGTATCCTAAAATCTTGTTCTTCAAAACCGTCAAGTATTCTTGAAAAGAAACGAGAAGAAATCCACATGAAACAAATTTCGGAATCTAAGCTGCCAGTAGCGGAAGCCGCTTGAAAATGAAATATCCCCAATATACTACAGCATTCTGCTTGCTCGGGACGCCTGACCAACTTCCTCCATCCCGTACGCTGATAGCGGCGAAGAAAAAATCACTCCAAGACGATAATAGAATGGCTAGCATGCATGGTACGATGATCCATACTTGAATATCACCGATTCTCCGCCAGGATCCTTTCAGGAATCTATGCGTGACGTCGGCCAGCGCCATTATTAGACACAATGCAGAGCAGATCCCAAACACCTCGCATATGATCAACATGGCTTTTGTTGGCTCCTCCCAGTTGCTAATCGCTACCCCAATCAGACCTATGAGCCCTGGTATTGCCGATAATGCATACATAATAACCCATAGTAGGGCTGAGCGTCCATAGTCTGCCGAAGTTCGAGGTCTCAAGGGGGACGGAATTTTTAGTAGATCGTTGATATGAGGCCCCTTTCTCTGTACCCGAAGCCACGTACGAGTCAGGGGACTCATTAGGGCGTTTTTCTGAGCTTCCTGTCTCAGCCTTCGCAACTCTATATCTTGCTGTTCCCGGCGTTCTTCTCTTTTCCGGTTGACGTCCCGCGTATTTGCGGCGCGGTGAACGGTGAAGCAGGTCATAGTGAGACCAAAGAACATTTTCCAGATCGCAACGAGCACCAGGTGCCAGTTGGACTGGCATCGGACGATGGCGTATATAGTGAGACCAAGCGTGGCCAGAAGGCTCACGCCACCAAGCAAGAAGTCCCACCAGTAGGTGTCTAAGTGGCGGCTGGGCCACCAGGGTGATCGCGCCTTGGCGAGCCAGAAGAACGTCCAGTACGTGAGAATGTCTGAGGCGAAACCAATCCAACCATAAGGTAAGGAGTAGCACTGCAGGCCATCTTTGAATGTGCCGTTACCGGCATGGGGTAAGTTGGAATCGAGCCACCCTGGCAGGGTTGCAAGGCTGGTTGAATGGCTAGAATTGGACGTGTTCATACTTGAGATGCTAAGCGTCGAGCGTTTGGAAAATAAATCATGTCGTGTGCGACGTTGCTAAAAGATGTTTATTGATGTTTCTTGCTCTAGGGACGCGGAATTTCCTCTAATGAGAAACAAGGTATATATATATAAATTTGTGCTAACCTGTTCCCCAGGTGAGACTTATCTAGGCGTATTTCTCCCAGCAGTCGAGAGCTGCAACACCTGTGGCGATGGCCATGTTTGAGAAGAAATGACCAGTTACGAATTTTCTAACGCCATCAAAGCAACGCGTTCTTGGGGCTGATACGAATCCTCTCGAGGAAAGCGATTTCGATCATATTCCAGCACAATATCACCGGAGCCTCCAACATAGGCTCTCGGTCGGTCATGGGCCCGATTGGCTACGAGTTGGACATGCAGTCAGCTGTAGTTGTTGGGCGGCTCTTGGCCATGCGGCACCCTCGGATGGCGGCAGCCTTGGGGGTGGCTTTGCTCGGCATCCGTTACAACCGTTCAGCCCAGTACCATTCCGGAGAAGTGACCCTTTCCGGCGAGCCCATCGAGGCCGCGCCAGGATGAGCAGAAAATGAGCCAATTAAATAATGCCTGCCAGAGCCTCTAGCACCCAAGTGAGGCCAATCGAATCGCTGTGTTCGTTCACTTAATGTGCGGCAACATAGATACTGAGCCGACTTTCGAAATTTGGAGTAGTATGTTACAATTATACTATGTGATGCATGAAACCTAAAAGGCACGAGATTGAAAAGAATTTTGTATAAACAGAACTTCTGTTCAATTACTATGGCGATTCTACTGTTTCCGCTTACATAATATTCTCATTTGCTGTCCAGCCCCAAAGTGGTGGCTTTGAGTCTTGTTGGAGAGAGCAGGGATGTACCGTAAGCAGACCGAGCACTGAATCCTAAGCCCGCTTCTGTAGCAGTACAGCCGGGCGATGGTTGCCTCCGAAGGCTCATCGAACGGAACCAACGAGATCTCCGACGTGTCGTAAGCGTGACTCGCTTCGTATTCGTTCCGATAGAAGCCGCAGTCACGTCACTAGAGTATTCGCCACGACGATGCACATCTCTGGCCCGGGCTTCCATTTTCTTCTATTTGGAAAACACAACCTCAAAGTTCTTTTAGGTGTCGTCTGAAGAAGTCGTTCTGTTTCCTTACCACATGCGGAAGCGCGGATATCTGATGGCCCGCGCCCGGTATGTACACAAGCTCAAAGTCTTTCTCCGCCTCGATCAGTGCGTGTACCAACTTCATAGTTGACGAAGGGTCCACGTTCGCGCCCAACTCGCCCACAGCCAGCATCAGCTGCCCCTGAATTTTATGTGCGTGGGTCACGTTTGACGATTTTTCGTAGCTCTCATCCACCGGGTACCCCATCCATAGCTCATTCCACCAAAGCTTGTCCATACGATTATCGTGACAGCCAGCCAAGGCACATGCTGCCTTGTAGAACTGGCCATGATGTATTACGGCCGCAGCTGCATTTTGGCCCCCAGCGGAAGCTCCGTAGCACCCAACTCTGGAGATGTCCATCCAAGGACGAGTCTTGGCAGCGGCAGTGATCCAGGCTATGCGGTCGGAAAATCCAGCGTCTTTTAGATTCTTGTAACAGACATCGTGAAATTCCTTAGACCTCCAGTTTGTGCCCATTCCATCCAAGACCACCAATATGTACCCCTGATCAGCGCGTTGCCGAAGCTTTGGAAGAGTCTGAAACGCTTTTGGAGTGTAGTAGTCTTGAGGCCCAGCATATATCTGCTCCAAAATAGGGTAACTAAGCGAAGGGTTAAAATCTGCGGGACGTAAGATGATGCCATGGATACTGGTTTCTCCATCTCTTCCAGTAGCCACGAATATATCCGGAGACACCCACCCCACCTCGAGGAGGCGGTTCAACTGACTCTGCTCTAGTTCGACCACAAGCTCCCCAGTCTGTGCCTTTCGAACTACCGTGTTGGGTGGAAAGTCAACTCTTGACCAGCTATCGAGGAGGTATTGCTTATTTGGGGACCATTTCCATGAGTGCGTGCCTTCTCCTTTCGTTACGATACTGAAATTTGACCCGTCAAATTGAACGCACGCCAGATGAGAATAGTACGGGTCCTGGCCCGGTACCATACCCAGCCCTCGAAACCAGATCACGCCTTTTTCTTCGTCAATCAGCTCAACGGATCGCACCACCCAATTTCCCTTCGTGATCTGGTTTTTCAATTTGCCGTTCTCGAGATCGTACAGATATAGATGGTTGAATCCATCTCTCTCACTCGCCCATACGATCTCACCTCTTGCTTCGAAAACCCCGTGATACAACTTGTGGTGGTAGTCAATGAAAGTGTTGCTGCTTTCCTCAACCAAGGCATTCACGCCACCACTGGAGTCAATCTCCAGTAGCCGAAGATTTTGATGGCCCCTTTCATTGAAGACGAAGCGGTACTTCTTGCCATCTTGAGACCACCCCACATTGGTCAGCGCGTAAGGATTTCTGAACAAGTTGTCATTGACTGGAATCTCTCGGCCTGAAGTCAAGTCGAACAGTCGGGGTCTATAGACGTCGACATTATCTCCTGGCTTCAGATATTCGGCCGTGCTTAATTTAGGCTGGAATTGATCTTTGGGGGTCGATTCAACCATGTGGACGACGCGCTTCGTTTGAGGCCTGCATTGCTAAACCACTGCATGCTGCCCTGTGGAGGATAGATAGATGCAGTCGTCTTTAAAGGCATTATCAACGAAGCCGCCATAGGAAATCTGACTCTCCGTTCCATCGGCATTCCTCAGCCAGACGTTGAAGTCACGCACAAAGACCTCGGGCCTTCGGGTTGAAATTGTCGTTGGTTCAGAATCTTTAGTATTAGAGCTCTCAGCCAACGTGTCCATTTCCCATCTCAAAACCAGGCGGTCAGATAACTCTTCAATGTGAGCAGTCGAAATACCGGCCTTGACAGAGAAGGAAATACTCCTGTCCGAGTCTTGAGTGGCCAATCGCCAGATATGACCGACATAAGACTGTTGTGTCTTGACTTGTCCTATAGTCAGACTCCCGAATTGGCGAGGTTCGCCCTCATTGTCAATCCACGAGAAGGTGATCGTCTTAGAGGTGTAGTTCGCGAGGCTGAGAATGATTGATTCGTGAGACCACGGTGAGGCTTTCTCTTCACAGCCAAAATCGAAGTTTCCCTGGTCGAGTTCTCCATGCCAGAACTGGAGGGTCCCATCTTGAGAGTATTGCCATGTTTGTTCGTCGAGCTGGAAGCGGATCCAGGAAGCGTCTCGCGCGACGTTGAGCCACCAAAATGGAAGATTTCGGGCATCAATACGCTGCTGGGTCAGTTTAGCAAGCTCAGTGGCGAGACCGCTGTGATCGAACGCTGCTTGACGAACTCCTTTTATACAGTCGACAAAAATGAAGCGAGATGCACCTGACGAGTTTATACTCATGTACCAAAAAGCATCTCCGTCCGGTAGCCAGTGCGGGCACACATTGGCCTGCCGTATACACTCTTCTTCCAACTCCTGAAAGTTTTGATCGGAGGCCATGACTATCAAGACTAAAATAACACCTTTTTACCATCCGCGAAACTTGGGGGGTTTTTTTCCCTTCAAGCAAAAGGTTGAGGACAGGGATACTGAAAAGTGAGTGGAAGGAGGGGCAAGTCATGTGTCGGTTCGTCTGGGTACTGCAGGCCGCATGCATGCGTGTAAGCCTTCTGAAAAGGGCTAGACACTTTCGCAACATGTGGCCAGGCATACGCGCCCTCCTTTTCCAACCCGATGCAATTGTTTAAGCAGTTGATAATAGTACAAAATTCTATCTTGAAACTATAGGCATTGCCAGCTATCTGCCTGGTGAGGATCAAGGTCGCCTCCCTGATATGTGCTTGTCAATGGCCATCGACAGTGTCGGTGGGTGTATGCAACTCCCTGGTCAACATCGTCGTTCACAAACTTGGTGCCCAGCATAACGTCGGGTGCCGTTCCGCGTTCTACCCAATCGACTACTGCCGCTAGCACATTGTGCTCCGCATCAAAGGGGATTCCTTTCGAAGCTGCGTTGCCCCCCTGACCAAGCACCCAGGCCCCCGGCCCACTGTTGCAGTGAGACATTCCCGGTACGCGGAAGTACCGGTAGAAGTTGTCCATTTGAGCTGGAGTATAATCCATAGCAGTAGATAGATGCTCGTAAAACCTCTTCGAATTGAAGCTGGTAATCTGTTGGTCCTGCAGGCCATGGAAACTCAAGATCTTACCGCCCGCCTCCTCGAAAGCAGAAAGAGAAGAGGGCCAAGTCCGTATGGTTCCAGGGTTTTTCTCGTCTGCGATAAATGCGTCTTTCGTCGTATATGTTGCGGCGTCCCAATCAGGGTTCTCGAGGACCGCGAACCTAAACCAGTCATAGGACAGAGCCCAGCGACGACCGGCATATAGACCAGTCGCAGCCTGTATCTCACTTCCTGGTTGCATTCGGGGGAAAATCAGGGTCCCATTGGGCCATAAATAGTCACTGTACACCTTATTCACAATCTCAACCTGGGTGGAGCTGAGACAATTGGTGCTACTGTTGCTCTGGCACAAGAGAGCTCCAGGCTCAAAGTGACATGCCGTTGGATCTTCGATGATGCCATCCTTCACACCATCAATCGCATCACATTGGTTCAGGACCTCATTATGGATTGTGGTATTCCAGGTGCTCGCCGAAATGAAGTCATTATCCGAGCTGGCGCCGGTAATAGGGAAGAAACTCGCTCGCCACGAGTACAAGTTGTTGAAGTCGACTGCCGGGGCACCCGCGACGATGCCGTCAAAGTCTTCGGGGAACATCTCTGCTGCTTTGATTCCCTGCCTCCCACCTAGTGAGCAGCCTATGTAGTACGACCTGCCCAGAGATGAGCCGTAGAACTCTGCTGTGAGCTTTTTGCTCACATCTACAGATGTGTGCAATCTATTCAACCGTGTTACTGAGTGCCCCATCCGACTCGGAGATTACACGTGGATAGAGATGTTCAACTTACGACCGCCAGGCAAAGTCTGTCACCACGTCGTCATTCTGGTAGAATGCATCGCCGTAAGTCCCGTTGTGTCCATTGTTCGTGCCCACCGTCGCAAACCCATTTGTCGACCCGTAAGCGATGTCCTCATACTTGATGCCTATCATTTACACATCAGTACACGTCACGCCGATTTGCCCCACAAGACAGGAATGCTGAGCTGACTTACACCCATCTATTCCGCCATTTCCTGTTGCCAGAGTCCTCCCAGTCCAGGTTTCCGGAAGCCATAGCTCAAGAGTTATACTTGACCTGCTGGAGGTTGGAATAGAGAGTGCAATACGGCATAGGTCAGTACCTACGACCTGGCTGTTGCGGTTGCAAGTAGGATCATTGTCTGGGAAGGTTAAGTTTGTACCAGCAGCAACAAACTGGAGTTGTGTTCTAGTTGAGTTTAATACGCTGGCCTCTGGTCGAAATGACAGACATTGTGCTTCAAAACTATGATCCGAAATTGCCGCAGCTTGTGCGAGAGCGGCGAAAAGTAATAACGCCAGCATTTCTTGATGTTATGTGGCCACAATCGACAATCGACAATCGACACTCGTCACGCTGCTTCGTGCCATGAACCAAATGAGTGTCAGTGTCACTAACAACGCAAGCGGAAGCTCTCGACACTGCGCGTATTTATCCGAGGTCCCGTGATAATGGGTCACTGAGGGGTAGTGGTTCGGAAATCCAGCCAGACAGTGGCAATTCCGGGTTCCCCTCACTAAGAGTCTTTCCGACGATCCAGCGCGACTATATTGGTGGATCCAAATTTGCAATACTCCGCAACATCCTGCAGGCAATAATCTCTCCCGAGGACTATGAGCCTAAACCTGTGGAACGCATTTCTAGGAAGGGAAGGAAGCGGGTATTTTGGGTAACGTCTTTCGTTGCTCAATGTTGTGCCGACTTTCCAAATACTCAATGGGGACAACTCCCATTAATTGGCCTCAGATCCAGACTTAACGTGATGCCGGCGGCGGGGCGGATGAATGACATCGCTATGCACTTCACATCCTGAAATGGGGACATTATTTTGTTCTTGCCTGTCTAAGCAGACCAGGGCGCTTGTAAACTTTCCACTACAATCTATATCTTTAACCGCTGACACTCTATGGGGTATGCATCCTCTCTATATCTAATATCTGAACTCGCTGACCCCAATACTTCTAAACTCTCAATCCAGCTGTGGATGTGTTGCCCGCAGTGCAATGTATTTCATTATCATTAGAAACCAAAAAAATGGTGAAGGGAACGTGGGTGGCCGCCATGCCTTAGACCATATCTCTATCACTTCGGCCTGTGGTAGAACGATGTGTCATAGAGCGGCCGAAAAGGCGGTGACCGGCTGGTGCTCGCTGGTTACCGGAAGTTCTACTTGTCTGCCTATCCAGTTGTGCACCCGACGCCATGGCCTGATCGGACGGGAACGGTTCCTCGGCGATGTCTGGCTGTCGGATGAATGAGGGGTTGGCCTTCCGACTCATGAACACGTCTTGGTAGAAATCCGCGTCGGACTGCGACACTCTCGAATCCGATCGTGCCCGGCGGGTTGCTGTCATCTTGGACTGGTCAACAGTAGGTTGAGTGGATTCGTATGAGGGCGGCTGAATGTTGGCTTGGTAGACAGGGAATTCGCGGCCTGAGATCTGGTACTGGCGTCGGGGTTGCTCGATGCCAATGTTGGACATCTGAGTCATCAACTCAAGACCGAACTTGTTGTGACGGGTCAATCGGAGCAGTTCGTTCTGGAAACTAGATTTGTGGAAGCAGATGAAGTTGACGGTGATGCAGTAGGCATCCTCAATCTTCTTCATCTCCGTGATGATCTTGCCAACGAAATCACGGCGGTTTTCGAGAACAAACTCAGTCATTCTAGCTTGGAGCTCCTCGATGTGCTCCTTGGGCGTTCCGTGCTTCATGCGTAGCTCGAATACATCGGCAAGCTGACCAGATCGGCGGTGATTGAGGATGAACAGAGTGTTCAACACCGAGTTCGGTGCCTGAACAATGTGACCTTCCATCTTCTTAAATTCGGTGTAGAGTAGAGAGATTTCTGTGACATAGTAGTCGTCGCCGGTTCCCAAGGCTCCCGTATTACCGTATACTGTGATACGATCACCAACGTCAAACGGATGCTTGACAAAGACGAAGATGATTGACTGAAGGAACTCTTGCGCAGTAGCCTGGAGCAACCATGAAAGACCTATGGTAATCTGTTAGCCCATATTTCATTTTGCCAGAGATTGCGATCGTAATGACTTACCCAAAACAGCAGTTCCAGCAGACGAGAGAGCTGCAGCCGCTGAAGCCGACAATATCGAGATGAAGACAATGACAGTGATAATAAGTACCACTACCATGAAGACATGATCAAGCTTCCGAATCACAGAGTCCAAATCCTTGACAGAAGCAGCAATAGCCTTCTTTTCACGATGAACCTCGTCACAGAATGCCTCCAGTTCTTCCATGGAAACATCGCCGTTCAAGTCACGGTCGAAGATGCCAAACGCATTCTCAGCATCTTCCTGCGAAGGAAATGCTGGGCTGAGATCTTCGGGAGTCAGGACATCGGAGCCAGGCTTCGCGTAAGTGCGGAAAAGACGTCTAGCCAGGACTTGAGCTGAGCTAGTATTGCGCAGCAGCTCCGACACAACCTTGCGAGGGTGGTTGCTCAGTCGGACCTCACGTCCCGTGAAGTCACCAGCGACTCGGTTAGCCACATCTCCAACCCTAGTGAAAGCCTGGCGCGCGTTGGTCTGCAATAACTTCATGGGTGTCTTGTTGCCCGACACTCCACCTCCGGGGCTGTTCTTGACCGACTCTTCGGGCACGAGGTTATCCCTAGAGTGGACAAACAAATGCACAAGATACGCAATGCTCTGCTTGTTCATCTCAATCCTAATGGCGTATGTACGCAGATGGAATGCGTTCGCAATCCATTGGATGATGATCTTCTCCACAAAGTTCAGCACCGCCAAGATGAAAAGAGCGATGATCACGTTGTGCATGGTGTTGATCCAGCTAACGTCGGGGAAGGGGTCATCACCTCCGGCGGAGACCTTGTGACTGCTCTCGTTGATGATGGGCAGGAAGGAAATGAGGACCGCGAGCATCCACAGGAACAGAGCAGTAGGGAGTTCAAGCGAATGTCCCATGGACTTCCATTTCTTCGGGTTGCCAGATCCGACGATCTTAGCACCAATTCCTGCAATGAATGGAAGGATGGCCGTGACAATGCGGGCGGCCCAGAGGGATAGCCACACAACTTCCAACCAGATACCAAACCACAAGAGCTGGGGCCCGCCGGTTCCGCCGACTGGAGTCGAGTGGCGCGAGTCCACGAAGATGCCGAGAAAGATGGGAATCAGCAGGATCGCCGTGATGGGCAACATGTACATGAAATACCGCAAGAAGCGAGGCATCTTCTTGAGATATTTGAAGGCAGCATTGAGCCTGCTTGTCGGCTCAGTGCGAGGTGGAGTCAGCGTGACGCCGTGGTTGGGCTGGTTGAAGACATCCTCCTGGATCGGGTGCTCTCCCCTAGAGCGAACCTTGGATACGGATCGCCTAAGCTCCTCTTCCTCGTTGCTGACCATGCGCTGGACCTGAAGCATCGTCAGATCGTCAACCAAACGAGTAGCGTGTTCGCGGTCGTGGGTTTCTGAAGTTGGCGAGAGATACTGGCCCGATCGCCCGTCTGAGGCTCGGTCCATGCTGTCCCGCTGCAAATTCAAGCGCAAGTTGACGGGCTGCTTCTCCTTTTCGTTCATGTGCTCTGCAGTATCCGACACAGTCGGGGCATGGGTGAGGGTGGGCGAACCATCCTTCTCCGGGTCGTGCGAGCCTGTTTGCGTCATCCTGTTGGACTCAAAGGACCCCGTCCGGACGGGTGTAGACATGCTCGTTGTGGTGTCTCCCTTCCTGCAGAATCTTGCAGCTCACTCGCCTGGAGTAATCTACAGCGTGGTGAGAAAGAATTCCCCGGTCGGAGCTGGTGTTGTTTGATTCAAGACGATAGGAGGGTAAACCAGAAAACTGCAAGGTAGGAACATAAGAAACGACAGTCGAAAGATGTAAAGCGAGTGTAGATCCCCGGGAATCCTGACAAGTCCCTGAGAGAGCTCAGAGAAATAGTTCTAGAAACAATGGAGAGGAAAGATGGAGAAGACAGAGTCTCGATTGTTCGAAAAGAGACCAGAGAGAGAGAGAGAGAGATCAATCCTCCAGATCTGGGCTGCGCATTCCCAGTGTCGATTATCAGCAAATGCAACACTCAGGAGCTCCCATCCCCGTTCGATCCAAGATGACGCGCCGGACGGCCCACAGTTCGCTCAAATTTTTGATAGGCGCTGCGGGTGGGGGTCCCAGCAAGCCCAGGGCGCTCGGCAGTGGAGTCCCTGGAGACCGCCAAGCCAGGCCAATGCAAGCCACGCAGCACGGCTCGTCCACAGCAGCATTGAAGATGAATCGCCAGACGCTCGGGGGTACTGTGCGACGGTGTACAGTGCCTGGTCAGAGTTGCCCCCGCTGCAACGAATACTGTGGCCAACGGGGCATCCATGGATCTCGGACAGGCACCGGTTGACGTTGACGCTGCTGGCAGATGGCAGGCTAAGCAGGTTATAACGTGGCATCCAATACGCGCGTTGCTTTGGACACTTTTCCTACTGCTATTTGGCCTACCGCAATGAGGGAACGTCAGCGCATGCAGACGAGCGATCCTTCCCTCGACTCTGGGCCGATCCTGTTATCCTATGCCACCCCCGAAGCCCCCAAAGCCTATTAGCTTCGTGTGTGTAGAGGATCGCGCCATCAAGTATCAAAATCTCACCCACTACGTATTGAAATAATCATCTTGCCAGCCATTCAGCCACCTGAAAAGGGAAGATTCACCAGTAGTAGTCGACACGCCCTAGGAATAATTCGAGGTGATGTGATGTGCCGTTGTCGAGGTGTTGGGATATATATCGACTTGGACGCCTTGACGAACCCGAGAAACCGGTTCGACTAAGTTCCTAACTTACAAGTCTGTCTTATCGATCGGGCCAGGGTATCGTGTGTTCATCACCCGGTTCGCTGTTCCCGCCTAGCCGTCCCTTACTTACCAAGCCTACTATCGTAGAGTAGTGAAGACAATTACAGGCCTGATCCTGTCGAATTGCTCATGCGAGGTTGACCCCTATCATGGTCCCGTACTATGTACACGGTGCCACTGCCACGTCTGCGTCGCCGCTGCACGAGGCGGGTCAGGGTCCACGTCAAAAGACTGTCTCACCCATGCTGAGTGCGCACTGTATACTACCGAACTACTGATTGAGTTGCTCACTGGACGCTAATGAGTCGTTGCGATCGTTTGCCCGTGTCAGACAAGAGAAGACTGAGACGGGTTACTGGCAAGGACCCTGCTTCTCTCTGTCCTTCGGGACACGAGGGACTACCCGTTCCGGCAGAACGACCTCGACACAGCATCTCGAGCAAGGACCAAGCGCATCTTGTTCCGGTCCACAAGCATCGCAATACGAAAGATCGGCAACACAAGCTTGGACACTTGGCAAAATGCTTCTTTCCTCCCAAATCAAGGATGCAGACAATTGCCCTCTACTTCGAAACGGAATATCGTCCGAATTCCAGAGTGAGAGCTGTGGCCGAGAAACGGGTTAGCGGAAACGTCTGAAGTGGTATGGTCGGGCTGAGAACGAGCTGAGCTACGCCGCGATCGCCCCACGAGGCTTCGCAGCCGAACACGATATCGCCGTCCTGGCTGACGTCACTTGTCTAAACCACGCGCTGTTGGCACATTCTGATGATTTCGGACTTTTGCGCGGCGTCCTGGCATGTGGGTGATGAGAATGTCTTGCTACTGCAGGTGCCAACCCCCGATTGCCCAGGGTTTCTCAGAACGACGGTCGGTCTCACGAAACACCCTTCCAGTGCCAACTTGTTCGGTAGTCGTCTCAACATGCGACCCACTGCACAATCGTACATATCTCCAGGCTATCCGTGGACCCAAACGGCGGCAATGCTTGCGGGGTTAATCGAGATGTGTAAGAGTATCCATAAAATTGGAATCTGACAGGTCAGCAGTCACGCAATCCTTCCAGAGAAACACCAAGCCAGCAAGCCCGTTTGTCCTTGACGGGGTTCGTGAGACCACATCTGCATCGTGATATATAGTATCATTACACAGTAAATTCTCGACCAGACACTGGTGTTTGATCAAGATGAGCACGGAGCCGACGATGATCCCCCAAATAAACCGGGTCCGGTCTGTTTCAATCGTTGTGCCTTGCAAGGCCTTGACAGGCTTGTGGCGCTTGACCCCTGGCAAAGTGCTCCCGTCCCGTTTTCTTAAGAACGCCACCAAATGGTGCTAACCTGCCATGGCGGCCAACCAATCCGACCGCCCCATCACATGCTTGCGATAACCAATCTTCGCTGGAATTTGTAGGGTCCTGCCAACCTGCTTATGGTTCGCGAGATGTTTCGTTCAGCGGCTGGTCCATCTGTCCGCAAAATCCGGTAATACTTCCCTGGCGCTAGCGACACCCGAGAGGCTGTGCCGGGTCGCTGGGACGTCGCCTGAAGCCCTCATCTCGGTTGTACCATGGTAAGGAGAGCTCCGCTGCGTTTAAGCATTGCCGTGGGCAAAACAAGTTCTAGACCCTGAGAATCGAGGCTGCGGCCCGCCAAAGCTCCAGTTGATTTCGCAATGCCTACACCGTAGCTATTTTTACCGTTCGCAACGGGTCGCCGGTGCTGTGTTGATCAATAGCAACCGTTCAACTGCTCTATGTCTGGGTCTCCGATGTTGATCAAAATAATCTGCAGCGGGGCCCTAGTATCGGAAGCGAGTTGTCTGCCATTGACAAGCTTCACTGTGGAACAGGACAGGCCAGTATATTGGCACGAGTCGAAGCGAAAAAGCCAATCAAATTACACTCGCCCATATACAATTAACGTTTCGCATCAATTGCACGGAATCTACAGTACACCAAACCACACTGGGCTCCAGTACAACCGCACGTCGCATATGCTTGCTTATGTATGTGGAAGCTGTACTTGCAGTGTCGATGTTCAGTGCCAAAGTGCACCGTGATGATGATAGAAAAGGGGGTGTCCTTCAGGGTACTTCATGCATTAACGCTAGGAAACGAACCAAGCGCGGTTTGCAAACCTCAGCAAGATTGCCAGAGTCCAGGCTAATCGGAATGACTGGAATATCATTCATATACTCTGTTTGCTACGGAAGAACAGTCATAACAACATGATATTTGAACTTTAAGCTCTGATTGTCTGGCCACTCTTTCGGACAATAGTCAACACTTCTCAGGTCTAATGGACCTTGCAAGTGTTGTTCATGCTCCTAAAGCTGAATGCTGAGTTAACACCTGATTATGCACCCGTCAGCAAGGCTAATGCTCCATGCCGTATAAAATCATTGGCCGTGATTCGTTCACCTCGGTGTCTGACACCACACATTCTCTCACTCCTCCCCGCTGGAGCTGTCTGAGTAATACTGGAACTCAGCAGGAACTGGAGGTCCCTGCGCCGACGACTTAACATCCGGGTCTGCCTCAAGCGCCAAGGCCTCTGCCTTTGTGATTTCTGGCTGATTGTGCCTATCAACGCTGGCATCAATCTCCCGGAGAACCTCAGAACTTGCATCGTCTCTCAGCAGCTGTGTCATCCGCTGAGCCCACTCCCAGGGCTTCTCTTTGCCGCCCGGAGAGCTGTTGAAATATTCCCATCCCATGACACCGCCAAAGTTGGCAAATCGTTGTTTCAGCAAGGTGAGATTCCGGCCGAGTATTTGCCAAGGCACCCAACCCGGGCCGTTCTCCGGTGTCGTGACAAGTCCCATCACCACTTTCTCCGGGCTCCATCCCTTACCAATGCACATTTCGTACATCAAAGGATTGCTGGCGTCGCCCCAGCCGCAGTAGAACTGCGCGTTGTACCACGCGATCTCCTTGCCCCGCATCACCTCCAGCGCCTCGTAGTCGAAGCCGCTGAGGTTCCGCCGAGGGTCCAGGAGCGCAGCGGCGACCGGCGCCAGGGTGATGAGGAAGTGAGGACCGAAATCTGCACGGAGCCTGTCTATCAGTCGAATGACCCCTCCTAGAGACATGTGCTCCTCGACATCAAGATCAAGGCCGTTCAGCCCCCTTTCTCGTATGAGGTTGTGGACTGGGCCGTAGTACTCCTCGAACGTGGCTTCATCTCCGTCGAGCCGCGCGTAGGAGCCCTTTGCGGCGCCGCCTAGCATTCCCAACACCATTACACCACTGGCCTGGGCTATGCGCAGTTCTGCCCACAGCGTGGCGAACCGGGGATCCGAGGGGTGGTGGTCATTGAGTGTTATCGCACTGGGGTCTTCATTGATATGTATTGCCGCAACGATTAGGTGCGTCACAGCGATGTCGGACCGCGTGATCAGAGGTAAAATCGAGATTGGCTTTCCCTCTGGGTCGTTGACGGTCTGGTGGTATAAGATGATCCGCGGAAGGGAGCCCCGAGGTATAGGTGCCATAGTGCCGGTCCGGCAATCGGCAATGTGTCTCGTTTGTTTGTTACCTCGTGACTTTGCGGACGCTTGCAGACGAGGAACGGCAAGACTGTTGAATTAGTGGTTTGATCTCATGCAAAAATGGGCGTCATGCTTAGTGAAGTAGTCTCATATGAAGCCTGTGCCTCATTGGTTGTGTAAACGTAAAGCAGATATGGCTGCAAAATTGAACGTCTTCGAAGCGACTTGTCCAAATGCTACATGCACGAAGCCTGTTCGTAGGCGAGCGCTGACAGGTTGAGGTGCCGCGTAGCGCGCAAGCGGCCGAGCGGCAGTCACAGTCTGGCCCGAATGGGGCGGCCGGTCCTGGCCAATGAGCGCTAATGTTAGGGGAGATTTTCGGCGTCCCAGCCTGGGGAAGGCTAACATTTGTAGCTCATCGACGGGTTTTCGCGTCTTGCGCGAGATTGCGCCTCACGTCTTTTTCAATTGGGAGAATCTCTCCAGGGCTTCTCAAGTCTGGCGGCCAGTGGGTTCTTCTGCATTTGACGTTGGACTCGAGGCTCAGGCGGCTCCTGTGCTCATGAAGCTGACGTCATGAAGTTCGCGAAGGAGCTGGATCGAGACCTCGTTCCAGGTGAGTTTGATATCCGTGCTCAGAGAACTGGGTGCCCACGCGCGCGGTAGGAGCCTTGCTGATTGATTACAGGTGAGATGATGATTCGTTTTTCTTGCTACCGTGCTGCTGTTGAGACAACTCGTCTCCTTTCGGGGCTTCATTTCTCATGCGCCTGGCCGATTGCGCTGTGTACCCTTCGGTTCCACGTGCAATCGAGAAGGACGTTGAAACCTACGCCGAAACTCTATATGCGCAATCACTGACGTGACAATTCTCTTTAGAATGGAAGATCAAGTATCTCAATTACAAGGCAGGAAAGAAATATGTCAAAGCTGTATCTCGAGCCATAACTAGGGCAAACGGGACGCCTGCCTTGGGTAGAAAACCCGAACTGCCACCCCGTGCTACCCCAATTAGTCTGACGACACCTCAAACAACGAGGCGTCAAGATGGAGGCTCTCGTTCTGATGGCTCAGCTGGGACAAATCCGCTGAGCACCAGCCCTCCCCCAATGGGTCGGTATCGGACCACAACAGCCTCAGGAAGAACAGCGGAGCAACAAACCCCCAGGACAGAGGCAGCGACTATTCCCGTGCCCATCAGACCGGAGCGTCAATCTCTAGCTCGATCGCCTGGAAATGGAGGGAATTATGGTAGTTTCGTTCCCACTCCTCCTGCGCCATCTCCTTTGACCACCACTGGGAGTCGGCATACATTTGAGCTACCCGACCCGGCCATTCGCGTTCCATCGAATACGAGTGAGCCTGGTCTACCCCCGCCGGCAACAGAACTTAATCCGTCTCTCGGAAGGCTGGCTTTACAGCGAAGTGTGTCTATGACTCCCTCCATGCCGGGTCTCGGGCAATCTTCTACTCTGCCACGGCCAAGCCCAATGAGAGCCGGCAGCTCTTCAAGCCGACTGCGCCGCATGTTCTCCCACGGCCAGTCTCCTCTGAGGCAAGACACCGTCAAATCTGACTACGGCATGCAAGCTCTAGATAGCGTTCGTCAACGGGAGAAAGAGTTCTTCGATTTCCTTGATGGGGAGCTCGATAAAGTGGAAACGTTCTACAAGCAGAAAGAAGAGCAGTCTGCTCAGCGATTGGGTGTGCTGAGGGACCAGCTCCATGAGATGCGTAACAGGCGTGCGGAGGAACTTGCCGAGGCGCGAAGGCGGAAAGAAGGGGAGAACCAAGAAGACCACCATGCCAATGGGTTCATCCGCAGCCGTGAAGGTTCTCAAGCTTGGATTGACCCGATCAAATCCAAGATCTTCAAACCTGGACCCAACTCAAAGGCGCTGCTTAAGATGGCAAGAACGCCTGTGCTGGGGGCCATGTCCGATGAGCGGCGCGACTATATCAGACGGCCGCATGATCACGAAGTCCCTTACAGGACCGCAAAGCGCAAATTGAAACTCGCGCTCCAGGAGTTCTACAGAGGCCTTGAGCTCTTGAAGTCTTATACACTCCTCAACCGTACAGCGTTCAGGAAACTGAACAAGAAGTACGATAAAGCTGTCAACGCTCGGCCGCCTTATCGCTACATGAACGAGAAGGTGAACAAGGCTTGGTTTGTCAACAGTGATATCATTGATGGGCATATCAAGGCAGTGGAAGACCTGTATGCCCGTTACTTTGAAAAGGGCAACCACAAGATCGCTGCTGGAAAGCTTCGTCGCTTAACCCGCAAACCCACCGATGAGTCCGGGAGCACGTTCCTGACTGGTCTCTTCATCGGCACGGGTAGCGTCTTCGCGTTTCAGGGTATGGTTTATGGTGCGGAACTTCTGTTCGACGAAGATCCCCTGGTGCGACAGCAGACCAGCTACTTGATGCAAATCTATGGGGGCTACTTCCTCATGCTCTTTCTCTTCTCCCTTTTCTGCGTCGACTGTTTTCTATGGACCTCGAACAAAGTCAACTATCCGTTCATCTTCGAATTCGACCCGCGGCATCATCTGGACTGGAGGCAACTCTCGCAATTCCCAAGCTTCTGTCTGCTTCTCTTCGGACTGTTCATATGGCTCAACTTTACTCGATACGGCACACCTGAGATGTACCTGTACTATCCCGTCATACTGATTTTCTTGACATTGGTGCTCATCCTGCTCCCTTTCCCCATCTTGGGGCATCGAAGCCGGAAGTGGTTTGCATATTCGCACTACCGCTTGTTCTTTGCCGGTCTATATCCTGTCGAGTTCCGGGACTTCTTCCTTGGTGATATATATTGCTCTTTGACATACGCCATGTCGGTAAGCGCTAGCTCCTTTGAACAGCCCTGCCCTCTAGCTGATCATGTCATAGAATATTGAGCTCTTCTTCTGCCTATATGCCCACTATTGGAACTATCCCGACCAGTGCAACTCGAATCACTCACGACTTCTCGGGTTCTTCTCTGCCTTGCCTCCCATCTGGCGCGCGTTGCAGTGTGTTCGGCGTTACCTCGATACGAGAAACATCTTCCCTCATCTGGTCAACTGCGGCAAGTACTGTATGACGATTCTGGCTGCCGTCACGCTGTCCCTTTACCGCATTGAAGGGTCAAACGCCACCCTCGCCCTGTTCGCCACGTTCTCAGTGGTCAACTCAATCTACTGCTCGATCTGGGACTTGCTGATGGATTTCTCTCTCCTCCAACCCGACTCACGTCACCGGTTCCTCCGAGATATCCTTGCACTCAAGCGTCGCTGGCTTTACTATGTCATCATGGTCATTGACCCCATCCTACGTTTCGCTTGGATATTCTACGCAATCTTCACGTTTGACAAGCAGCATAGCACCATTGCCTCGTTCATGATTGCCTTCGCCGAAGTGACTCGTCGTGGCATGTGGGCCCTGATCCGAGTGGAAAACGAGCACTGCGCCAACGTCGCCCAGTACAAGGCCAGCCGCGATGTCCCGCTCCCGTACAAACTTGACCTCGAACCCCTGGTTGAGCGGGCTAGTGAGGACCGAAGCCAATCCAGCAGGGCTTCAGCCGAGGCCACGGCTAGCGCAGTCGATCCTGGAAGGGCCGGCGCAGCGGCCCGCACAGGTACAGAACCCGATGCGGCCTCTCCTGCACCAGCAGCGGATGAGGGTGGACTTCGTCGCAGGAGGAAGTCGGAAGTTGTGCGGAGCGGTGGCGAGACAATCCGAAGAAAGATGGCGGAGGCCCACAAGCAGGACTTTGAGAAGAAGAGAAGGCCAGCCGAGCCCCCTAAGGAGGATGAGCAGGATCCAGAAGATGACTTGCGGAGCGACGAGGACGACGACGACGATGATGACTCTGCGAGCGTACTTGATGAGCGGATGGAGCTTCGCCAAGCTGAACATTTGGTCAGAAGCACGAATAGTGACAGCGACGACTAGGATAACTAGGATCTGCGGGTTTAGGATATAATCTTCTTCTTCTGTATGTTGTGGCACCATGATGGAACATATTCACCGACCGGAAGCGTCGTTACAAAGTAGCACCCAAATTTGAAGCATGATGGATTGGATAGCAATTCATAAATCAAAGCGCATTCCTGAGTAATTCCCCCGATCGTATCTGATGAGAAACGCCATTCCTTGAACGCCAACCATGGCTAATCAGGTGAGACCAAGAGATATAATGTCACGCAACAAGATGCCAAACACCGAGACTCGTCTAACACCTGAACACCCCTCAAGTTCCCCAAGTCTCTAGGACAAATCAAACCAGGCAAGTCCTATGCGATATATACTGAAAGGGGAGCCTTGGTGCCGTGCTCTCCTCACCTGGCACCAAATGCCCGGTCCAATTCGGCTCCGTGGTCGACGGCCATCTCGCTAGCGCCCTCCCGGTCCGCGATGCTCATCTCGGCGAACTGGCCAGCCACGCCGGTACCCGCAGCAGCACTAAACTCACCGGCATAGGCGGCGCTGTTCTCGTCGTCCAGCTCGCCGCCCGCGGCCCGGCGCTCGGGCTCCAGCAGGCGGGCCTCGCTGTCGAGCCAGCCGGGGGCGACGCGGCGCTTCTCGGCCAGCTCGCGGGCGCGGATGCGGTCGTCGAGCTCGCGCAGCTCGCGCTCGGCGTCCTCCTGCATCTTGGCCACGTGGCCCTGCAGCGCGCGGCAGCTGGCGACGATGTCGTCCGGGTGCGCGGCGTGGCCCGAGGCCGAGACGACGTAGCGCGGCTTCGCCGACGGGTCGTCGCCGCCGGCGCTGCTGCTGTTGCTCGTGCCCGTGATCCCCGTGCTCGAGGGCGGCAGCGTCGACGGCATCGCCTTGTACGTGTACGGGAGCGTCGCTGCGGTCGGTAGCGAGACGAACGGCGACACGGTCAGCGGCACCTGGGCCAGGAGCGGATGGGTGCCTGTCGTGTAAGAGCGTGGTTAGCTGTACGGTTGGAGTGGGTTGAGACGGAGGGCGCAGTACGATCGTTATGCATTATGTTGCCGGCTCGAAGTTTGGACGGCAGGTTATCATTCAGCTTCGGTCATTTCTCTCCACAGCCCCTACGACAGACTCAGCGACTCAAAATCAAGTCCCAGAAGTTTGATGTGGTGGTGACACAGTGATGTGATGTCTCGGGCGTTGTGCCAGTCAGACCGACTCTGGCCGGGGGCAGCTGGCTGTCTGGGTCCTCTTATCACGATAAGAGGGAGCCCCGCGGTCACAGCCGCCTGTGGATAGGTAGGTAACTTTTTGGGTACGCAGATCCAGCGTGGGGTTGGCGAGGCTGTTGCTGTGTCAGTGAATGAATAGCCTCGCTGCGTTCCGCCAAAACACCCACCTGACCCCAATCAAGTTCGCCGTCGTGAAGCTTGGTGATTACTAGACGACCTGTGCGCACTTGTGAGATATCGACATGCTCTCTACGGTCATCAAAAGCTGCCCGTCGGCAGACAACGACTTCCAGCCCCTTAGCGAATATCAGGCTCAGACGCCCGAGACCTTCTATGGGGAGAAGCCGGTTCTCTACTTTCACGATGCCAACGTCAAGGCCTGGTGCTCGATAGAGCAGTCCACAGAGCTGCAATTCTTCGCCGCGGAGGGCAGCGACCAGCCTGGAGAGCCAACCTCGCCGGAAAACACTGCGTTGGAGAACACCGGCAAGCACCTGCGCGAAGCAAGAGTCGAGGTCTTCGTCGCATCTCAGTAAGTCCAGCCTCGTTCCCACTCAGCGCATCGCACGCTGTGTGCTAATCACACGCACAGCAAACTCATCATATTCTCTCACAAGAATGAGACGGGCATCGAGATTCCGTACCCTGCAATCTCATTACATGCCGTCAAGAACTTCAAGCATCTAGAGCACCCTGATGACCCCATATACAAGTTCATCGGCGTCTACATGCAGCTGGAGTTCTCCGATGGAGGCGACGACGATGATTCGTATGACCCCATCGAGCTCACACTGGTGCCCAGCGCCCCTGCCACGACGGAGCCTGCGACGGTAGACCCGCTGAATGCGGAGCGGGCCTCTGCACTGTTCAACCAGATCTCTGCTTGCCAGAACTTGCATCCCGATCCCGCGGATGAGGACGAGGACGAGGAGGAAGATGGTACAGACCGCATAATCTTCGAGGGCGAGGCTCTTGAGGGTTTGCCCGGCGCTTTCCAGGGCGAGGCGAATGGCGGTCTACCTCCCCCCATGCCAGGCAGCTCGGGATGGATTACCGCGGACAATGTACACGAGTATTTCGATGCCGATGGCAACTGGATTGGTGAAGATGGCGTCAGCGGCGAATTGGGCGAAGGCGCTGGCCGAGTTCGAGGCAGAGATGAGGTTGAAGGTGAAGGAGAGGGTGTGAACGGCAAAGAGGCTGACGGCGATGCTGAAATCAAGCGTCCTCGCACAGAATAGTAGAAGGCATCATGGACTTGGACAGCGCATTATACACAGGAGAGAAGAAAAAGGCAAGACTTTTAGGGCAGGGTGCTGTAAGTGAATGTTAGTGTTGGTCGGTCTCGTTGATCTTGGGCCTTGGACTAATATTGTTTCCAGATGGCAAGTTTGGTCTCCCCGTAAAGCAGATCGAAGGGCTCACGATTACGTGACACTGCCTCAGCCCCTTTTGTATGGAAAAATGCAAATTCAACCCAACAATTTGAAACATGTTTCGTGTCTTTCCAGACTCAACCAAGCCGACGTGGTGGTGTGCTAGAGACGCAATTGAATGCCGTTGTGCTGAAACTTTTCAAGTCAGGATGTAGCGTGTGTGATAGGCGTACCCGCTGATTCCATCGTAACGAAGGCTATAATCAATGCACACCAGCTAATAACTAGGCTTCCTTATCAGCTACGATCAGCCCGTCATTTGTGCTTATTGGTACCCTTCCCCCAATTGCCCTGGAGCCGAGCTCTGGTGAAGCTGACAAGGTGTCTTTACTGCGCTCACTTGACGAAACTGCCCACTTCGTGAAAACTACAAGCAGAGAAGTGATGTTGTGTTGCAACTTTGAGGATTGAATCGTAGAACTAAGAATGTCTTTCTTGACTGCCTGGACCGCTCTCCCGACGTCCTGCTGGCACAGCAGTGCGGCCACACTTTCTCAAAGCAAGAAGCACCTCTTCGGAATCACCTTAGCCCGTTCTAGCCATGTACGCCTGCAAGTGCCTCGTAGTCAAAGCCATACATTCCATGTCGTCCAATCGTTTCTATAGCAGGTCTTCGCTTCCTCGACTCGACCAGAGCCGAGTACTAGTCCCTTGCGCCGCGTAGAGGCGACTGCTGTGCTCGGGTAATATTTTTAGATTTTTTCTTTTTTTTTCTTTGAAATTTTGTCGTGCCCCTCGTTCAATCGAGTATTTGTTGGGATCCCGCATCGAACCGGCACTGGGCGCGTCTTAAGTCAAAGACGGATTGCCCAGCGTTCACGATCCCGCGGAGATCTCTCTGATACTCGCGACCGTCCGAACCGGTGTGTCACCATGTTCGATCGTTGCACCAATTATTTCGACCGTCGGACAACTTGATCCGGTCCAGAGACCTTGCCGGCCGGGGTGGGAGCTTTGGCGTCATCTGAGACCGTACATTCTTGTCAAGTTGCCCCGTGACAAATCACGAATTGAGTGGCGAGGCGAGTCTCCTGCATCTGTGCAGCACCTTCCGCATCAGCACCACCCCCTATTTTATGCAGTTGCTGTAGGCATGTTAGATTTGATCCTAGGCTGTATCTCGGGTCAGGTGAGGAACGTGACATACCCAGCCCATCCTGGCGGGCTCTCTCGGTTCGTGATAAGAGTATGTGAGGATTGCAATTGACCACAACGTAGAAACTTAACGTAGTGGGACGACGTATAAGCGCAAAGGAGAAACCTAGTGTAGCTGTGAGTCTGGTTTGGTTCGGTTCAGATGCGAGTGAAGGCTGGGGGGTTGATTGCTGATTTATAAATGCAGCTGGCTCGGTGAGCTGGGCTTCTTCCCAGGGTTACTGCGCGGGGCAATTTAGTTGGCTACCTTAGCGGGCATTGGTTGTTTGGCAGCACAGCCTCGCTTGGTCAAATCTCACTGCAGCCACGCCGCCAGATCCCACCACAAGGAGGCTTAGTGCATGCATTCAGACGCACCATGTCCTCATTCTCTGGGCTTAGACCGAAAATCTCCATGTCAGCTTGGTAAGCTACGGCTCAATAGATCAATAGTGGCTGCACTGCCGGAGGTAGGCAGCTGAAGATTCATGTTTCAGGAGGAAGTGCGAACTACGGGATGCGTATCCCATTGGCCCTGCTGTGATATTCCCCGATGTCACTAGGACTCCTTGAGAAATTATGTTTCCAACATTTGCTGACTGGAACAAGCTCCCACACCAATAATTTGGCTTATATCCCACGAAAAAGCCCCACAGATCGTTGAACTGGCAGGGGTGACGAGGCCAGGCAGCCGTGGACACCTCCCGCACACCGATTGATAAACATCCCACTGGAGACTTCTGACGCCGCATCGGAAACCTGCGCGCATAGAGGCTCTTCAGCCGGTGCGGCAGACGGTGCGCCTGCGCGCGGCACCAAACCCACGATGGCAGAGGGTCAGCAAGTTGCGAGGAAGCGGAGGCATCAGGAGCATATGAAGCTGAAGCGCAGAGCTGACAGGCAACGAGAGGCGGAACAGAACCAAACGTTCGAGGCAAGATCGTGTCACTGTGCAACCCTTTGCTCTGCTACGAAGACAGATTTCTGCAAGCTCTATGAGGCAGTCCCGTTTCCGGTGACCACTGACCCTTTGAAGCCGTGGGAATCATCGATTCGTCTGATCAGGCTGAAAGCCGGTGGAGAGGGCGATACTATTGAGTGCGATCTCTTCCACGCATCCTTGGACGGCAGCCACCAGTTCATCGCCCTATCATATGTGTGGGGGGACTACGACGACAGGATCACAATTTGCGTGAATGGGCGGGCTGTCAACATAACTAGACACTTACATACGGCCTTGGTTCACTTGCGCAACAGGTCATCGGATACCACCTTGTGGGTTGACGCAATATGCATCGATCAGGGAAACCTTTGCGAAAGGAATTCTCAGGTTCAACACATGCCAGAAGTCTACAGCGTTGCTGCAGAGGTAATTGCTTGGCTTGGAGAAGAAGCAGATGGAAGTGGCCAGGTCATTGACTATATCAATAGCCATGCCAAAGGTGCAAGCGGAGTTTCACGCCAACATGAACCCCCACCTGCTGCTCAGCTTGAGTATCTTTGGTCCAGGCCCTACTGGGGTCGTGTTTGGGTCGTGCAAGAATTGGCATCAGCTTATAGGTCAAACGGCAGATGCTACATGAGATGCGGTCATCGATCCGTGTCGTTCGAGCAATTCCGATATTTCCTGGGTGAATATCTCGCCAACCATATCTACACTCAAGGCGACAGCGTTCTCGGCCCGAAACATCTGACCAACCTTAGTATAGCACATGGGGAGAAGTCCTTCTTGGAAATATTGTCCGAGTCGGCCTTCTTAGCGTCTACGGACCCGAGGGATAGAATTTACGGCATCAGGGGCATCTCACCTGAGTTCTACCGCAGCAAAATTCCAGTGGATTACCAGATCAGTTTTCACGAACTATGCCGGAGGGTCATCTTCGAATACATCAAGAAAGAGAAAAACCTTGACATCTTGTGCCAATTTAAGGGGTTTCCACGTAACGACCATTGCCCATCCTGGGTGCGCGACTTAAGCAGCTATAACCGTGGAGTATCCCTAACAATTCATTCCGCGTCTGCTGGAAGCCAACCTAATCCAACCATTTCCGACAATATTTTGCATATCAACGGTAGATTAATTGGTAGAGCCAACCTTCTGAGAGGCCCCTACAAGTTCCCCACTGCACTGCAAACTGGTCAGCCCTGGCCGGAGATGCCGAATCTACGGAAGGTGGAAGCCTTTGCCTTAGCAGCCTTGAGCAAGCGACACAATAATTCGACACCCGGGGACCTCCAGGGTCGATTCATGAACCTAGTTTCCGGGGACAGGTGGCGAGGCGCTGCCATCCATGGCACCAAAGTTCCCCACCCACCGCGAGAAGTATGGGATGCTGTCAACCAGTACAAAAACTCCTCACAAGTGGATGAACAGACACATATGAGGTATAAGTACTTTCCCTTTCTCTTCAGCCCCTTAATCGGTCGAACACTTTTCGATACGGTCGGTGGTAGCGTTGGTGTTGGTCCACCGAATATGCAGAAAGATGACATAATATGCGTCCTACATGGGTGCAGCTACTGCGCTGTGTTACGCAAGGTGAAGAAACAGCATTACACATTCATAGGGCCGGCGTATGTTGACGGCGCTATGAGCGGCGAGTACATTCGGCAAGAATATGATGATGAAGGAAGACCGAATCTGGAAGTGCAGTTTCACATACATTAAACAGTGAAATACAACAATGGATTGGAGGTCTAAGGGTGCAATCAGATCTCCCATGCAGCTTGATAGCTTATATCTGGTGTGTATATGAAATATTTACCACTATAGCTTGGGGCACTTTCGACTATCTTCTGGCAGACTCATGTTGTCACTTGAGGTTCTGTAGAGGTTGAGGGTCAGCTTGAATCACCAGCGCAGCAATCACCTCATCATATCATTTGGAGCAATCGAGGTCACATAGAATTACGGCACTGGGACTTTCAGGACCCCTTTAACTCTTTGCAGCTGTCTTTCTTGTAATAATATATCGTTCGGAAGACTTACCAACAAACCTTGGCGCAAGTACTAAGGAAGCAACATCGGAAGGCATCCTGAGGGTATGAGAACTTCTGTAGCACAACTAATAGTTCTCGACAGAAACTACCCAGCGCACGTTCACAAAAGTGAGATAAATCAGATATTTGAATACAAAGCAAGCGCACAAAAGGTAGACCTAAGAAATGAACCTCCAAAGCCCGAATACAAGAGAAGCGAATCCCCGAACAGTCATAGAAATGAAACTTGTAGCGCCATCATCCCGACACTCACGTCAGACCCTAGCCTTCCGTTCTAACTCCCTCATTTTCTCTATTCCCACCGAATAACCTTTGATGGATTGGTGAGACTTCGTTTCCCGTTGCGGTGTACCATTGCTGGCCCCCCATTCCCGTCGGTATCAAAGCAGTCTTCGGTGACGCCATTGCCGCACAAGGGGGTGACCTCATGGGTTTCCATGTTGCAGTGCATGCCTTCCTCCTTGGAGACAAAGTCGGGGCCCCAGCTGGTCTCAGACTCGCAAACCTCCGTCGCGTTGTGTGATAAGCCGGAACTGATCACGAGGCGATCGTCTGAGCGCTGGGACAGCCTGGGGCCGCGCTTCTTCTTCTTGGCTGGCAGCATCTGCTTGTCTCCCTCGTTGGCCCAGGCCCGGAAGCCTTTGCCGCAGGAGCTTTTGCCGTTGCCCTTGGGAATGTCGTCACCAGACTTGTGGTAAAAGTCAGGCCATGTAATGCCAATAATGCTTGCTTTGAAGTCGTGTGTGTGGTCCTTGTCAATCCAAGTGCATCGAGGGGATCTGCCGGACAATTATCTAAGCAAAGCATTTCTGTGTTCTGGGAATGGGGCAACACACATAACCTTATCATCATCGCCACCTTCATTTTGCAGCTGAACGGTGAAAGTAGGTCAGTCAGATCAGTTCATACTTCTGTGTCCAAAAGTCAGACTCACTCTGTAGCCACTTGGGAACCAGTTGAGGCCACATGTATAACCCCAGTCCCCAACCCAACCCCACTTGCTTCCTTCATCCATGGTGGCGCTAATGTAGGCGATGCATATGGCGTCGTCCCCAGCATCTATATACCCAGTATGTCAGAGCAGTCTATTAACCTAGAGCAAAGTGCTGGATTTCAAAACTCACAGAATTCGGTCGTGATGGACTGTTGCGTCCCTGTCTGCTCAGCGCTGAAATCGGCATAACCGCCGTCTTTGACCTTTCCGCCGCCACCGGACCCAATGAGTTCACCATTGTTGTTGTAGGTCTTGATCATCACAAGATTGCCGCCGGCGTTCGAAAGCTTCTTGTCTCCGCTGCCTTTGGTGTCATCGAGACCAACCTGGATCCGATAAGTAGATTTAGACTTGACAACGTCTGGTATGTTGTCCGCGGCAAACTGCCAGATTCCAAGGATGGAGCCCACCAGCCCAATGCCCCCGACTAGTTCAGAACCCATTTTTTTTTTCCCTTAGACTGATGTTACTTTTTTGCTGGGAAATAGAGCCTTGAGTCTATACGCAGACTCAAGTTGACAAGATAGTAGAATGTTGATAAAGTTCTGAAAAGACCTAATGGTTGATGGCTGTGTTGAACCGACTCATTTTTGTCTGTCCTTGCAGGGCTCTATATACTCCAAAATCTCGCGATAGAAAGTAGTTGTACTCCATCTAGTACTTACTCTTCAGGCTTAACTTTTGCTCCGCCACCGCTCGAAGGAATGTCTCACACTCCTTTGATCAGGTCTAGTCAAGATCATCCGTTGGGAAACCATACTTCAGAATACATCGTTTCTTGGGGGCCTAAGTCCACCGCAATGGCGGAACACTTAGTGGCATTAGGAATGACGTCGGTGATGGAATGAAAGAGTAGTACATGATGGGGATTGACGGCGCCACGTTGGAACTATTTCTCATTCATTCGCACTCTCGTTAAGGATTCTCCGGCTTGGCATTTGCCACAATAGCTAAACAAAATGAAGATCAATCTCGGGGATAACTCTACACAGCCTTCTGCGGCACTACACCTTCCGAAAAAGGTAAAACAATACGCGATAGCAAAATCGAGACAAAAACGAAAGACTGCTCGGCCGTTGTCACCGACACAATGGAGGTTGGGGAAATGACTTACCAGTCTTGAGCTATTATGACTACAGGTTTGAACAATTGTTGCTTGAGTTCTAGAGAGAAGCTTCTCAATCAGTCTAGACATTCAATGACATAACAAGAAATAGGTTCAAACCTCATTTCTGTTGATGAGCATCATTGCCCCTTGCTAAGCTTTGTGCGGCTGAGATAGATCCAACAACAGATAGTTCGCATCTTGGCGCTTACACGGAAACCGGCTCAATGAGAGCCTCGCGCGAGATTTTGGACCGACCTGCAACATGCTCCTGAAGGAGCACTGGTGCCAGTGTGGCAGTAAGACGTATCTTGCGGTTGCTGCCGATGCCCAAGTAGTTGTTGCCTGAGTCCCTTGAGCCCTACTGCAAGTCATAAGTCTGGCCCCCACTGGAATGGCACATTTACCTTACCACCGACTTGAATCTACATTTGGGGTTGAAAGGAACTCTTTCGGCTGCGTCGGCACTGATGCAGGCCAATGGCTGTGCCAGGGGCATATGCGGCCGCTGCCGAGAGCTGTACCAACACTCTAGTGTTTCTCTCCATCCAGCATAAGGCACAGCAACACGAGTTTCTCAACTGGCGTCATTAATGTGACGATACATGTATGCCCAATATCGACCTAACAGACTATAAGCTATAACGTCATCATAATCTGCCATGATCATGGAATATGTGCGACACAATCCTGCGAGGCTTCAGACACGACGGCTTAGCAGATCCTACGAAGCAATATGAATATGTTACTATTTTGGCAAACTTTTTCGGGGAGATCATCCCCATGATCAATGTAATGGCCTTCTAAGTCTTGACCATTACAATCAGGCTGGAACTAAAATTAGAAACTTTTGCAAAGTTGCGTACATACTCCTACTCACAAGTCCTACTGTAGCATGCACTATATAAGGGCTCAGATGTATCTAATATTCAATTCTAGAGACAAAGAGTATCGTATCAAGAGCTTTTTACAGCGTTCTGCATAAGATAAATAACTCTCCGAAGGCCTTACTATCCCGTATCAACTTTTCATTATGCAGATGCGAAGATTCATGCTTCCTCTGGCTATAGCCATGAGCATTGCTCTCTCAAATGCTGCTGCTCTCACCACTCGAGACACCAAAGGCGTATGCAGATCAAAGACGGACTAGACTGAAAGCCATCTGGCTAACGTTTCATATCAGTTCTGTGCTGTTCAATCAAACGAATGCTTGACAGACCAAGGAATCATTGGCGGCTGTGATAAAGGCAAAGTAAGTACCCCAGTCAGGATTAGTAGCATGTAAACTTCGATGCTCAGTACCTGACTACATTTCGCAGTGCACAAAGGACAACAATGAATGCGTCAAGATAAGAGCTTGCGGTGGTATGGGCTTTTGTGACTCCTGGGTTGAATGTGAATAGTTTACGTTCTACAATGCGTGGCCAACTGGAACTAGAACTTGGGGTTTCTTTTGTCTCGTATGTTCTACATGAATGCAGCCTGTTGGGCAAGGGGTTTTATCATTCGGAAAGGTTGTCTCAATAATCTGACAGAAAGTATATGCACTTCATTCCTTTGTTCACTAGTTGCAACAACAAAGTAATTGTGTCCCGCTTACTGAGCAGCGTTGTGTAAAGCTACCGTGAAACACAACATAATCGTTAACTGGGCGTCGCAATTCTTTTCTCATACGCCGAACCTGATATTGATAATGCATATTCTAGTAAGAGAGTGTATTACTAAATTTTTTTTTTTTTTTTAAAAAAAAAAAAAAAAAAAAAAAAAAAAGAAAGAAAAAAAAAGCTCAAGGTGATGAAGCCGCAGGAAATGGTGCGCGATCATGGGAAAGGGCGCACTTCGATTTCGTGCCGCGATACATCAGAATTGCGTGACTTAGATAGACAGTACAAATTTAGTCGGAGCAAAACAGTCTTGTCCTGGATTTCTGGGTTGTTGATTGGAGCTTGGCGAAGGATTACTTGTGAGAAAGTCATTTGACTTGTACGGCACAGCTGGACGTGCAAGGCGGCCGCGCTTGGGGCTTAAAGCTTGGCTATGCTTACTTGCACCAACGCCAAGAGTGTTGGCAACTCCTTTTCAAGTGCAATGAGATCATGTTGACTCAAGCCTGGGCGAACTCTGCAGATCGGTATAGACATTGCCGGAGTTGGGTATGACGTGGCCCTTGCCGTTGTCTGATATCTACTTACATATATGGATTGGCTTTTGCATAACAGTGTTGCTTAAGTCCGCAATTAAGGATGCTTTGGCTCCCGAATCGCTCTACCAGAAGCTTCGTCCCTTTCTGAACCATCATGAATACTATTCTATTTTCGCTCGCAGCATCCTCGTTAATGGTCACAGCCTATGGCTGGGACGCGTCTCAGAGGGATTGTTCAAACCTCAAACTGTGCCTCACATCCTTTCACTGGTGTTCTAGTCGAGGGGAAGGTTGCTATTACCCTGCTGGGGTGTACCCTGCCACTCGCGACACCAACACAGCCAAACCTGCGCTGATACTATCAGACAACCAATACACAGTCTCCTGGAAACTTAGTCAGTCTATCAACGATACTCCAATACGCATTCAGTGGATATTCGGTGACAGTAATGACAGTGGTATAAAATGGGAAACCAGTATGATGACCCGCTGTAAAATCATAGAGCAATTTCTAACTGCGTTTGCCTTTTAGATGTTACAGGCACAGAATTCATCTTCGAGCCAGGCAAGATTCTTGGATCTTTCCCGACTGCACAGTCTCCGAACTTGGGTGTAAACGAAGCATATGGTCTCGCCACCACATCAATGACAAGCATAATCCACATCGCTCAACCTGACCTAGTAGGCGATAATGGAGACTATCCTAAAGATTCGTCACAGCAGTTCGTGGTCCAGGGAAACCAAGTGGCAGATTATATAGACACCCAATCATCAGTCTCTCGTGATGATGAATACAATAGGTGGAAACTAGGTGTTGGGATTGGCGTTGGCCTGGGGTTTCCCACCCTAATGGTTATCACTGCCTTGCTGACTGCCATGTTCATAAAGAAGCGGACGAGTACTCGCGTACTCAAAGCTTGATGTTTTCGCACCTTTTCTCATGATAAGTTAAAACTTGAGCATCGAAAATGTCTCGTTGAAATTTACAATACCTCTGGAAGACATATTTTCCAAGACGTGCTCTCCGTTCCCTGTGACAAAGTTTGGATAGGCCGAATACAACGCCTATGCCTGTGGCTGGAATAGAGCACGATTGCCGAGGCGCAACTGATGATGTTTTATGCGAAGATTGGAAGCAACAAAAGATTCGATAGCATCGAAAGGATTCCAAGTCCTGTCCCGTTTGCGAATGGTTGCAACATTAGCTAGGGTGATTATCTTGACGTGAGGCCACTGATTGTAAAGTGGTTTTGGCCGCTCTCGTGGCTGTATTAAGGAGAAACAAAGTCAGGTACCCCCTGATAATATCTCGCGGCGAGCAGACCATCCACGCAGTCTACGATGCAAACTAATGTGAAGCATACGTTCCTTGGTACTATATTGAAGAACAAAGCGACCTGGTATTCGTTTTGCCACTGGTGTTCAAAGACCAGCCTTGCATTGAACAAGCCATGAGCGACCGGGCAAACATTACGCCTTTGTCTAAGGGTTCGCATAATAAGTCGGAGCACCCACATATGGGCCCCCCCTGCATTTGGGCCCCCTGTTCACCAACCACCCGATTTTCCTACCATACAACAATTTACCTCACTGTTCAACCAAACCTTCTTCAAATCTCTTCAA